ACTCTTTATTTGACCGAGTGGATTTTTAAACCACGAGTGTAACGAGTGCTTTACCATCCACGAGGTGGAATAAAGCGTCCGATTTACACTCAAACGAGTGGAATACAACATTTTATTCTTCGATTTAGAGTCAACAAGGCTTAAACTTGCTTTAAATCTGTTAAAAATAATTTGACGTTTTGTATTGAGAAATGCCAAACAATTGTCAAAACTTCCTTACACGGGAGAAAAACCGTAAATTTTGACAGTCGAAGAATAAAAAATTAAAAATATTGCATAACCCAAAGAAGAAAAGAAAATTTCAAAAAATGATATTCCTGATAAAACGTCACACTTTTATAACACTTTTTTCAAAAAATAAATAAATGAAATTCAACTTCAAATTACATATTTGGTTTCAAATGTTTGAAAAATTGGATTTATAATAAAGTAATCACTAAAATTAAAACAAAAACAAAAAAATTTCAAATTCAATTTTTGACTAGCCAACATTTTTAAAAAGATGCAATTTTCTACATATCACTTCATTTTTTAATTTCTAAGTAAGTCTAAAAAGTCTTTTTAAGCTCTAAGTAAGTCTAAAAACTGATTCATTTGTATTTTTTTCATTTCAAAAGCACATTTTGTTAAAAATTGCTCAATATGTTTCACGATGTTCTGTTTTAAATAAAAATTTACTTTTATTAAAGAACGAATTGAAATAGTATTTGTTTCATGAAATTGCAGTAGTACTTAATTGATATGTTTTTGTTTGCATGTGTTTGTTTTTGTTTCAGTAATTTGAAACAGATGTTACTGTTTGGATTTTGAATGTTTGATTCAAACTTTTGTCCATTTTTTAGATTATTCCTAGTTTAAAATTTGTTTAATTTGATCAAATCGTCTACGAAGGCCCAAAATACAAAAAATAGAATACTTAAAAAGATCCATATTGTCAATGGATTCAACACTTTTTAAGAGGCGATAAAAATCGCTGTTTTACACTCGCTTCTCGCTTGTGGTTGTAATTAGTCGATTTGTATTCCGATCCGGCTATAAAATCTCATTAATTGCAATCCATTAAGTCATAAACCGAGCAAATTGCATTTCATTCCAGGCCAAAACGGCAAATACTGGCATGTCGATAGCGAAGGCGTCACTGCCGACTCTGACACCCCTGAAGGTTTCTACTTGGAGCTCCGCGAACCCACCCGTCTCTGCATCAAAACCTCGAATGGGAATTACCTAACAGCCGGTAAAAACGGTTGTTTCCGCTTGGGGGATTCCTCGATCGAGAATGCCACCCAATGGGAGTATTAATACGGTTTTTGTTCGTCTATTTATTGTATTTATGTTAGTTTTTACGCTCCTATTATTTTAAGGATCAATGTGATGTTGTTAATGTCATAATTGCAAAACTAGCCAATGAAAAAACCGACTGCCAAATCTATGGCCTTCACACACAATAAAACTGTGGTGTTTTGATGCTTTTTTATCACTCTATATATAGGGTTTTTCTATACTGTGTACTGTATATACCGAGTAGGTTTGATGTTGTTGTCATTTGTATCTAGAGCGACATCTAGTGGTGTCTTACCAGTAAATGCATTTAATTGAATTTAGTGGCGTCCAGGCTCAAAATGTACCGATTTTGACATATCGTAACGTATAAGAGCTTGTATTTTTACCAAAACAATGGTTCATGTACTTTTATAGCTTGTAGCAATACCGATTTTTCCCAATGTATATCTTTTTGTATGATAAATGTAATAAAACAAGTATTCAAGACAAGGTTTTTTATTAATATTGATAAAAATTCCCATCGGAGTCCTGTCGTGAGTATCCAGCATTCGTCTGGGGCGAATGATGGGACGAGTTCATCAATTTGACATTGCTGGGGTGGCGCCGCTCCTCAATCCCGCTAATAATCACAGGGTGGTACTGAAAACACGAACGTAGCGAGTAGCGAAAAAACTATAAACAAATACTTGATTGAGTTTGAAGGGTAGGTGGCCATGCTTAGCCAAAAGGAGTTTCTGCTGCCGAAGTTCAATCCTTGCACGTGCCTCCAATGAGGATTTTAAGTCGGAAGTGTTTCGTAGCCGTCGCCAAGTGGCTTGCCCCAACGTTTCCGGTTGCAAGTAGATGTCGATAGCATCGGGGAATATCTCCTGGGAGTGGTCGTAGGGCGAGTTGAGGATGAAGTCAAGATCATCACCCGGGATTAAATCACTGAAATGAAACAACACGAACGGCGTAGCGGCGAGTTGAGGCACAAAAAATTGTTAAAATCACCTGAAGGGCCTGAAAAAGGCGTATCTCCTGGCGCTGGCCAAGGTGTGGTGTGCGTGCATGCGCTCGTAGGGCTTGAGGAGCTCTTTCTGTTGCCACACTTCATCGTTGGGGACGTCGAGCGGCTTCAGGAAGACCCCCTCGTTGTCCAACTCCGGAACACAGCCCCGATTTCGCACACTCATCATCGTTTCCAGTCCAAAACGTCATAATTTTGCCCCCGGAAATTAGTAAATGAYCTTGGTCTCCATAGTGACTATCAATCTAATCAAATTATTGCATTTCTGTCATTGATTTTGGACAAGTCGAAGCTAAATTTTCTGTTAGGGATGGCGACGCTCCCTGTTAGGAAAGTCTTGGATGTTTATGATGAAGAGTTTGCCACGAATATGGAAATTGCTAAAAATTTAGTGGCGATGGTGCAGAATCCCAAAGGTGAGTTTTACTCAAATAATGACATAAACCGTTCAATGCTGATTTATTCATAGCTTCAGGCATTTAGTTTTATCTCTTATTACAAATAATAGGTCTTTGTCCGTTCTATTAATAGAAAAACATAATACAACAACGGTTTATCGCGCATTTTATGGTAGAAACATTATTGAAATATTTCTGAAGAATGACAAGCCAATTGTGAACATTTAAACCGTTTAAGTTGGAAAAATCAAAAAAATATTTTAAATTTCCCGCTTTTGCCTTTTCCAAAAAGGCGACATCTGCTGTCATAAAAATTAACTGTTTTTTTTTCTTTCAATATTTCGCTTTGAAATGAAATAAAAGCTCACATTTTCCGAAAAGTTTATTGCGAACGCAAAATACATTCCGATTCAATAACAGTAAAAGTTTCTACTGTTACGAATCTTGCTCAACATACAAAGCCACAATTTTTGCCCACTTAATGGGCAAAAACGTGTTTGGTTATATACAAAAATCACTCTATCATATACAAAAATCGCCCTATACATTTATCACACACAGACAAAGAAATTTGCAAAAAGTGGATTTTGAAGTTGCGTCAACTGAAAGCAACTGACGCAACGGTGAAGAAAAACCGAAACAGCTTCTTCAAGTATTTCCTGCAGATGCTCCATAAAGCAGTCCAAGGGGAAGACTACCTCGGCCCTTCTCCACTTGACACTAAAGTAAGTCTTAACTGAAACAAAAACCAAAATTGATGTAATTTTAAGGCTGAGGAAAGTAAAGGTCGGGATTTTATGTGTCGCTGGTCGAGTGATAAGAGGACTTATGTGGCGGCTAAGCCACTTCCAGGGGCTGGAACTCTGGTGTACATGGCTGTGTCAAAGGACCCAAGTCTTGGATGGGAAAAACAGGGAGAGACAATCTATGTTTAATTACCTCTAACTAAAATATACATGAATTGAAAAAACTGTCTAACGTCGCTTCCTRCCCGTGCCTTTGCCCTTTCGGGGCCGATTTGTGTTTTTAGGTTTTTTGCCGCCTCCTGCCTTCCTCAGGCTTTTTCTGCCCACGTTTCGTTTTTTCTCCTCAGATCTCCTACGAAAAAAATTAATTCTTTGATCACTGTCACGTTGTACACCACTCACTGTGCTTGTTCCTCGTTTATTTGCCTTGCTACGGCCTTCTCGATGTTAATTTTAGGCCTTTTGTTCAAAACCTCGTCGACAATGTTCAAATTTTGGGTTTTTTCACTGGGGCCGGAAATGGGGGGTAATTTCCGTTTCCTTGTTGCTCCAGGAGTGATCGCAGCGACGCCTCGTGCCTCCTTCTCCTTCGGAAGTTTCTCTTGGAATTTCCCCAGACTTGCGGTCGATGATTTAGCAACAGTTACCGCCGCTTGCAACTAAAATTCACACAATTAATAACGTTTCAATGATTGAAAAAGATTAATTACGTCTTTTGATGATGATACGTCAGGGTTTGTTAGCCCAAATCTGGGTATTTTAACATTTTTCGCTTTAGCAATATTGCGCAGTCTCTGCAGCTCGTTTTTGGCCACTTTTTCGCTCTTGGCTTCGGTTTTCTTGGCGAATTGGTCTTCCATAGGGTTGGCGTTTTGGGGCACTTCGATGAGCCAGTTTTTCTCCCTGAGGGCGGCGCTCCGTTTGAAGCCGTAAAGGGGGATCCATTTTTGCAATTGCTCGTCCCAGGARAACTTACTCTTCTTCTTCTTGACTATGCCCTTGGCTTTCGCAAACTGCTCCCATTTTGTCAGGGATCGGGGCTTCGGAACCGGCTTGGAACGTGGTAAACTAAACTTTTGTTTGGGGAATTTCGCAACAATGGCTTCGTCTATTCGCTCCGTGGGCAACTCCCAAATTTGATTAAAGAGTAATTGAGTGTTATCACGGGTTAAATTTAACAAAAAATCGTTGGTGGAGCTTCTGAAATGCGAAAATTGGTTTACATAAGCGTGGCCACCTAACCCAGAAACTCACCTCAAAGCCCTAGAATCAAGCGGATTCAAATCTTCGACGAGAAGGGCACCTAAATCGATACTAACCAACTTATTAACTTCCACTGATTTGTATTTTTCGGCCTCTTTGGCCGATTTTTCTAAAACACTTTTAACAACATCCATGTTGTTAAAACCTGTTAAAAAATCTAACCTCACTTCTGGAAAAACGGTTACACGTGGAGCAAAAATCCCTAGATTCTGTTGGCAACACTACATGTCGCAAAGAAATGTCAACAGCAGTTTTTAAATAATTTCACGAATTTTGTGCCAAAATTGTGTGTTTTGCTTCAAGAATATGTGACTGTTGTGGTACCACATTGGAATTTTCCATAATTTGTGAAATTTGAGTGAGTCACTGGGAGACAGGACCGTACTCGCCCCGACCCCCGACCGAGGACCGGCCTCATGCCACTCGCTGAACCTTTGCTGTTTTTACTCAAGCTGGGCTACACCTTGCGTTTTAAGGTGCCCCTCTTTATCGCATTTTTGTGTTTTTTGCTGGATATAAGGATGCAACTCAACGTCACAGTCCAAAGGATTGAAATCCCGAGAAACGCAGTCCCGGATCCAGACGAAGACACTTAATTTAAAGAAATATTTATTCATCAGACTCAAATACACTAATAAAAAATCAATTAAAAAACACTTTGCTGTAAATGCAAATGTAAATGGAATAATCTCGCTACAATAATTTAACAGGGAATTAAAAATAACGTACAAATTTGGCAGTTGTAAATGCTGGTGTTTTTCCTCATTGACAAGAAAAGAAACATACTTCAAAAATTCCATCTGAAATTGTCATTTCTTTAGATTAGAAAAAAAAAACGTAAAAAACAACTCACACATGAGTTAATTACAGCTAGGGTTTTCGATTTTGACCTCTTGTAATATTTCTGCGAGCGGCCGACTCAGACCTTCCTTCGACGGTTGCAGACTCGCACACCCATGGGTCGTATTCAGCAAATTCTGTGGAATTTCAAACGTTAAAATTTGGCCCGATCTCGGGGACCTAACAAAAATCATGCAACTATTTTGACATTTATAATAATCGTTGAAATAAATGTTACTCTTTAACGAAATAAACGTCTAATTTTCTTCTAAAACCCCAACTAGAAATTCCTAAACACGAAATTAGTACTCCTATATCCTACCTATTAGTAATTTTAATCTATCTGCTATGACTAATCCTGTGGGAATTAGAAACTAGACGATAGAAAAAATCATATATGCCATTAGTGTGGACACACAAACAACACCACGTCCCGACTTACTGCGACATTGTGAGCAAACGCTTTGCAGTGTTGCCAATACGAAATTTCTCGCCTTGGTAGTACCCAAACAAAAATAAATTGAAACAAAACTCGAGAGACACGCCCACACCCAAAAAAAAACCCAATCAACCTTACCTTATTTAACGTACTCTGGGGGGCCACTTTTAAGTGCACTTTTTCGGCGCATAACGCCCTCAATAAATTAATCCCTTCTTGTCTGTTCTTCTCAAACTTGCTCTCCCACGCATCAAACAGCCTATTATAATACCTAACTTCCATAAAACTCAAGTATTTGTGCGTTTGCGACGTCGGAAAAATTCTCTCGAAACGCCCCTTGACTGTAAACTCATCCTCGGCCTGTGTCAACTTCCGGACATCATCTCCAGTCAATTCGGTCAAAATATCGTCGAGGTAGTCGTGCCGAGACTCGTATTGTTCGAAAAGTGTGTGTTTTTCGCGCTCTTTCTTCGTGAGGGCAGTCGTGTACAGTTTCGGTTCGAAACACTGGGGACTCTGACGAACGGTTTGGGACAGTCTGGGTGGAAGATGGAATTGAGCGAGATCGAACAACATTTGGACAAGGGGGCCCTTGACGTGGGCATCGAGAGGACTCGCCGAATGCAAACTCGGCGAAATATTCACTTCAAGAAGCCAAGCTTTGAGATTTTCATCAAGTAGAACATCCACACCAAACAACTCGTAGCAATTATACCGACTGAGCATGTTTTCTTCGCACAATTGATGAATAGGGGCTTCACCCGTGATGATTGTTTTAATCACGAGTTGTTGGAGGTTCCGCCAGAGGGCTTTAGTGTCGATACCTTGCTTCGACATGTACTCGAGTAGTTTCGTTATAGTCCTGTCACGTCATTGGTTGAGAAAAATAGAGGGCTTGGTTTAGTCAATACTTACCARTTGTGACCTTGACAGGCATTGGCGTCCTCATTGGCCGTGTACTGACTCGACAATTTATTTATACTGTAATTGGTTAAATGCACATACCGGTCTTTGAGGTCTTTTGAATCGGAACTGTATTTGGCTGTGGGAAAAAAAAACAAGTAGAAAACTCGGGTTGAAAATTTTACTATACTGACCACTTGCAAACCTCGCCAAGCCATCTGGATACAAGTAAATGCGCAATGGATTGAAACTCGTGACCAAGACGTACAATCTGAGATCAAACTTGCTCCCGTTTATCAGGTACGGATTTGAGATGTATTTTTGTACAACCAGTGACATTTTTTTAGGCAGTTGGGACCACTTGTTTATCACTTTAATGCCGGCTCCGCGGGCAGACGCCGGCTAAAATATTAAATTGAATCAAAAACAAGAGATTTTTTTTACTACATACAGGTTTCACAATCCATGCTTCTCCACCGCCATTTTTATACTCCCAATTTTGTTTGAGTATTTTCAGTTCGTGAGGTAGAACATATGTTTGAGGAATGAACCCGAATCTAGAAGAAGAAGAAATAATAAAAAAACGCAAAAACCAACTTGATAATTAATACTCTTTGTATCCGAATTTATTGATAAATCTTTGGAAATTACGCCACAGCCGGTCTTTGCGCCCCAATTGAAACGTTCCAGGGAAATGATTCAACTTTTGCGTCTCTTTCAACGTCTTGAACATCGGCGATTTCATGTGTTTGCCCCACGTGCCCAGCCATTGGTTCGATTCTGAAACGATTTCAAATTAAAGTGAGCTGTGACTTTGAAATTAAGTTGGCAATGAAGCTTGACGTTTATGTTACCAACTTAAATTTATTGAGTAATTTTGGATTTAGGGTCAGGACTGGGAAAAGGGGGCACACCTCGACTGAACTCACTTCTGACCAACGCAAAGCCCGAATTCGTTAGTGTTTTGCGAACCACAGCTGGCGTTATCGTGCTTAGTTTCCACTTGAATAGCCGACGCCCGGCGGGGACTTGAATGGGGCTGTCGGCGTCGTGGGTACTGAAACGAATGTATGGCGGGATGTGAGGGAAAAGACTCGGACGGAGAGGCCAACCCGAGGCGTCTCCACCTTCTGAAATGTTCAATTTAAAATCAAATAAACAAAAATTGTTTTTCTTACCAGGAATTTGTGGTATGATAATTTCGGGTTCAGTGCCATTGCACGTGGCCTCACTCGGACTTTCCGATTCGTCGTCGGCATTTAACACTTCTTCGGCTTCGCTTTCGTCAGAGCCGCTGTAGTCGCTGAAAGACATCGAATTAAATTATTGTAAATTGAGACATTGTGAAATTTCTCGACGCTTAACTATGCGAAGCATTCGCTAAATGACTAATCTATTTTAAAAATAGACGTAATATAGACAAAGATTTTGGATTAAGTGGAAGTCATAAATCACTCGGCTAATAGTCTGGCACGGAAAAGCCACGCTTTTATGTGATTTAAGCGAGCCAAAATGAAAACTGAGAAGGAATTTTCACTCAAAAATTTACCAGTTGGCACCGATAAAAAGAAGAATGTCGGGAAAATTAACTGTCAACACAATAATAAAATTTTAACATGAAAATTCATTCAAAAGATGAAATAGTTGGCTTTGATTTTTTTAAATTCAATAGTATATTACACATGAGTTGGTAAATATGTCATCACCGCGAAGGATATCGAACACAATCACATTTCGTTTAAATAATAAAATATCTGTTTTTCTGTCTGTTGATGCATTGACGTAGATGCTATTACATATCTCAGATCTAACCTCCTTGGAATAAAATGTCACTTTATTCCCCCGTTTTTGATTAATAATCTGGTACTTTATTTCCTTGGGAATAAAATCGATGAAATACCTACCTATTTTTATTTTTAAAATTGCAACTGAATGAACTGAATATTTTGACTTATTTGACATTATTTGAGAAATTATCATTCTCTTATACAAGATGATTTAAAAAAAACACCGGGCGCTGTAGAAGATTTTAAAAATGAATAAAATAAAATAAACAAATATGTAAATGATGTTGAAAAAAAAAGTTATTAAAAGCTATTTGCATAGTGTCAATGAAAAAATTGACGTTAACGTTAAAGTATACAGGGTGCGCCGAACTCGTGCCTCGAAAAAAAATGCCATGTAAGGCAAGATACCAGAAAAAATGTTAAAAAAATTTTATCTAGAAAAATTTCGAAGTTATGAGTTTAAATTTTGCACTTTGACTATTTATTTCTGTTGGAAAAATAATTCTCCAAGATTTTTTACTACAGGCCATTAGAAGAGGAAACAATAAGGAAGCTGTATCCTAAATTGTAACTCTGTTAAATGTTATTTGTGGCTTTTATTGCCAAAATTTTTATACCTTTACAAGAAAACATACATAAAATCATCAGTATCATTAAATAGACAGAAAAAATGTCAAATATCAAAAAATAAACGTCAAATTTTTTTGACAGATGGAATTTATTAAAGACCTTTTCTTATCTTACTTGAAATTTTTCTCTGGGGCGCGAGTTCTGACACATCCTGTATAAAAGAAATAATAATAAAATAAATTAATTTATTAAAAAAAAACATTTAAAAAAAAATGTTTTTCTAGTTTATTATTGTCATTTCTTATTAAAAATTTGAAAAAACATTGGAAATATTTTCTTTCATTTGCTGCTTTTTGACATTACAATAATGGCATTGTCTTATTTGACACCACACAACTAGATTTTATCAACTTTCATTATTTTTTTCAAATTTGAAGTTTGTTTTAAACAATAATTTTCAGTAAAAATACAACAAATCTTCCAAATTATGAGAAAAAAAATGGATCCGAATTAAAAAAAATCTATTAGCCATGAAATTTGATAGTTGACAATCTTGAACTACTTTACAAGATTTTTCAAACCTTTAGTTATCAAATGCAAAAAAAAAGTTTCACTTATTACAAAGGGTTCAAGAGCTGTGATTTTTTAAATGAACCCCTGCAAATAATAATTTTAAACAAAAAAATGATATATTATGACAAAAACTGATAGAGAAGTACGAACAACTTGAGTACGTTTTACTCGGTTTGAAAAAGCAAATTCAAAAGTGCAAAAAAGGGAGTTGCCATTCAAAATTTCAAAGTTGGAGCCAATTTCTCATAGTTTTCGAAGTTCAGCCATTTTGGAAATTGTACATAATTTAATTGAATTCAAAATGTCAATTTTGGTTGCATACAAAATTTCAAAGGCATTGAAAGTTAAAAAGTTTCTAATGTGGGCCCTACAAAAATCACCGTATAAGCCTCGGTGATAATATACATATGTATTTCCCACCTCGCTTGTAATATACTATTACTTTTTTATTCAAAAATATTACGCCATTATCTTTTTCCGTTTCGTGATTATTTTCTACCTTTCTGTGAATTCGGAGATGGGCGCGTTGCCGGCGATCTTGCTGGAGGGCAGACGCACCTTCTTTATTTTGCTCAAGTTGACTTTTTTCGTTTTGATGGCGATTTTCCTGGGTCTGGGGCCAATTTCGCTCTGACTTATGGTAATAATATCGTCAACGTCCGATTTATTGACACTTTTGAGTGCAAGTCTCTGCTTCACCGCCTCCAATTCCTTCACATACTTTTGTTCCAGTTTGCTTTCGTGAAACTTTTGATTGTTGTGCACCGGAAGACATTTTTGGGGTTTGACTTCAACTTCGAGTTTTTTGCCCGCTTTCCACAGAGCAATGCGTTCCCTCACCGATTCGATTTCTTTGATGTAGCGCTCGTGCAAGTTTGAGGCATCGCGGATTTTATCAAAATAGGTGCTGGTGTCAAAACTGAGATGATTGTCGTAGACGGTGTAGGGGCTCCTCGGGAGCTCCTTATGGGGCTTTTTGGCGAAGGCGTTGAGGTGTTTCGGTTTTTCGTACTTGAAGACGTCGTAAAAGTCTTCTTGTTTCATTTTGAGGGAGGGTTCATAACTTTTGGCGTTTTTGTCGACGAATTCGGTTGGTAGTAATTTTGACGTTTGGCAATTGTTTGATATATAGGAGGTTGGTAATTCACAGAGCTGACTTGATCGGGTTTTGTAATTTTCTCTAGGGGGCTCATAAAAATTGTAATTCAATTCCAAATCCATGTTTTCGTACTCTCGACTCCGGACGTACTTCTTAGGGGATAAACTCTTCATTTCCTTGCACTTTCGCCGACATTCGCTGATGGTTTCGCTGCGGGAGCGCCGTCTCGGGGAGTTTCTCTCGCAAGTGGGGCACCAACTTGAATATGAATACTTGCAAAACTTCTCCTCACTGGGGGGATAATTCAAATGGCAATCTCCCATCGCAGGGGGCTGCATGAAAATATCACAAAAATTACAACATAACCTCACAAAAATTTTAAAACCGGCAAAAATACCGGGATTTGGGTCAAAAAACCGATCAATTCCGGTTTGGGAATTAAAGTTATTTAAATTCGATCCAAAATGGTGCTGGAATTAACGTGCACGAATCTTTAAATTGTCTATGTTTCAACTTTGAAGGGAAAATTGGGGCAGAAAAGAGCAAATTCGACTTACCTATTTTTGGGAAAATCAATAAACTCCAATTAGCATTTTCTGAGGGAAATTGCCATTAAAATTCCTTCAAGACACATCGAGAAACCGTACCATTTTTGCCCGCGTGTAGTTCACAATTACTTGTTCCGGCAATAGCTCAGACTTACGTCCTCTACTACATCCTTTTCTAGCACAAAGCATTCTAGAAAGGAATTGTGTTCCAGCACGTCGGTACTTGATGCGAAAAATGTTTAAAATGGACGATTTAATCAAGTTATCAGCGGATTGGGCGCAAAAATTTTAATTATTTTTAAAAATTAAGGTTTTTTTGAAAATCCAAAATGAGTTACCAGTGAATAGAAAAAAATATTACATCCTTTAATATCTCAGATATTTAGTTCTTAATATTATAAGCACATTTTTTTCTAAATTAAATAGTAAAAAAGTGTAAAAATAAGACATATTTTTTAATAAAAACTCTATTTGTTTTTAAATATTTAGCAAATTGTATACTTTATTCAATTTTTTTGTTTTTAAATTACAAAATATTTGTAAAATTTCAAAGTTACCTCCGGTAGTTCTAATGTCCACACCATTTATCTACTCCATCCATCATAAATGTCAAATGTCAACCACTTGTCAAATGTCAAACAATAATAGTTCTCTGAATTTTAGAATTTCTCGAATAAAGTGAGATTTAAGTCAGTTATAATTAACAAAAGTGATTATGCCCGAGTAGTGTCAAGGGTAAGTTTCCTGTCAATTGTGCTTAAAAGCCCATTTTAAATTGTGATGATTTTATTAGATTTAGCAAAAATGAGTAGTCTTCGCCCTATGAGCTCGTGTTACGAGCCTAAAAGCCCCCGCAACGTTTATGAAATGAACAATGAAAGTATGGTTTTCCAGCAAAATGATCTTTTCCCTCTTGCTTTTCCCTGTATGGAAGAAATCCGGCGTCAGGGGCGGCTTTGCGACGTTGTTTTGAAGGTACCAACCTTTACGAAAAAGACCCAAGTTTGGAATTACTTTTCCAGATTGATGGCCAAGATTTCAGTGCTCATAAAATCGTCCTTGCTGCCACCATTCCCTATTTCCACGCCATGTTTATGAACGACATGCTTGAGTCTCGGAATAGGGAGATTGAAATGAAATGTATTGACGCAATGTTGGTAACACTGCTTTGTTTAAAATTTAGTGTAAAAAATGTTTTAAAGGGCGCTTGAAGCACTGATCAATTTCGCATACTCAGGCCGGGTCATTTTGGATAAAAACAACGTGCAAAGTATCATGATTGGAGCATCTTTCTTGCAATTGAGCAAAGTCAGGGATGCTTGTGCTAATTATCTACTCCAAGGCTTGCACCCCCAGAATGCGATTGGGGTCCGAGACTTTGCTGACAGTCTTGGGTGCCCAAGTTTGGCGGAATCGGCTGAAAAATACATTGAAACGTACTTCCACGAGGTGTCGCTGCATGAGGAGTATCTAAATTTGACTCTCGCGGAGGTTAAAACTTTGTTAAATAAAAACGAATTGAGGGTTGAAAGCGAGGAGCAGGTTTTTGAGGCTTGTATGAGATGGATCAAGTATAAGGAGTGTAGGAAGGAGTTTTTACCTGAACTTTTGGCTCTTGTGAGACTCCCTTTGCTGTCCCCGCTCTATATTACCGACAGAGTTGGGACTGAGGAAGCCATTCGGTACTCTTTGCAATGCCGGTAATACAGGGTTCTTTTTACTTAAAACTTACAAATTTCCATTTTTTCAGAGATTTGTTAGATGAGGCCCGGACTTACCATTTAATACCTGAAAGACGTGCGTTGATGCAAAGTTTTAAGACCGAGCCGAGGGCTTGCGAGGTCAAAGGTTTTATTTATGTTGTGGGGGGGTTAAATAAGCACGGTGAGTGTTTTAAACATTGTCAATTTTATATTTACGGAAGTTTTAAGGCGACTCGTTAAGCACTGTGGAGTTTTATGACCCAAAAACAAACACATGGCATATGGCGCCACCTATGTCTATGTTGAGGTCTAGGTTAGGAGTAGCAGTACTAAGAAGCCAATTATACGCTTTTGGGGGCTATAATGGAAAAGACAGGTTGGCTAGCGTTGAAGTCTATGACGCTATTAAGAAAGAATGGTCCGCTATAAGCCCCATGCAGTGTAAAAGAAGGTAAAAATGCCTAGCTAGTGATTTTTGTGTTGCCAACTTAAATTTTAGTGCATTGGGGGCTACAGCCTTAGGCGATATTATTTACGTTTGTGGGGGCTACGACGGTGTCACGTCTCTCAACTCCGTCGAACGCTATCACCCTTTCACCAATACATGGTGTTCTCTAGCACCCATGAACAAATCTCGCAGTGCAGGGGCTGTGATTGCTTGCCAGGGCTATATTTACGCTCTAGGGGGCCACGATGGACTTTCCATTTTTGATTCAGTGGAACGCTACGATCCCAATTCTAACACTTGGACTGAAGCAGCCCCCATGTTAACCAAACGTTGTCGTTTGGGAGTAGCAATGTTGGGTGGGAAATTGTACGCGTGTGGGGGCTACGACGGGAGCACCTTTTTGCAAACAGTGGAAATGTATAATCCCTACACTAACAAGTATGTACAGTTTTAGGGGGGTTAAGGAGACTACATTAATGTTACAGGTGGACATATGTGGCCCCCATGAATGCGCAAAGGAGTCGTGTAGCCCTAACGGCAAATATGGGCAAATTGTGGGCTGTTGGAGGCTATGACGGAATTTCAAATTTGGTCTCAGTGGAGGTTTATGACCCCAAGACGGATCAGTGGACGTATGCGGCTCCCATGGTCGCACATGAAGGGGGAGTGGGACTGGGGGTTATTTCTGTTCCTTAATTGACTTAATTTATTTATTTATTTTATGTTAAGAAATAAAAAGTTGACGCCAATACGGAAGTTGTTTGTTTTTCTAGGGGATTTTAGGCTTAAGTTGGTAACGATTGACATTTAAAATTTGACATTTATTGTGAAGGTGTTTAGTTAAATGGGTGATTAAAATTATCAATAGCCTTTTTATTGTTAATTGGAGATAAATTTTGTTTGGTTGAGCATCACAAGGTAATTATCGTCCCCCGATCTTTGTATGACGCATTCAATTATACCTACCTCAAGTTCCCCCTTTCTTATCACTAATTTTTGATAAGTGAGTCARCAGTCGTAACCAGTTGCAATTTTTCTCCATTTCACGTTCAACTCTGGTTGAAAACAGTAACAATGTATATACCCTTGCAGAATTCAACAATGTTTCCCAAACGTTTCAAATTGGGGTCAGCTCGCAATAACGAATGGAGGTGTTGTTTTTGTTTGCATGTCCGTACGGCAACAATTTTGCTCGGAATCTGGCATTTAGTAAGTCCAAAATTTGTGAAAAACAACAAAAAGACTCATTTGTGGATTTCAGATATTGCACATATTGGCACTTGCCGTTTTGGCACTGCTAATGCGCAACCATAATGTGATTATGCAACATAATGCAGAATTTGAACAGAGCAATTTTTTGCCAACTCCTTTGAGCAAAAAGGTCAAGGATGAGGACAACCCCTATTATCTCCCCACAACGCAAGATGGGCGCACTATCTACTCATGTAAATATAAAACAAAAACAAAAAAAACACAAACAATAATAAACAATTTTTAGCGGACATCGATATGGGCGCTTTGATGACCGTGTGCACCCTTTCTATAACTTTATTGATGGTATATGGGACGATACGGGGGAAAGCCACCCATTTACTTCCTTTCTTCTGTTTGCAATTATTCGATTTTGCAATTACGACGTAAGTAACAACGCGACATTTTTTTAAGCCCGAATTTTTTATGTGGCAATTTTGTTCAGTCTCACAGCCACCGGCTACTTCTGTTATTTGCGCTCGGTCCACCGCCTTGTCGCCGAGCATTGGCACAACCTCCCCTTCCGAAACGAGCTCCTCAAACTCAGTCCCCAATACCTCTCCCTCCTCGTCCTCGCCGCCTTCCTAATCTCCATGCTGTGGAAAGCCTACTGCATTGGCATAGTCTGGCGTTGCTACAAATACCTGACTCTGCGACAACAGTCCCGCAACAACACCATCCATTACATCCTCCCAACTGAGGGTTCAGATCGGTTACCAGAACCGGACTATTCCACTTTATTACGAGAACAGGAGGCGGCGTTCGGTGGGGCGATGAAAATGACGCCGCCTCCGTCCTATCAGGACATCATGGAGGATCAGCCGCCCCCATATCCGGCCGTTTTGGTCAATGAAGTGCATAGTCCGGGGAGGTACACGGTTGAGGAGGCACAGCCCCAGGAAGTTGTCGCGGAGGCCAGCAACGAGGTCCGAGAGGGAGAGAAGAAGGAGGAGGAGGGTAATAGTAAATAAATGATTATTGATGTAGTAGTTATTACGAAGTGTGCACTTCTTTCAATTCTCAATAAATCGATTTTTCGTGTCAACATTCCACAGAGTAGAAGCACTTAGAAACAAATCGAAAAAAATGTGTATTTTAGATTCAAAAATTGAATGTTTCCTGATTAATAACGAGTTTATGTAACATATCTTATGCTAATTATTAAGGTTTTGAGAGTGTACTCTTCAATATTTGATGTATAGCCGTTTTTATTTATTTTAAAGTTGACTGAACTTTAGAAATGCTTTAATTTTTTATATGTGAGGAATTTGGAGGAAGGGCTAAAATTTAGGCCTCATTTCGGTTGATTGGAGCCATCCATGAGTAGGTTGTTCAGTATCTATACAAATATGTACTTTGAAAGTAAATATAGCTCAAAAAATTTAACAGCGTTTTTGTGACTTAATTAATAATTGGCGAAAATGTAAAAAAATTATTTAATAATATGGTGACAACAAATTACTTCTTAACTATTTGGATGACGTCCTCGTCATGCATAATATGGGAAGCCCCGACCCTTTGCGGTGAATATTTGGTGCTGGTGCCCCAAACTAAGGCATACTTGAATTGCTGAGCAAGAGTTCGATGGATTGCGTGACATACGTGCTCCACTGTGACCCCCTTTCTGAGGATCAAGCCGTCGCTGAAATCGGGGGGTTGTCCCGGTTTTTTCGTATAAACACGAATCAAATTTAAGTATTCCCAGAGGACTTGGAGAAGGTAATCGAGGTTGAGCTTCATGTTGCAACTGGAAGAGTGACTTTAGTGGTTTTCACCAACATTTGGGGGGATTATACCTGACAACAACACTGTTTGGCTGTCGGGCTATCCTGTCAACTTCTTCAATTGAAATCTGATCGATTTTATTGTAGACGTAAAGGCATGGAAGGTAGACGCGATTTGCGCAAATTACATCGATTAGTTCATCGGCAGTGCAGTCCTCTCTGAAGAGGACTTCAGCGTTGAAAATTTTGTATTCGTGAAGGATCATTTGGACGAGTTTTTCGTCAATTTTCGTCAAGGGGCAAGTGGAATTGAACGAAATGCCGCCCCCTTTTTTCACCTACTAACAAAAGTTACAATGATAGTAAAACCAAACCGAAAACTTGCCTTGAAATAAATATTAGGCTTCATTTTATTCAACCTAATCCCCACACTTTCCAATTCTTTCTCTAGTAAATGTCTGTGGACGTCTTTTTTCGTTGCGTCTAGCATCATGAGGACCAAATCGGCCGTCCGCGCGACCGCTATCACCTGCCGCCCCCTGCCTTTGCCCTGAGCAGCCCCCTCGATAATCCCAGGTAAATCGAGCAATTGGATGTTGGCACCATTGTAATCAATTACGCCGGGAATGCATGTCAAAGTCGTGAATTCGTACGACGCGGCCTCGCTTTCCGTTTTAGTCAAAGTTGACAACAAAGTGGACTAGAAAAAATAATCAAGGCGAGGTTATGAGTGGGTTCGACTTACTTTTCCCACTGACGGGAAGCCGATTAAGGCCACACGTGCATCCCCGCTTTTTAAAACGTCGAAGCCTTCACCTTTTTCCGATTTTTTCGAGGGTTCGAGGAGCTGGGAACGGTATTTAGCAAGTTTAGCTTTCAGCAGCCCCAAATGGTACTCGGTGGCTAAAAAAAACCTGAATATAGCCAGAAAAAAATGCAAAATGGTACTGATACCTTTATTCTTTTGTGTTCGAGAGATTTCCTTCTCGATTTCCGAGATTTTTTCCAAGATTCCCATTTTCTAGCACACGATATTCCGGTTTGACGTTTGACACATGACGATTGGCACCACTGATTGCTATAAATATAACCTCACTTTTTTATATTATTATTTTTCTATTTTGAACAATAGTGTAATAAAATGGGGCGCAAAATTCCAGGTCGTAAACACCGAGGGGTTCGCGACCCTGAGAAACAACGCGCGGAGCGTGAAAAAAGGTACTCTATGAAACGGCATTACCTAACCTCACTTTTCCACGTTTCAGTCTTAAAGATAAAATAAACGCGCCCCCGAGCAACCCGGATGAGCAATACGTGCCTAAGAGTCTTCAACGCATCGCTGAACTTCAGGCTAAGGTAAAAAGTGGCGATTTTATGCGCAAAAAGAAGAAGAAACCGCGCCCCAAGGGACTTTTCGAACAGAGGCCGGATGAGTCAAATAGAGAGTTTTTGTATCGGGTTCACCAACATTGTGCAATTGTTAAACACGAGGCAGCCTTTGAGCAAAAATTTGGGGTGGAAATTGAAAAAAATGCGGAGGGGGAGATACAAGGGGTTAAAAAACGGCCGAAAGATCCCATTCTAGTGATGATAAAAGAAGCAAAACGCGGAAAAAAGAAGAAAGACGAAGGGCCAAAGTTAACAAAGTCGCAAAAGAGAAGATTGAAGCTGATTGAGAAGAAGAAAAAGAAAATGGGTCACAAAGTTGATGAGTTTGATAGGTTTCAAGATAAAGTTAAGTTTGGGGAACAGGTGCATGAACCCCCGACACTTACTGCGCCCAGGAAGGTGAAAAAAGGGGGCGAAGCCCCGAGGGTAAGTCTGGGAATATTTTATGTTAGTGAAAATGAAACAAAACTTTCAGCCCGGTACAAAAGACTTACTATTGAAGTCAGTCCTGAATAAAACTGTTGATAAAACTGGAAAAAGAAAAGATCTGCCGAATGCACTAAGGAGACAACTTGATAAACAGCAGCAGGAAGTGATTGAAGCTTACAGATTACTGAAAGGCAAAAAAAGTTAACTGTAACTATTTTATTAACAAAAATAGAAAAAACTTATGAAAGTACATTTTGTTTAAATAAAAAAAAAACATTTTTCATGAACACACTGGTGATGTAACGATAACTTCAGAGAATTTTTGAATTTGGGTCCCAAGTCCAAAATTTATGATTTAAAGTTACATCAAACAAACTAATTTAACTTAGAAAATTAACGAGAAATTGGTAACTTAAGTTATAAGTTTTCAAGGAACACTTTAAATCGTATTGACTTCATTTCCGGGGTAAACATAGGGATTTTTTTCTTTGAGCGTTTCATAAATACCTAAAACTAGTTCCCGGAAAACAATCGGGTTAACATTTTTTCCAACATGATACAAAACGAAAAAGTCACCATAGCTAAATTTTTTTATAATGCAAGTAGCTTGTTTACTTCCGATAAATCTCGCTTGCGCCATTAGAAGATAAACGCGCAGTTTCGGCACACAAACGACGACAAAACGGTAAATCAACGACAAGAAAGTAACACCGGAAAGAAAAAACAACCAAAACCACAATACAATAAACAATTTTTCATTTAAAATATTCAAAGGTAGGATACAGAGAGCGTCCCGGTTGACTTCCGTACCCGAGGGGCCGGAAAACCTCCACTGACACTTCGTCAATTTCGGAAAAACTTCATTCATTGCGTTGATATCCCCATTTGCGAAGACTTTAAAACCGTAGAGGGCGAATTGCCCCCCTAGGAACGTGTCTATTAGGAAAATCTGCAAAATCTGGTAAAGCTCGCGTTAATAGAACACAATCACGGGGGCTATAACTTACCACATTGACCAAATTGAGGATTTCGCACACGACGTATCTGATCGCATACAGGGTGTGAAAATATTTCCCGTTGATTATGTACTGGATCATTTGGGTTTTGGTGGTGGGGTTCCAGGAGGCGTTCACTAGGGGGGTATTCAAGTCACTTACGAGGAGTCTCAAGCGGCCCCCTTCCCACGTTTTCCACAAATATCTCGGCAAGTAGAATAAAAGCGCTTGGAAGCAGAAGACGATGCAGACCCATTGGTAGTACTTCTGCCAGATTATCTTACCGTCGGGGTCCCTCATCCAGGGACGGACGTCGCGATGATCGGGCCCTAGACCCGGAATGTAGCCACTTTTCCCTACAAAAAAAATGAAAAAAGGGCCCCCTTGTGCGCATTAATCACCTGATAAGGTGTCCCGGCGGATGTACGTCCCGTGGATCCAGCAAAATGTCTCGATAATCTCCTTGTCCTCTTCCACTTTGCATTTGATGGGGTCCCCGAAGTACTGCTTGCTGGTCAAAAGTATGGAAAATACGATCAACATAATCACCGTCAGTTTATAATGCAAACGGAACACATTATTATCAGTACGGATCTGTTCTACCTTCACTAAGGACTTGAAAGAGTTCAAAAAGTCCATCATTGTAAGTTAATTTCGAATTGAACAAGTTTGCACACTCGGATACGGAAGAAAATGGCGCCAATTTACATTCCGTAGTGCCACCTGCATAAAGGCGAAAGTCGCAAAACAGCGGTTTTATCTGACCAAAAAAAGGAGATTTTTTTGTTTGTAATTAAATGGTTTTTAGTGCTTTTTCCACGATGGTTTAATTGTTGTTTGGATAATCAAATTATGACACTATTAAATTATGGTCAAAAGAGCCGAACTTTTGTTTAAATTTGACGGGTGGGATTTTTGAACGGAACAAATGACCTACCTTGAAAACTTTCCAAAATTCTCATTTGTGTAATAAAAAGGGTATTTTAACACCATGTGGCACAAAAGAAAATAATAATAAATGATTAAAACAGTCAACTTCTTATTTTTACATGAAATTTAATTTAAACATCACGGCGTAGTCAAATTTAAAAATAATATGAAAATTTTCTGTCAATTGTTTAACATTTTTTAATAATAACAAGAGGATAAAACAAATGCGTTTTTTGTTATTACAGCAGTAATTTAGTTTTAAATAATGCTTAAAGTGGCGCTAAATTTTAAACCAATCCCCGGAAGTGGTCGCCGGCACGACGCATGCGCATTAGCTAGCAAGCAACTAATCTGTACCTCTGTTCATACTCCTGTTAGTGTTCTTACCTGTATCTTGTGTTTAACTCTTGTGGTGTAGTTTTTAAAGTTTTAACATTTTATTATTTGATTTACTTGAATCAAGTCATAATGTGTGACGTAAAGCGTCAATTATCTCAAATGAACGAGTTTGATGAAGAACGGTAAGTCCAATGCAATTACCATAAAAAGTAAAAACCGTTTCGATTGTAGTTTCAAGGGCAAGCCATGGACCGAAAAACTCCTGGCAGACTCGATAAGCTGCTCAAAAAAGGCGGTGTCGAACTGGTGCGATATCGTGTGCAAAATCGGCGTAGCCGATTTGGAGCTGGAGGAACACGTGAACATTTTTCTCCACTAGATTAAGAACTTTTATGAGGACTTAATTGCCGACAGGGATACAATCCATGAATCATGCTTAGACCAAATCATGAAGTCATTGCAAAAACTCGAGGATTTGTGCCACGATTTGCACCTCCAATTAACAACGAGGGGATCCCTCTGTGCCAGCTCCACCGCCACATAAGCCAAAAAGTGGAGGAGTACGAAGCTTTGGCCCTAATTAGGCACCGTGAGCTGTCGGAATTGAGCCAGAAAGAGGTCAAGTTGTGTGTCAGTCTGGGGCGGGCACCCAGACCCATCGAGGAGTCTCCGCTGCCCCTACCAAGCCAACTGGACGGCTTCCGGCCATACGTCGAGGGCTTGGAGTTTGAATCCCTCTCGCGCGAAGAAATTTTCTTCCAATTGAAATCGAAAATTGTGGAGATCGTCACCGAGTTGGTTATTTGCCCCAAGCTGGAGTTCGAAAAGGGCATTTTAAACTTGACTAACATTCAAGTGATGATTACGGATGTCGAGATGGCGAAATTCTCTCCGGGTTAGTGACTTTTACTCCAAAGGTGGCAGATGTGCTTCGCCAGCCTTCTTACTCGGAAATTTCGCGCACTGGACAGGAGTTTCACACCTTTGGACAAACTATACCGGACTATATCTAACATCTATACGAGGATAAGAGAAAGGTTTGTAAAAACGCAATTTCGATTTTGTTTGATTGAATTTTAGGAGTTTAAGCAAAAATTAAGTCCTAAGAAACAGCAAAAGGAGCAATCATCCACTTTGGGCAAACCCATGATGACTCCTAAGTTATTGACCCCTCGTGATGGCTCCAAACGCAAAGCCCCGGCCACTTCGATGACAGAGTTTAGTACCCGCATCGAGATTTTGAGGTAAGTTTTTGCGGAGTTGTAGCGATTTTGTTAAATTTTGAGGGTTTATGGAAGGAAATTTCCGAGAAAGAAGGCTGGCGAAGCACCACATTTACCACCTTTGGAGTAAAAGTCACCAACCCGGAGGTTGTTCCCGGAGTCCTACCCAGAACTCCGAGGCCGAAGAATACATCCAAATTTTATTGTGTTACTTGTTTGTAAAAATTTGTGTATTACTTTATCTATTAACGAAGTTTTAGTATTTTAAGTTTGTTTGTAAAGATTTTGTAATATTTTAAGTATGTAAATTTGTTTTTAAAGATTTGTATTATTTATGTATTAATGAAGTTAATGCTCCTCTACTTTTGTTAAACAATTTCAAATATATTTATAACAAATTCAAACTTTGTCCACTTCTTTTGTGCAACTCCTTGAACATGTACAAACCCTTAAAAATGGCGATCCTCAAATTCCTGATACTGGCTTTGGGGTTCAGTTCAGCTACCAACATAGACACAACCCTCACACTAGAGGTGGCGGGCTAGAGGCTGCCAACTGCAGGCAAACACGGTGTCGATGTTTCATCGCCTACTACAATTTTCTGAAAATGACAAATTACACTTTTTCTAATACAACACCCCATATTATATTGCATCTTTGTATGACATTTTTTATGAGCTTTTTGCCGATATAGGATTTGTGGGGTCTACTTTGCAAAATTTGTGAGATCTGCAAAATAAGAAATGTTGAAAAAAAAAGGAATGCAGTAGAAAATCTTTTTTTTAGAATATCTTCTGTTTGTCACCAGAAACCACATATGCCTCCAACCTAATCAAATTAGAGTTTTAAATCAAATTTAACTAATTTAATTTAATTTCTCTAAATTAAATTTATGGCAATTTAGTAACAAATATCTAAATCCTAGGTAGTAACTAGATGTATAAGTTATTCAAATCAAACTCCCAAATTTAATTTTAATTTCATTGAATTTACATAACTTAAAAAATCACACCCAAGAAAAATAATGAATTTGTATATAAATTAATTATACCTCCGTTTACAGCTTACATAATACAATCACTGAAAATAAAAATAAAAAATAGAGCTCATGATGGTAACACTGTAAAAAATTGCAACAAGAACTTTAATTTCAGTTTCAGATTCTTTTGATTTACACTACTGCAATCTGAACACTGATAGCGTCCTTCGCAAAACCCTGGAAAACAACACAGCAACCCTCCACAAACCTTATTGGTTCCCCCTCAAGCTTCACGAAACTAGTTATTTGGAAAAATTCCCCAAGGAACAGCTAGTCTACTTAACCCATATACAGGGGAATTTTTTTATTAGTATACATAGCCCTATGTATATTTAAAAAAAACCGGGTCAACTTCACTACTACTACTATGGCAATTACGATTAGCCCTTAGTCTAGGCATAGACAACCAATATTGCAAAGGCTTTAATATCGATAAATAAAAGACAAACTTTTAAAAACAACAAAGTAAGTAAATATTAGAACCCATCAAAACATAAAAAATATTTAATAATTAAAGCAAGTGCTCAAAATGCTTTCCTTGGAGTTCCTAACAATAACTTAAGCGATTTTAAATTCAGGATCTATATTATTACATTCTGTACGAATACGTTTTTTCAGCTCTTCTAAATTTTGCATTGGAACATTAGTATAAATTTTTATTTTTAAATACCCCCAAAGAAAAAAATCGTTAGGTGCCAAGTCTGGCGATCGTAGGGGCTATATACCCCCCGATGCACTTCGGTGTACATGGGTATCATAAATGGTATTAACTTTTTAAAGCTACGCTTTAAGTTGCGAGACTCACACTTGACACAAAATTTTAGTTTTGAATATTTTAATATCTAGTACCCTCTAAAAGTTTGAAATGTTGGTCGCCTACCCTATGAAATTGACCCGGTTTTTTTAAAAGTATACATAGGGCTATGTATACTAATAAAAAAATATCCCTGTATATAATACTCTGATACGGAAGAAAATGCCGCCAATTTACATTCCGTAGTGCCACCTGCATAAAGGCGAAAGTCGCAAAACAGCGGTTTTATCTGACCAAAAAAAGGAGATTTTTTTTCTTTGTAATTAAATGGTTTAATTGTTGTTTGGATAATCAAATTATTACACTATTAAATTATGGTCAAAAGAGCCAAACTTTTGTTTAAATTTGACGGGTGGGATTTTTGATCGGAACAAATGACCTACCTTGAAAACTTTCCAAAATTCACATTTGTGTAATAAAAAGAGTATTTTAACACCATGTGGCACAAAAGAAAATAATAATAAATGATTAAAACAGTCAACTTCTTATGTTTACGTGAAATTTAATTTAAACATCACGGCGTACTCAAATTTAAAAAAAAATGAAAACTTTGTGTCAATTGTTTAACATTTTTTAATGATAACAAGAGGATAAAAAGAAATGCGTTTTTTGTTATTACAGCAGTAATTTAGTTTTAAATAATGCTTAAAGTGGCGCTAAATTTTAAACCAATCCCCGGAAGTGGTCGCCGACCCGACGCATGCGCACCAACCCCCACTAAACAGAAATAGACTTAAAAATGGCGTCATGCTTCGACGGTCATTTAGATGTTTGACGAGAATTTCAAGCTGAATCTGTGTGATTTCGAGTGATATTTGTGCGAATTTTTTAATTAAAAGACTTTTACGGATAGGTGAGTACACAATCTTAAGTAATTTAGCAAATCTTTTATTTCCACTGCTTGTTCGCGATGCACCTACGAATGGCGTCTTACACAAAAGTTTTTTCTCCCTGCTAAAACCCTTAAAAAATGGCGAAGTTTGTCTAATTGGGGTCAGTTACTTGTCTGGGGTGGGTCGAAAAGGGGGCTGCCGGGCGTACTGTAGCTGTTACATCGACCTCCGCATTGTTTTGATGCGCATGGCGCACCGACAACAACATTCCCCATCTTGCAATTAAGATTTATGCAATGAGAACGAGTGAATGTATCTATTTAGTGTCTAGTTGGGTTGGCTCGCGGGCAAGTGTCCGAGCGCCGTTCTTCGCAAATATGCGACCTTGATTGAGCATGAGTACGAGCTCCCAACTTACTTACAAAGCTGTACTGTTGCCAGGCTCACTGCTGGAAAACACTTTTGATTGTGTGTCGTTGGCGTCGGAACGCTTACCGTCACAGGTCGCTTGGATGAGGGCCAAGTGTCGCACGGGGGCGGCCGCAAAGCGCCCCCAAAGCACAAAATGCATTGTGATGAAATGTCGGGATCAAAGTGTGCTCTGATAGTAGAAAATGGTCGGCTCTATTTTGTGATAAATGATTTAATTACTGTAGTACTACATATTGTTACAAATTGCTAAAAGAATTATTTATTTGTAAATAAACAGGATACTTGAGTTGCGTGCTTTGTAACAAAAGTCAGGTCTTTGATTGCACCTCAAGGTTATTTGGTTTCATTCAGTAAGAGGAGGCTCTGACAATGACAGATGACTTAAATAGGAACAATTGACGGCGATTTTCTCGGGTTTCTTTTCAGGAAAAACAATTAAATTAGTTACATAACACGAGTGACATTTTTACGAAAAAGTTCTCAATTTATCGTTTCTTTAGAAAAATAATGTTGCAAAAAAAAAAAACGGTAAAACGGTTTCTAAAAATTAAATTTGATGTTCTATTTTTATGTTTGCAATGGTTTGGAATTTTGAAACAAATATCTGTTGTCTAAATAAAAATTTACTAGAAAATATAAAATTTTCTACTTGCGTTATTTCAGCCGTTATTTAAATTATTTATCGTTATTTACACAAGTGGAGGACATTTATTTGTTAATAAGCACCGTTTATAATTAATGTTGCCGTTTCTTGACTAGAAATAAAGACAATAATAAAAATTTGCAGGAAAGTTCTTAGAAATCTTTCCCTGTTCCCAACTATGTAGTTAGTTACATTAAGTTATAAATTTACTGCTATTAAACGCAATAAACTTAAAATACACACAAAGTACGTAATTTATGATTGTTTGTGTAACAACACCCTAACAAGTTTCAAAAAATTTTAATTTCAAGTATGTAGAAATAGTCGCATAAGTTATTACAAATTGTTGACCTGTTACAATAATGAAAAAATCCGGTTCTATAAATATTTAAATGAGGGAATTAATTGTAAGTTGTTAACGAGATCACGTTTTTAAAACTTGTCACTTTTTTCTTTACTAGAATTATATTTCGCCGACAATAAGCTTAGGTTTGGGGCAGTGTATTTCATTAATAATTATTTTCACGGCGTATTGTAAAACCTTGGGTATTTATTGTGAGGGTTTCTAAGGTTAAACACCTTAGAAAAACATAATAAAATAATAAAAAAATGTTGTCATCCACCCGAGAAGTTTAATTTCATAAAATCAACGCGCGGAAAAAACCAAACGGTTTATTAACCTCTCAATTAGCACATTCAGGACAGTTATCGAAGTTTCTTCTTGTTTGGAATAAGGAAGTGCGTGATCAATGGCGTATCCAGGAGGGGGGCTAATAGGGCTGTCACCCTATCTCTTGATCGAGAATGCTATTTTTGATATAATTTTAATTTAATTGATTTTATTTATTTATTCGATTTCTAGCTACCAAATATGTAATTAGATTTGTTTTTAGAAAACCAATTTGTTAACACAAATTGATTCATTCAATAATACTAGGACGCCTTTTTTTCCTGTTCAATGGACACAATTTTAGGCCTAATCGGAATGGACTTGCTAAATTGAAACGGTTGACTATCCTGGTCTGATTGTTATTGAATACTTTTTTATTAATTTTAAAAAGAACTACGAACTAATTGTTGTAACTAATTGGTGATAAAACACATCCTAATATTTATTTTGTGACAAATCTACTGTTTTGAGATTGTTGTTCGGAACATAATAGTTTTTTATGTACCACGGGCATTATTAGTGTTTATAGCTTCCGAGGGCGACAGGTTTGCAAGGTCGAGGGCCTCCAACCAGATGTCCAGATTCGCGCCTTAACTTTTAACAACGAATTAATTTTTAATTCTATAAATTTAATTTAACTTTGAATACACTTATGTTAATAATACCTTCTGAGACTGTTTTTAATAATCAGAGGCTTTATTTTGATGACAAGTTATAATTATTCTCTTTTGTAATTTTGATGGATAAGTTTATTCATAACGTGGCAATGTTTAAATGAGGTTTGATTCGGCCCCGGTGAATAGGGGCCCAGTTCCGCCACTGTACGTGATGAAAACTTCCTCCCCACGTTCGTCCTGACCCATTTAATCCTTTGCCGAGTTAAGGTCACAACAGTTTTGGCCTTGCGTACCCTTCGTCCGACCTGACCTTATCCCTTTTCCCTAGTTGTGGAAATTAGGTCAGGGCGCGCGTCGGCGGCGGAGGCGACGGCGTCGTCGCCGTCGAGCATAACAGTTACCTCGGATGTCGTCTCCGATGCGTTATCTGTCCCGTATAAAGGGTGCTTTAAAATCATTTTCAAATCGCGTTTAAACTCGGATTTAACGGTGTGTTTGGTCGTTCGTTCATCGTCCGCCGGTTTGTTTTTATTTACGTTGTATTCTGCGAAAGACGCAATCAGGTTTTGTAGTGGTGGCCCCTTGACGTACCCCTCGGCACCGCCGCCTGATGCTTCGATTGTTATCGAAATTACCTTCCGTGCTGCACGCTTTCCAAAAGCCGATTCGATGCGAATACGAACGATTTGAGCCGAGCGAAGGTAGCCCTGCCACGTAATTGCGGATCAATAAACAAATCTGTGGTGCCCGTATAATACAAGTATTTAACGCCAAATTATTGAAATAATTGTGATATTTAGTATTCTCATTTGTTCGTGTGATAAGTCACCAACTTTTCAACTGTGAACGCGGTACAGTTTAGTGCATATTTATTGGATAATAATTAGAATGACTTGGGTGATGTTTCTCAAGCGTTCGCATGCTCCCCTCTACCAACTTGGCTAGTTGTTCCACGGGCGTCCATATTTGTGTGTAAGTTTTGCATTTGTACATTTTTTTTAAACAACTGCAATTATCTTAAACGTTCAAATAAACAATTTCGTAAATTACGAATAACGTCATATTTTACATCCCTTAAACTTTGTTACTTTGTACTTTTATCGATTTGATACGATTACATTTTATCAAAATGACATTTTGATTTATTTTTTGTGATGTTGGTAATTGAATTTTTTCGAGTATTCTAATCCCACGCCTACTCTTGCACTGCTTACACAATGCTCGAAAATATATAATCTTTCATTTCTAAAATTAAACCCGCAGAGATACTGAAATGTAGGTGGTTGTCGCATTTCGTGCACGTTAAAGTGGGTAGTGGCGTCGATTTATTATTTTTTTAATTTTATTTTGTAATCTTGCGGTTGGTAATAGTTGACGTTTGTTTGTTGTTTGTGTAAGATAAGATGGCGGTATTTGTTGTAGTAAATAAGGGGGCTCTTTTTGCAGATCTCTGGCTGGCCAGACTGATATGGAGCACTAGTGACGATGCGCGCCCCCACCCCCTCCGAGCCGAAGTCTACATTTCCTACCTACCAAGTGCCTCAAGTGTCAGCCATGAGGGGCAGCGCACCCCCAGTACAAGTCGCTCGGGCAGCTTGGGGGGGTCGAGCCGACCCCCCGAGCCAACCCTTCGCCTTTAAAGGCGCTACATCTGTGATAAACGGCTCAAGTTGCCGTTCATTCGGCAACTCTAATATTAGAATGCAATCTGTGACCGAAAACTGTCTTCTGAACTCTGTTACCGTACCAAAAATACAACGTAAAGACCACTGCAAGGTCGCCCACAATAATAGCGATAAGTTAGTATGTAAGTTTGGTGCTTTACCCCTCGGACGAGACATTCCCAACCAAAAGTCTGATGACCTCGAAGTACTCGACCTCAATGCACTGAAGAACCTCACTAGCTGCGATAACAACGACGAACACTGCGACGACGAAATGTGCCGTGAGCCCCACGTTCAGCGCACAAGCGATAATTATGCGCCGCCTTTGAGATTGAGAGGTGGCGGCGAAAGTTCGCTAAGCACCGGCACTTCTGGCTGGGGCACCCCACCCTCACAACAGGCCAGTAATAATAATGGTACTTAAAAAACTCTAAAATTGTTTAAACCAAATTTAAATTTATTTGATTTTGTTTAGCTAACAATTCGAGCGGCTGGGGAACAGCCAATCCTGCTAATCAAAACAATACAGGCACTCAGCAATGGAACAATAACGCAAACCGACCACCGACCTCAAGCCAGGGACCTACGCAAGATGGTAAAAATCTCAATTAAAATAATTAACACTAAAGTAATTAATTTTTTATATAGCCAACAAGGCCAATTCTAATCTGAATTCGAATGGACAACAACAAACACCCTCCTCACAGCCAAACAATTCCAGTTGGGGTCAACCAGGTGCAAAACCACCAACATCCAATAATGGACCTCAACCAACAACTTCAACTTCTTCTGCTAAACCACCAATCGCCACCACTCAACCGAACACGACCACTTCAACCAAACAACAACTTGAACAACTCAATAATATGAGAGAAGCCATCTTCAGTCAAGACGGTTGGGGAGGCGTACGTATTTTTCAACTGTTTTTAACCCAAAAAAAAAAAATAAAAATTAATATTTTGTGCAGCAACATGTGAATCAGGACACGAACTGGGACATTCCCGGCAGTCCAGAACCCTCTATGAAAATGGACGGTTCTGGTCCCCCACCATGGAAACCGGCAATCAACAACGGTACCGAACTGTGGGAAGCCAACTTGCGTAATGGCGGTCAACCGCCTCCGCAGCCCCAACAGAAAACCCCATGGGGTCACACCCCTTCGACCAATATCGGCGGTACTTGGGGCGAAGACGACGATGCCGACAGTTCAAACGTATGGACCGGTGTCCCTTCAGGTCAACAACAATGGGGCAACACTGCAAATAGTGGTGCTATGTGGGGCGGTCCTAAAAAAGAGTCCGAATGGGGCGCAACGGCTGGAAATCCCGGCTGGGGTGATCCTCGTACTACTGCCGATCCACGTGCTACCGGCATTGATCCGCGAGATATACGACCGGATTTAAGAGACATGCGAGCCGGAAGTTCGGATCCGATGCGATTATTAGATCCTCGAGAACAAATGAGACTGGCCGGAAGTGATATGAGAGGCGATCCGAGAGGAATCACCGGAAGACTGAACGGAGCCGGCGCCGATGCGTTCTGGGGACAAGCAGGACCACATACAGGGGCTCAACATATTCATCATCAGAATAAAATGCCGGTGGGACCTGGAAATGGGGCCGGATGGGAAGAACCATCGCCGCCGACACAGAGACGTAATATGCCCAATTATGATGACGGTACTTCGCTCTGGGGCAACCCTCAGCCAGGTAGCGTAGCGGAATTGCACTTTTATTTATTTAATTTTTTTTGGATAATTGGTTTGTGATTTTTGACAAAACTACACGCAAAAGTTGAGTAATACTGATAAGTACCACTTGATAAAATGAGATAACAAGCCGCCATTTTGGGTGCTTATTATTATTTAAGTTGAAAATGCACTTTTTTGTTTCAAGTGCTTTCAAATATTTACGTAAGATTTAAAGATTAAGGAAAATTTGTTTTATTCTTGTGCAATAAGAAAAAAAGAAATTAAGTAGTAGATAACGTGTTTTATTAATGTAAATCACTAAAAAAGCTTTAAAGAAATCGACATCGAATTTATTTTAAGAGCTAAAATTCCTTAGAGTTTATCAAATTCTAATTTTAGCTATTGTAATGTCTTTTAATAAACATGGTTGTTGTTTGAATATAAATAGAACGCATCAACACTGAGTCACGTAACAATGACAAAAAAAATAAATAAAATTTTCGGTAATTTTTAACGCTTACGTTTCAATTCAAATATTTAACATGTATTGTTGATGTGTGTTATTGAGATTTGCGTGTTTTTTTGACAAGAAATAATGTAAATATTTCCTGTGCTAGAAAGAGGAATCAACGATGGGTAATTAGACTAATCAAGATTTTATTTTATTAATATATTTTGACATTTACACGAGAATTACACCGCAGCCACTTGGCCATACATACACTTATCATAATCACACTTGCACTCATCCGACTTTTCACCTACAATAGGCTCTCACTGGAAAGATCTGCCCACAGGGGCAAGTATGGGACGCGGTAGCACCGCTGGTCCACCTGGAATGGCCCAATCTCGCATTAAACCAGATGGTTCGGTGTGGTGTCACGGCCGAAATGGGTCATGGGACGAAGCCGGACCTGGATGGGACGAATCTGTTGGCGGTTGGAACAAGCAGAAAATGGCCGGTACGCATCTATGGGGAGACAACGAAATCGACTGGGGACACAAACAAGGCCCCAAGCAAAATCTCACAAAAGAAATGATCTGGAATTCCAAGTGTTTCCGAATGTTGATGGATATGGGATATAAGGTCAGTATTACATATATTTTCTTGAAATTTTTTTTATACATTTGTTTTTCTTTACAGAAAGAGGACGTAGAAACGGCTCTAAGGCGCGGCGACATGAACTACGAAGATGCCCTTGAGATTTTGGGATCTCGTAATCCAGACGGTTGGCGAAACCGCCACGATGACCACTATGATCATCAGCAATTCCCTGGTCAGCGATTCCCATCGGGACCTCCGGGACAAATGTTCCCACAAGGCAACAACGCTCCCAACCTCCTCAATAACATGAATAGTTCAGGTGGGCCAAATAACTCTCTCATTAATAACATCTCGCCTGCTGGAGTACACAAAATGTTGACACAAGGCGGGGGCGGTTCACAAGGTTTCGGAGCGGTTTCGGCAGCCGGACGCAATCTCCAACCTCAATCACAACCCTCGACTCAACAATTACGTATGCTCGTACAACAAATTCAGATGGCCGTGCAAGCCGGTTATCTCAATCATCAAATTCTCAATCAACCGCTAGCACCGCAAACTTTGATTCTATTGAATCAATTGTTGCAACAAATCAAAACACTTCAACAGTTGATGACTCAACAATCGGTTGCACAGTCACAATGTATCAACGGGAAGCCAAACAGTGCATTATTGCAATGTTCGGTGTTGATTACGAAGACTAAGCAACAGATAACAAATTTGCAAAATCAGATTGCCGCACAACAAGCGATTTATGTAAAACAACAGAACCATGGAAGTATTGGAGGTGGACAGTCGGATCTGTTCAAGGCGGCTGCACCGATGCATGACTCGATCAATGCCCTGCAGAGTAATTTCGCTGATTTAGGGATTAAGGATCAAGTGGTGAGTGTCACAATTGCAATACTAGGATGTTTTATTTAATTTTTTTTAGAATCAGAGTCAATCAAGACTTAACCAATGGATTAACAAGGATAAAGAAGAAGGTGGAGAGTTTAGTCGTGCACCAGGTTCATCGTCAAAACCTTTGGCTACCTCGCCTAATATGAATCCATTGGGGTTGACCCAACCCGATGGGTGAGTATCATATGGGATTTTTTTGTTTTTTAAAAAGATATTCAATGATTAAAAATAACGGATCCAATTAATGATAGTTGCGTGATTATTCATTTTATATGAGAAAGTTCATGTAAAAATCTGTTTATTTTAATAATATCAACAACTAATTGAATGAATTAAAGTCCATGGTCTAGTGGCCGAACTGGCGACGGAGGTTGGCCAGAATCCGGCGGCGGTGATACAACAAACGATGGTAAAGACGCACAGTGGCCCACGCCTACTCAACCATCCTTGTCTGATTTAGTACCTGAATTTGAACCTGGAAAACCCTGGAAGGTACAATTAAACCGCTTAAAAATTATATACATATTTTTAATTTATAAATATACAGGGTAATCAAATAAAATCGATCGAAGACGATCCCAGTATTACTCCCGGTTCAGTAGTGCGTTCGTCACTCTCAATCGCTACCATAAAAGACACCGAACTTTTTCAAATGAACCCGAATAATAAAAGCCCTCCAGCCGGTGATACAATACAGCCCCTAAGTCTCAGCTCGTCGACATGGAGTTTCAATCCGCCAGCTTCGACATCGAGCGCGTTTACTAGGTTTGAAGTACAATCAACTTGCATTTCAACATTTTTATCGTTGAATTTAGTCCTCAGAATAAATTGCCGTCTGGAAAGAGTGGTTTAGGTGAATTAAATCCAACCACTGCTGTCACTTCTGAATTATGGGCAGCTCCAAAAAGTCGCGGCCCGCCTCCAGGCCTTTCCGCTAAAGGCGGAGCTTTGGTCAACGGCTGGTCGTCGGCAGCATCGTGGAGCGGCGGCCAACGTGGCTCTGGGAGTTGGGGCGGGTCTCCATGGCTTCTTCTCCGTAATTTAACCGCTCAGGTATTATTAACCAATTGAATTTTTGGGGTTGGTATTAATAAAACTGGGCGTGGTTATAGATTGACGGATCGACTTTACGCACACTCTGTATGCAACACGGTCCATTGCAAAGTTTCCATCTTTATTTACATCAAGGATTCGCTCTTGCCAAATACTCGACACGTGAAGAAGCTACAAAAGTGAGTGTTTTCGGGTGCGTTTTGATGGATGCTAATTGTATTTTTTACAGGCTCAAACTGCCTTAAACAATTGCGTGCTCGGTAACACTACGATATTGGCGGAAAATCCGTCAGAATGGGACGCCAATGCTCTGTTGCAACAAGTTGCAAATCAACAGAGTTCATCGGGGGCGTGGAGAGGTTCCACCAAGCAACCTAGTACAGGTAGTGACACCTGGAGTACTGGTTGGTCAAACAGTCAATCAACAGCTAGTCTATGGGGAAGCACTACATTGGATACGACCGATCCAGCACGTGCTACCCCTTCGAGCCTAAACTCATTTCTTCCCGGCGACCTCCTCGGCGGTGAGTCAATGTAAACAAAAAATAATAATAAAAAACGACTGACACTGACTTCACATTATATTGGGTGTTGATGATTTCGATAAATCTGATGTTTTACAATACGTTTTTAAAATGATTGATTTTTTACTAGTGACTTGTAAGATGTCGGAAATCAGAAATGTATTATTCCACTTTTATTGTTATTTGTAACTTTTAATTTTACGACGGTTGTTGTTTTTAGGATTGCTCTATTATTTTTGTCTCTTTAAGTTTCACAGATGTACACAAGAACCAGTCGTGAATATCTTTTGTTTTATTTTAAATTGAGATTAAATAGAGTTGCCATTTTTATTATTTATTTATTATTTAATTGAGAAAAAGAAGTAATTGTGTATGTTTGTGATGCGCAAGATTTGTTTGTAAAAGAGAATTAGCAAATAAAGTATTAAAATTTGAGAAAAAATTGCAAAAAAAATACGTCAACACTTGTTACTTAAAATTTTATTGTAACATAATTCCAATTGTGACTGTGAGGCGGCGTTTTTCTTGTTTTCCACTGATGGCGCTCAAGTTTCTAAACGCACTTAATGTGACATTTCATTTTTAGACGTAACCCGAACTAGTCCCGAGCAAGGTTAATTATATATATATATATGAAACAAAAATATATAATATATATGTACGCGACCAAACTCATTATTCGTGTATTTAAAAACAAAAAAATGAAAAGAAGATTGAATTATTTAAGGTGTACTGTATGTATTTGATTTGTTCTCTCACATTTAGATATTTTTTTCCTATATTAACTATTGTATATTAATGTTGTTTTTAATAATTTAACGTACCTAAGTTGTTTGTATGTGTTTGTTTCCCAGTGTGGTATGTCCGTTCTTTACACAGGTCTTGGGCATGTGGCATTTGTTTTTCCGGTTATCTCAATTAACGATCAATTTAAACGACGGTGATTGGTGTGAAAGTAAGATGTGTGTAAAGAAGGTGCTGTTAATTTGTTAACCCCACAAAACCTGTGATCTCCAATTCCTTATATCAAAAAATACACATACAAATTAATCATTTATGTAATATTGTTATGAATTAAGCCGGTCGTGAATAGACCGTAAGCTGAAATAACACCACACAATCAGTTCTTAGACTGCACGCTATAAGTATTCTTAAATAAATTTAGTAATAAACACAATATAATAATAGCGGATAATATATATCGTTCTAATTATAAAAGTTTATTATATACCTATATATTACTGTATTCTGTGTACTGTATGTATGTTAGCCATAGACTTGGATATGTTGTAATATTAGTCCATTTACTGTGATTTTTTGTTTCGGATCGGTCACCCGAACGGTTCGCTCGTTGGAAGCGTCACCTTTCGGAGCCAAAATGAAACATGTTCAATCACATATTGTGTTAACGTGGTGTTCATGAGATATTGATTCATCTATAGCTAACAGTATGAATGGTGACGGATGAGCCATTCTGAGTCTCGAGACGGCGAGTGGTGCCCTCTTTCCGACCTTCGCACCATCAAAATTTTGACTCACATTCTAGTCCGACATTTCTTTTATTTATTATTCTATTTATAGTGAACGTATTATTGTCCAGCAATGTTACCTTAACTGAACTCTAGTGAAATTAAACAAAAGAGAAGACTGAAACAAAAAAAAAACATTTTAAGATCTTTAATGACAAGTGCATTTATTTAATGGACGTGATAAATACGAGAGATCGGCAAGAGGGTGCTACTGTCGGTACTCAAATCTCTGATATACTTCACTTAAATTGCTCCAAACACCGGAATGTTCCGGGTTTGCTCGGAACATTTCGGCATGGTTCACTTTAGATATCTTTACAGGTTCGATGCATTGACTAACATATGTTTTTTATGTACACAACTGTGCTGTGACTCTTAAGTGGCTTTTTAATTTTTAAAAATAATTGAAAAAACCCAAAAAAAAATCGTTTTGTTCAAGAGAGCTCTTGATTTAAAAGCTTCGGTTAGCTTTTAAACGGTTATTTATCATTAATCAAGTCGGTCATGTCCCGGTTTTATTCGATTCGATTAAACTAAGTCATATCGTAAACAATAATATTAAAAAGGAAAGAAAATGCAGGAACAATTAAGTCAGGGTTTTTATTTCGTTGTTGATTTTTCGTGGGGATCGGGGTGACTTGATAAATGGTTCATGACTAGATAAATGGTGCAAAAATTGGGCTACTTTTCGGGAGGTGCGATTTCACTTGCTTTAATTTATATAAAACTTGAGAAATGAAAAGACGCTTTATTTGGACCTCTCGGACGAGCCTATACGTTGTAAGTTCCAATAGAATTTCTAAAAAAAATCTAGTATCTTATTGCCAATTTAGTATAATGAATGTATTAGAAGTTAGGTATTACGATATTAATTAGAATTAAGAGTTTGGTAGTAGGGTATTCTTTCATGTTGTGTATTATAAATATTTGACAACCGACTCTGAATGTTACAGACAGGAGAATTTTTCGCAACAGTCGTTAAATGATGTACCCATCTCCTCGAAAAACACTTTTTTTAACCTAGGTGTGTAAAAATTTTGAAACCGAAATGCCATAAATCAAGTCAGAAAATGTAAGGCAATGATGGTGGTACAAGTCAACTAAATTAGACTAAAGTAATACTTATAGTATAATAATGTACCAAAAGCTATAGAGAATTGTTTTTATTTTTATTTAACCAGTTGAATAGGGTATTTTTGAATGAACGTAGTGATAAGTTTTAAAAAATTTTGGAAAAAAAACGGCAAAAAAATAACGCCCGAGTCGTATTGTGATTTACTTACTTTATATCGAGTGTGCATTAACGCGAAACCGTGTCCGCGGTTTTTTCAAATATTCTGTGTCTGATATTGTGTACCTTCAGAAAAGTAGTTTTAGTGTTGTTTATTTAATACATGGAAAAATGACAAAAAAAACATAGGTTAAGCTCAGCTTAAGATCATACGGTAGACTAGGTTTCTGCACAATAACATTGAACTAACCTGTGGCCATTCAGGCTGTCACGTGACCGGTATTTCCGGCCTCACACGATTCAACCAAATTGACACACATTACACACACGGATCTACTTACATGTAAAACGCCAATCGAAAAATTGAAATCAGTCACAAGAAATGTGTAGAAGGAAAGAAGTATTTGATTTAGGTTTACAGTATTTGTGATCAAAGTGCCACTTGTGTTTCAAGTATATATTTAATCATTGTCGCCACTGAAACTATATATCTTATATATTAATTAAAGAATATATTATATGAACATTATATGGTAAAACATAGACGGCATATCTGCCTTAGTGTAGGGTAAAATTTTTTGGTGTTCGGTAGCTGTAAGGATGTTTATTGAGCTTAATAATTCCCGGATCGGGGCGGTTATAACCGGAGTTCAATTAAGAGGAAAAAAAATCATTTCGCACCGCCCGGATCGACAAAAAAGAACCGGAAAACTTGAGGCGTTGGCAATATATAAACATATATTATAGTAACGTTTTATCCAGGTGGCTGTTTGTTATTAATTGTGTATTTATTAAGACTTACGAAATGCCAAAGTTTTATTGTAAATGTGTCGATGCAAAATTTGGAATGTTTCTCCCCTTTTTAATACTCACAAGTTCACACACTACTAACGACTTGTGAGTTTTTGTTTGAGCCATATCAATAACATATTAAATAAAAAAAAAATGCCAACGTGATGAGACATTCATGAGGTTAGTAACAAATTTAGTTTTGACGATGACATTCCTCTATTGCAACATTCACAAGGTCACACGAAGTCTGCCAAAAAAGAAAAAAAATATTTTTGAAAAACAGATCGGCAATAATAGTCAAAATTTTCAAATTATGGCCAGTAATCTTGTTGTTGAATCACACGTAATGTTCATCACGCTTTTCGCTTGTAGGTTTCATAGTCGCGATGTTCACCATATTTGATAATACCAAACGATGTGCCTCTTTGACTTATTGTTATTTATACACGACGAGCACGTGACCTGCCCGGTCTCGAATTTTTCCCGTAAAAAATTCATATAAATGTCTTAACAGACCTGAGCTTCAATAATTAATAAGATTTGAACGAAACAAAAGGTATTCGGGCGATTTTGATTTTGATTTGAGAGTCGTTTTGTGATAGTTTGAGGTGGTGTCAGGAGTAACAATTGACGATTGCGTGGACAAAAAAATAAAACAATTAAATGTCTGATCTAAGTCGTAATGGTTGGTGGGTATAAATAAGTTAGTTTTACTTAACAAAAAAAAACTCGTTACTTAAGCGTAGACAAGGCAGCATTTAGTCAATAACTTAGTATTACATTATAGTTGTGACGTCACAACGTGCAATACTTTTCCTTTTTCCAAGTATTATTTTACCGTACGCTTTCGTTTCTAGTGGATATATTATTTTTTTTAATTTTAATAAGTGCAGTCTCTTTGATCGGATACTCGTTTTTGTTTTGTTTTTTGTTTAACTTTTTGCTGCACGCATCTTGCCATCCCGTTGATGATTATTTCACTGAATACCAAAGACGTCGAAGTGTCATATCGATCATTTTGTGTTTAATTTAAATTTCTTTCGTCTAGAATTTCCGCCAAAATCTTCCAGCTGAGGTTGTGATAGTGTCGTAGTGTTTTAATGCTTTTTATTATTTTTTAGTTTTAGGTACCTTGACCCGAATTTGACCCTATTCGTGGCCATTTTCCGGACTTTTGTTTTTTTATTTTTTAATGATAGGAGCCAAATTTAGTGTTAGCACAATGATGAAACTCTTACAAGTGCCTATTTAATGTGCAATTGATCTTGGGCCTGACTTTTCGACAGGGTTTTACTAATATATAGGGCGATTCAAATGATTGTGTATATTTCCAATTTTCAAAGGTCATAGCCCCACTGTACAAATTCACAAGAATAGTAAAACAATTTAGCCCTACTATTGAAATGAAGTTGAAGTTACATAATGTGTTTTTTGATTGTTTGCATAAAATCGATATCGATGTCTGGTGTGACCTGCGCAAACGTTTTGTTGTGTTGTTATTTTATTGGGTTTGTGTTTTGTTTTTGAAATGGGGGACGTTTGTGAGGGTCGTGCGGGACGTCGACTGTTATTTAGTTGACGATCTCGGTGAGAGATTAAGCTAGCTGGAACTGCCAACTGTAAAAAGATAAATGAACTTATGTATGTCCTATTTAATCAGAGTTTTACTCGTACGTAGGTTTAATAATGTAACATATGCTGTGTTTGAGCTACTAATCGACACTAGGGGTTTCCCGAGCACAGCCTGACGGTGAGTCGCCTGGTGTGCGCTAGGTGTAGGTAGTTTGTGGGGTAGTAGATGATCGTTAGGCCCTCTTTCTCAGGTTTAGAAATATCGTCACTGTTTTTTCTTAGGCTGTAGTAAATAAAAACGTACTGTTAAGCAAACATAACATTCCGTTGATTTCCAAATTGACAAAATTTCATTTTTCGTTCACATTTCGGATCGAATTTGTATAAAGAATCAAAAAAACGATTTGCCTTAACAATGACAAAAGTGTGCTCTCTGTCTAGTTTCTAACGTTTTTTTTTRCCTAGGATATTATTATTATAGGTTTAGGGTATCGGGTTAAAGCCATTCGATGGCCAGAAGACTGTAGGAATACCAGGTGATTAAAGCGATTCTCCGGCATCAAATTCCGGGATCGCTTTAACGATTCGAAAAATATAACTTAAGACTTTTGCACAGGTTAAGTATAAAAAAAACAAAATAAATTTTTGAGAGAACACTCGGTCCATATTCAAAAGGTGCTCTTATTGTTATTGAAAGCTTTATTTCGTATGTGTGAATCTCCCTGCAATAGCCGTTTGTCACATAAACGATACAAAAATCAATTTCTCTCTCTCGTTCAGTTTCAAATTAACGTCCGTACCAAAAACAAGACCCAAATTTTTTACTTGAAACGTGCCAAAATTTTGCTTAGAAACTTTTGCTCACGGCGGTCGCGCGGACTAATCCGCGAACCGTATACGCTTACCTGCTGTGTATATTAACTTATATTTAAAAGAAAAATGAATGCAATATATAATGTGTATATATTGGCTGAAAAACTGTACAATTGTTATAATTTCATAGTATATAATGTATAATGAATTACTTAATTATAGGATTAGGAAATGTGTTATTATATATGTAAGGTAACATAGTATTACGGATTTATAAAAAATGAAAAATGACCGGTCGCTGATTTTTACTCCATTGACACCACCACTGACACGTGACGAGACGACGATGTTCGTTTGTTTTTTATTTCTAGCCTCTGATTTGTTTATTGTGTGACTCGAGTAGTCACCACCGCCACATTTTTGTTTTTTTTTTGTTCTCAGTTAGGTTAGGTTATGGGTTAATCGGTTAAGACTATTATTAAGTGTGTTCATTTGTAGTTTATAATTTTTTGCAACAGTTAATCTCAAAAGTTTTAATTGTCGTTTTCTGTTTCGATTAAATTTTGTTACCAAATAGCATCACATGACGATTTTGATTGATTTTAGAGAAAAATAATAATGGCCTAAACAAGTTCCCTCCTCTAAACTTCTAGTCCAACATAATGCCTGAACAGTTATTCCATTCTTGTAGCATTTTTTTTTAATAATAATAATTTATTATGTAATGTTGAGTTTGTTGTTGAAAAGTAGTGCAAGTTTCGTGAATTTGAACAATCACAAAGTACTAATAGCAATCGTTGAGCGTGTTATGATTTGGCGTTATTTAGATTAATTGATGAATATAAAAGCCTTCCAATCTTCCAAGAGTGCAAGAGAGTTCCTTTAATTTTTAGCGACTCGCTTCGACGACTGAGTCTTTAACAAAACGTATACCTGCACCTTATTATGGTTGTGTTATTTAAAGTAGATGATTTATTTTTTGTTCTGTAAGAGCTGTAATTAGTACTAAGGTAGTAGTTATTCGAATAAGGCAATATTTAAATTTATTTTTCTGTTGACCGTTTAAAAATATGTGATATGCTGACAATTTTATAATACAAATTATCGCATCTGAGGTACCTTATCTAACATCACTATCGTTCGTAGTAGAAGAAAAATTTAAAAGAGCAAAAACGTAATTTCATTGTGACAATGTATATCGAAAAAGCAACACTCCTCACACCACGCATCGATCAGTGTGCCCCCTCGGGCGGCGGTATCAACGATGTACATTCTCATCGTCGCTGTACAAATCGACACTATAGGCTTAATGCGTCTTTCAGACATTTATAACGGTCTTTTATCCATTTAAAATTCGGACAACGGTAGTTGTGCGGTCGGCTAGGTCTGATCTGGTTAAGTTCTTCATTAAAAAAGACAAGGAGAATAAATTGAAGAAAAAAAACGTGTGAATCTCTAACAAGTCGACGACATTAGTTTCATGTCCGATATTGGGAGGGTAAACTCAGGGACCAGGCCAAAATGTCACGGTGATATCAAATAAACTTAGACAAAATTAAGAAAATCAAATCTGATGTGTACTACACCCCCAAATAATAACGTATAATACATTTCAATAAGATAATTATTTAATAAGAACTCAATTGTATGTTGTAGGAACAAAAATTTAAAAAAAAAACTGTATAAACGTTACTAAAAACGACAAAAAAAAGTCATAAACCCGACTGCACTGTTTCTTTATGATGTATTATTCTAAATTTTGATGGTTATTTTGATGCCTATACGAGTCCAATCATGTGTCTACCACAAAACTATGCAGTGCAGCAGGGCACCTAGGTTAAGGTAGGTTATGTAAGTGCTTTTAAACAACTTACAAGTTGTTATGCTCTGTACTTGTAACCCAATTGACCAGTATGCATTCAGTAATAAAGGTTGTCTTAAATGTACATTTTTGATTATTTCCCCTGCCCCTCCAAATCCTTTAAATAGGCGATTGCAACAGTAGTTATCTATGAAAGTGATTAATTAGTTAATTACTTTTGTTTAAAACAACTTCCCGGTGCGATTTTGAGCTATTAGGGTATCACAGCCGATAAGCAACATTTATCGGATTGTTATTTTTGACACAATAAATCAAATTTTTGTCAATTTTACTTGAAATATTATGGAAAAATAGTTATTTGTATTACAAGGGAGGAAAGTGTATCTTTTCCTTTCACAGTTGGAATTTAAGTCCTGCTCGAGCTTCCCGAGCAACCATCAAGGGAGGAAAAGGCACGTTTTCCCATTGTAATATAATTTTTCCTACAACCCAGCTAGAGAAAAGGTTTTTTTAGATCTCACAGGTAATTTGCCACTTTCTTTGTAACTAGGGTACTAACGTGGAAAAAGTTATATGATAAACGAGATTCACATTGTTGGTTGCATAACTTTGTGCGGTTATTATATTATTATTCATTACCATACTTTTTAAGGTTTTGCAAGATACATATTAAGAGTCTGTCTTGTTAAATTACTTTTAATAGCCGCATTAATTTATTTAAATCTTAAATTTTTTGACAACTAATACAAGGTGTATTGTTAGTTGCATAACTGTGATGTGTCATAATTGTCAATACTTATTTCCCACACCAGTTCTAGAGCATTCTAACCTCATTGTCTCTAAGCAGTGCAAATTCTCCGATTTTTGTGAAAGTTTCAAATATGCCCAAGGTGCGACGTAGCAAAAAACCGCCCCCAGAGGGTTGGGAATTGATCGAGCCAACTCTTGATGAGTTGGAGCAGAAAATGAGAGAAGGTAAGTTCGTTTGTATGACCTTAGCATATTTTTCAATTGTATCTTCCAGCCGAGACTGAATCACACGAAGGCAAACGAAAAAACGAATCTTTATGGCCCATATTTAAGATCCACCATCAGAAATCACGATACATTTATGACCTATTTTACCGAAGAAAGGCAATAAGCAGAGAGTTGTATGACTACTGTCTTGTGGAAAATATCGCCGATAAGAATCTGATAGCCAAATGGAAAAAGCAAGGTTATGAAAATTTGTGTTGCTTGAGATGCATACAGGCAAGAGACACGAATTTCGGGACAAATTGTATTTGTAGGGTGCCAAAAGGGAAGCTTGAAGAGGTATGGGGGAAAGTTTGGGGAATTTGTTTTTATTTTGAAATTGTAGGGCCGTATCGTTGAATGCGTTCATTGCGGATGTCGAGGATGCTCGGGATGAAGAAAATCACATTTATTTTACTATTTTTAAATTATTACATGTCTAGTTTAATAAAAATTATAAAATGACTGGTGACTTTTATTTCATGTGTTTTTATGTTGGTATTGCCTTGACAGTGACTACTAACCTATAAACACGTGCGAAACAATTTTGAAAATGGCAAAACGTAAAGAAAACAGTGAAAGTGAAATTGTCGCCCCTAAAAAAATTAAAAATAAATCAGACCTCGCTTCAAAATCCAAAAAAGTGAATTTCGAGAAAAAGTCGAAATTTTCAAAATCGACTAAAGCCGAGCCTAAAAAAATCGTTAAAGGGGCAAATGGCAAGAAAGTAAGTAATGAGACACAAAAACCCGAAGACTGGAACGAATTCAAGAAGAAGAAAAAAGAATTAAGGTTAAAAAGGCGTCAAAACAAGCCCGGATTCGATATAATAGTTGAAGCTAAAAGAATGGGCGAAAGGTTACGTTGCAAAACCTTGAAAGGGGGCGAGGAGGAACGTGTTATTTTAATAAATAAATTACACTCGTTACTAAAAGGAAAAGGTCACTATGCAAAGTTTGTTTTGGCCCATGACACCTCTAGAATAGTACAATGGTTACTAAAATACAGTTCAGACATAGTAAAACAGCAAATATCACAGGTAAAAACCACAAAAATGTAATTAATAATTCTAAAAAATCATTTTAGGAATTAATTCCGGTCACTGTAGACATGCTCCAATCCAAATACGGTATTTTCTGCGCCAAACGCCTCCTCAAATACGGCAATCACGACACGAGAGCCTCCATGATCAAACAAATGTACGGCCACGCCGTCAAACTCTCAAGTCATGCCCTAAGCGCCTCCGTTTTCGAGTATGCCTACTCCACATGGGCCACAAGCCAACAAAAACAGCACTTGACCCAGGAATTCTTCGGCGATATGTACAAAACGAGCAAAGACAATGCAATCAAGCACTTGCGCGACGTCTTCAAGCAAAGCCCCGACTTGAAAACGGCGATCTTGGGGGCCACCAAGGCGAATTTGGGTCGGATTTTAGACAAAAATTTGCTGGATTCGGGATTGGTTCAAACGGTTTTGCACCAGTTTCTTTGCGAGTGTTGTGATGAGGACAGGAGTGAACTTATTTCGCAATTAATTCCCCATATTGTGGTTATTAGTAATAGCAAAGACGGGTCAAGGGCGGCTATGCAGTGCATCTGGCACGGGTCTAACAAGGACAGGAAGTTGGCCATGAAAACGATAAAGGAACACGTGACTGAAATGTCAAAACATGAGCATGGGCATTGTGCCATTATTACATTATTGGATACAGCTGACGATACTGTTTTGTTGCACAAAATCGTAATTGGGGAGATTTTGAAGGGGGCCCGTGACTTGGCTGTGAACGAATGGGGGCGCAAGGTGCTACTATGGTTGGTGACCCCAGGCGACCCGACTTGTTTTCATCCCGTGTTTGTCAAGGAGTTGGAGGAGGGGCGACAGAAATCCAACTCGAAAAAGGATCCCCAAATTAGGAGGAAAGAAATTTTGGAATACTCCATTGAAACCTTGCTCGGTTTAATAGGAGAAGAACCCGAGTTTTGGCTAGGGAATTCGTCACTAGCCTATGAAATGTTGGCAATAGTGAGAAGCGGTTAGTTAGTTTAATCACAAACCACTGAGATTGTAACTATTTGTTTGATAGGTAGGGGAGAAGGGCTCAAAAAGGCCCTTGAAAGTCTTGTACAAGTCATAATTAATCCTGATTGGACGATTAAAATAAACGACAAGGGGATTTCGGGGGTGGAAGACGCCGGTATTCACATGGTTTTGAAAAAATTGGCCAAAAATGACCAAAATATCGAAAATTGTGATTGCACATTTGGATCATTATTAATTAATTCAATTTCAGATGAAACCGTAAGTTGGTGTGTTTTGTTAACAAAATAATATTTTTTTGTGATTTCAGTTACAAAAATGGTTAGGCTTGAATCGCGGATGTTTCCTATTGGTAGCAGTGTTTGAAAATAATTCGGCGCTTCAAGACAACATGAAAACAAAATTAAAGGAACATAAAAAGTTGTTAAAGTCGCAAAGTTTGGCCGGAAGTCAAGTTTTGTTGAAGAAAATCACGGAATGATTTTTTTTATGAATGAATAAAAAGTAATAAGAAAAACATCTAATGGTAACATTTATTGGTAACTTATTAATACATTGAATCAATTCGTCCACCTAAATATAATATTTCATAAAAATAAAAATCACATTTCAATAGAAAAATAATTATAAATAATAGTCTTTTTATATCAATTCACGTTGAAACCTGAATTCAACAAAAACCAAATCCCAAACTGAGATAATGAGACATATCTACAGTTGTCTTTTTTTATTGCTAATTAAATTATGCTAATGACCTATTTCCGTGACAAGGAACAACTTTACTATGCGACACCCACTTAGATAATAAATTCATAATCGAAGCAGCATTTTAAATTTTGAGTATTGATGTACCAATTGTTAGAAAATTGTGCTCCAGATATGTAATCTGCCAATATGTTTATCTTCTTTAGTGCCCGTGAATTGCTTATTTATTGTCGCTCAACCTCAACAAAAAACTGTGATAACAATCGCTTCGCAAACAAGTTGATCCCACTTTATCAAATAAAAATAAATAAAATGGCACTGGTTAAAAAAATAAAACAAGTGCATACGACTCGATCCTACCGACTGCGCCAATTGGTCGAGTCACACTGACTCTACTAGCACAGAAACGCCTAAAATTGCTTCGAAAAATAAAGCAAAACTCGCTACAAGCAACTCGACAATTATTATATAACTGTACATTGAACATTCTATATAATTATGTAACATTTTTATAATTCAACACATTATTTTGAAGTTTGTGTGATATAAGTAGCTACTATAAGTACACGGCTTTACAAAAACGCAACGTAACACTCGTTGAGGTTCATCGAAATAATACTGAAAACTAAAACCTTGTTTCCGTACGATTCTAAGTACAAAGGACTTATATACTGAAAATGTCGGCGAGTTTTCGACTCGCTTTAGAGATGAGGCAGCTGCGCTATGTTCACTATGAGAATCGGCCCAGTTAGTAAGCTGGCGCTTGGAAATCCGTCGGTCCCCGCTGGTTAGGACCGGCGGAAAACGGGGGCTCCTGGTAGTGCTGGTCCGAATCGGGCCCCCCGGGATAAGACGGATACGAGCCGGGCATACTCGTATCGGCCTCGTAGTTAGTGGCAAACGCCGCATCAGCCCCCTGRCGRAAACGCTGGAACGCGAAAAACGCACTGCCGGCCTGAAAACCCACCTTCGAAACAACAACAACAAAACAGCCACCACTCGCATACCCAGGAGAAAATCGAAAAGAACGAAAAGGCGATTGCGGCCTGGACGTTGTTCACGCCGTAGCCGTTCTCCGGGGTGTTGGACTTGCCCCACTGGCTGGCGAGGTACCAGAAGCCCACAAAGTACAGGAACGCCCAGAGTGCTGCAAAAGCGGTGGTGAATATAGTCCGGTCAAAATAGACATTTCAAATAACTAAAATTCCGACAGAGCTAAATTTTGGTGGAGATCACACCATTAGGAATAAAATGTCAAAAATCCCCAACGATCCCAAGTGTGCTAAAAAAGTTATTCGGGGTCAAAGGTCAAAATTTGACGTTTTTTCGAAAACAGTAAGTTTTATCAAAAAAATAGCCCAGACAAAAATTATAGATCTTAAAATTATCTACAAAAATGGTCCTTATACTTTTTTTCTAAGAATCACCATTCCTGAGATATCGCGATTCTAAAAGTTGAAGGAGTCACATTCTACATGATATGCACATACAGAGTGCGCCAGAACTCGCGCCCCAAAGAAAAATGCTATGTAAGGTAAGGTACCAGGAACATGGAAAAAATTTAAAAAATTCTATCTATAAAAATTTCGAAGTTATGAGAGTTTAAATTTTGCACTTTGACTCTATTTATTTCTGTAGGATAAATAATTTTCCAAGTTTTTTTGCTACAGGCTATTAGAAGAGAAAACAAGTCAGCTGTATTCTAAATTATAACTCTGTTTAATTTTATTTGTGGCTTTTGTTGACTGAAGTAAAATTGTAAAAAAACATACAGGGTGTCAATTTTAAAACTTGCAATCGGCAATATCTCTAGAACTAAAAAAGTTATTGAGAATCACTCAAAACCGTTTCGGTGGTTTTTAGGGGGAATCAAAATGGCATGGTAAGTGACGCTCCTCCACCCAGCCTTCAAGCCACAGCCACCTTAAGTTGAAAATTGTAAATGGCACGACCCTACTTGCGATACATCGTTGTAAAGCCCATAACAAGTGCTTTTCAAAAATGTCATACAACAGCCTATTTGATAAAGCCATTTTTTAAATTATTCAAAAATGAAGACGTTAAATTTTCATTTTTGTATTATATTCAAGGGTGGGTGGAGGTGTGTCACTTATCATGTCATTTTAATTCCCCCTAGGAACCACCAAAACGGTTGGAGTGATTATTAATAACTTTTTCAGTTAAGAGAAATTGCCGATTGCAAGTTTTAAAATTGACACAGTGTATACAAAATCATCAGTACCATTAAATAGACATAAAAAATGTCAAATGTCAAAATTTGGTATCTCTGATATCTGGTATCTTATCTTACTTGAAATTTTTCTTTTACTTCATTAAACTTATAAATATCTCGATTCCATTAGAATTAAAAAGAATTTATTTGGTAATACATACACAGTGTTCAAAAAATCGCGCATTTTTTTTGAAAGGGAGTAATTGGATAGTCCCCAGAGTCCTGAAAAAATGTTTAAAAAAATTTGACATTTATTTTTTGACATTTGACATTTTTTTTATGTCTATTTAATAATACTGATGACCTTGTATATGTTTTTTTATAATATTTTAATAAAGGTACAAAAATTTTGTCAATAAAAGCCACAAATAACATTAAACAGAGTTACAGCTTAGGATACAGCTTCCTTGTTTCTTCTAATAGCCTGTAGCAAAAAAACGTGGAAATGGTTATCCTACAGAAATAAAAAATAAGAAATAAAAATAAGAGTCAAAGTGCAAAATTTAAACTCTCATAACTTTGAAATTTTTATAGATAGAATTTTTTTAAATTTTTTCTATGTTCTTGGTACCTTACCCATGGGATTTGTCTTTGGGGCGCGAGTTCTGGCTCACTCTGTATGTGCATATGATGTAGAACGTTACTGCTTCAACTTTTAAAATCGCGATATCTAAGGAATGGTGATTCTTAGAAAAAAAGTCTAAAGACTATTTTTGTAGACAATTTTAAGATCTGTAATTTTTGTCTGGGCTATTTTTTTGATAAAACTTGCCGTTTTCGAAAAAAATTTAAAAAACCTCAAATTTTGACTTTGACCCCGAATAACTTTTTTAGCACACATGGGATCGATGGGGACTTTTAACACTTTATTTCTAATGGTGTACCCAAGGTCTCCACCAAAATTTAGAATTTTCGTTATTTGACCACTATTTTTATGACTAATTTGACCGGGCTAATACTTGAAAAATCAAGATAAAAACGCCGATATCAGTGTCGAGATTTTAAAATCGCGTCATCTTATCAGTCCTCGAAATGGCAGTCTGCGGAACAAAACTGTCCCTCTGCTGCGCGGTTCTAAGCGTTTGGGGCATTGTCCAACTAGGCCTGATGGGAGTGTTTTTCTACATCCACTCCTTGGCCTTCGTTGAAGACCTCCCCGTGGGATTCGGCGAAAAAGACACGATTGAGGGGTTTTACGACAAAGTGGACACCGCCTACACGCAAGTGGCCTACAATGTATGGATCGCTGCTGGATTGTACGCCATTGTGTTGGCCATTTCAGTACAACAATTCCGAGCAAACTTACGTAAATAATAATGTAATGTGTAAATAAAATGAGTCATTTTCTTATCATTGATGGTATCATCTTACCTGAGAACCCCAAATCGCCCAAGACGTAGTGTTTCCGTGTCTTCACCGAAGACATTTGCTCGAAGAGGTATTCCCCGGCCAGGAATCCCATGCTGGCCAAAAAGGCAATCACACTGATACCAACCCCGTAATTGCAAGCGTTCGCATCGCCGTTATAGAGACACTCCTCCTTGCCATTTTTGTTAATTAACCAGCCTTGAGACGAAATACATCCAAACACCACGATGGAGAACAACTGGAATGAAAATTTTCAAAAATCTCTGACCCATTTCAAAATTTTAAATAATCAATATACATCTGACACCCCCCACTCCTGTCAAATCGATTATTTGAAACGAAATATTCGCCGTGATTTGGGGTTAGCGTAAATGGCAATCGGAAATTTTCAACTAGTTGCAAACACTCACCCAACAGACGGCCCGGAGGATTACTTGGGGCCTCTGAGCGAAAGAAATCGGGTCAAAAGCACCTCCTGCTTTACCGCCTCCGTACGCTCCTACACCCTCCATGTTTTTGTAAACTACTGAATTGTCAAAACCAAGACTGAAACTCGACTCAAAAATACACAACCCCGGTTATCAACTCCAAAAAGCCACAAAATCAACTCAAAACCCCAATTAGCAATAACAAAATGCAGGATTGTGATTTAATTCGCACAACAATTGCTACTTGACTACGGAGTCAAGGCGCGAAATTCAAACAACTGTCAAAATGAAAATTTTATTGGAAGTAGACATAAACTGGCAGTTTTAAAGTGTTACAAATTCGGATCAATTCGTGCCCGTGATTGGGAAAATCGGATTGTAGATTTTCCACAATTTTTGATAGTTTTGAATTGAGCGAAACCTCCTTATTGTAGGCTGAAGACAAGGCGCTTTCCGAGCGATGAATCACATGAGGTTTGCGTCCTTTTGCAAGATCATTATAAGTGTTGAGCTTCTTCTGCACTTGAAGCAACAATTCAAAATTCATTTGTCTTTTCGTTAAAGCCTCTTCAACATTTTCCTGAATTTCCCCACAATTCTCTTCAGTCAATTCAATTTCACGCTGCATTTCTCCAATTTCCTCCCGGATTTTTTTAATTTCTTTTTCCATATTCTCGGTCTTTTTAGTCATTTCTTCAATTTGCTAAAAAGTGACAATTAGCAACAAAAAACAGCTAGTGGAATTAGTACATTTTCCATTTGTTTTGATTTATTTCTCATGTCGTCCATTTTCCGGTTGAAATTAATCCGTGTTTTTTCCATTCCGCCTTTTATGCGCTTTTCACGAGCTTCTGCCGCAGTCATAATCGCGTCTCTTCGCGAAACACAATGCTCTAAATCTTGGACCAGCACATCTTGCACTTTTTTCAGCTGGCTATATCGCACCTAGAGAAAAATAAGAAAATTTTAAGTTTGGCGCGCATTTGGCCTGTCGACCAATCGTTCAATGCATTGAAATCACGTGATCACAAATTTGAATAAAAAATTCAGAATTAAGCTTAAATTTATATAAAAAAGCATTACATTCATGCGATGTATTTCCGCTTTCATCGTCCCGACCTCCCCCTCCTGTCCCCTTTCCTCAATCATCGTATTTTTTGTCTCTTTCGCACCCAAAAACTTCTTCTCCCATTCGAGAGTTTCACGATTCATTGCAATCAATTCATTACTCAAAATTACTTTATCTTCCTCAATTTGCGTAATTTCATCCTCTAATTTGAGACATTCGAGCTCGGCATCCTAGCAAAAAAAACACTTAAAATCAAATTAAAACAAAACCAAAAACTACTTTAAGCTTGTAAATGTAGTCCTGTCGCATGACTTCGTTATCTTTATCCATATTTATCTTTAAACCCTTAGTTTTGACAAAATTATCTCCCATTACGGTAAGTTGGCTGTGGAGATTATTAATACTGCGGACGACTTTGTCTTGGAGTTTTCGACAAGCCTCAAGTTCGTCCGAAACTCTCAAATTTTTCTGCTCCAAAATCAAGATCTCTGTGAAATTTAAAACGTAAAACAATTGAACTACAAAACAAAAACGAACTGACGTTTACACATGAGATTATTATTGTGAATTTGCTCTTGCCGTTCTTCTGATATTTTGATCAAATTCGACTGTTCTCTCAGCCAATACAATTGCAACTTTTTGTTGTGCTCTTGTATTTCTTCGATATTCTTCTCCAAAGTCGTTATCTTCATTTCAAGAGGGGACACAAACGTCCCTCCCGACTTATCCACCATCTTCAAAAACCTGTTATTCAACAAYTCGACTTCACGTTGTTTTTTRGCAATCTTCATTTCAATATGCTTCATTTCATCCTGGTATCGATCAGCCTCCTTCTCCAACTCCTTCATTTGCTCCTCCAACTCCTTCAAGTACCTTTGACTTTCGAAATTTGCAAATTTCTGCGCCTCGATTTCGCTCATCACCGATGCGATTTTATTCTCAATCGTCGCCACCTGTATTTCGATTTCCCGATTTTTCGTTTTGAATTGGGTCAAAGCCCTTTGTAGCGTCATTAGCATTTTATTGTTAGTCACTTGTTCTTCCATAGCTCGCATGATTTGCTCCTCGAGTTCGCCCTTTTGCGTATCGAGCTGTTCATGCTCGCGCGTCAAAGCGGAAAGTATTGTATGTGTCTCGTGCGCTTCCTCGGTGATTCGTTGAATATCTAATTCGGTTTGTTCGATAATTCGTTGCATTTCGTACATGCGTTGTTCAAGGTTTGTTTTTTTCCCGATTTCGATATCGAGGGCCGCTTTGCACGTCTGGACGTCGGCTAAAAAGCGGTTTTTCAACATTGTGAACTCTTCGTTTCGGCGCATTTCCTTCTGGGCCAYTTTTTTCACTTGTTCGATCTCGGAGAGAACACTTTTGAAGTGTTCTTCGGATTTTGACAATTCTTTGTTTAGGCAAGAGAGGACTTTATCTCGATTCCCGATTGCGATAACAACGGAGTTCCACGAGTGCATCAAACAGCGATATTCCGATTCCATTGCTTCGATGTTTGTGTTCCCGAGAGCGACAGTCTGGGCCAATTCCTCCCTTTCCTCCTCTTTAACTCGCATCTGGACGTCCATTTTGTCAAGTTCGCGTTCCAGGTACCAAATCCGGGTCATTAGTTTGTAAATGAGCACATCTTGGGTGCGTTTTTCCTCCAAAAGTTTCAGCTTTTCCTTGCGACTTTTCTCGAAAACGCGCTTTTTCACRGTTAAATCAGACTCCAAGTTTTCCTCCCATTGGGAAATTTGGTGGATTAGCAGATTCGTTCCCTCMATTTCGTTGCGCAACTCTAGTTCTTGAGCTTCAGCTTCGTAAACCTTGTCTCTCTGCTTCTTATACAATTCTTTCTTCTCTTTTACTCGATTTTCCATTTCTTCGCATGCTGCAGTCGCAGTTTGCACTTTTGAAATATAACAATCGAGAGTTTTTTGTTGTTTTTCCAAAATTTGTTGCTGTTCGTAAACCATAATCCCCAATTCTTCTCGTTTCGCATTGTTTTTTTTTGTTCCACAATCCTGAAAAAATGTGACAAAACCAAATCAATTTGTAATTAATTCATTACGTATTCAAAAATGTCGTTTTTAAGATTATTTATTTGACGCAATAAATGTTCTTTGAGGGCTTTTTGAAACTTTTCCAGGAGGGGGTTGTCGGGGTGCAAAACATTAGCTTCTTCCCTCTCCGACGACCTAAAATTTTGACCAATTGATACAATTTTTCCAAAATTATTAAAAAATTACTTTGCAGAATGCGGGGTGAGAGTCGGGGAGGATTTTGCTTCCACATCTTCAGTCTCAAAATTCACTTTATTTTCTTGCTCCATTTTTAATTGTCAATAAATAAACAAAAACGTTACTGTCACTGTCAAATTGTTTATGTTTTGTCATTTGTTGCCTAGCAACGACGTATGGAAATAAATTAGTAGGCTGGAACTAGTGAAATAATGAAGTTTATTTACAAAATTAAGAAATTGGAAATAATAAAGTACATGTTAAAAATATACATATTTTTGTTATTAACACATAGATTCTGATGAACTAAAAATGTATATTTTTTTAATTATGAAATTTAGTTTTTTTGTGCTTGTATAATTGGTTGCATAAGCAAAAACTTTTTCAAAACTAATTTTAGCCCGGCTCCTCCACCAGAATTAACATGTGATTTTAAAAATTACAATACACAAGGCAAATCGCTCTAGAATTCATTTTTAAAAATTTTTTCAAATTAAAAAATATTTATCGTCGTTATGCAACCAGTAATTCAACACAAGTAAAGTCGTGATTTTAATCATTTTTAACGCTTAATTTTCCTTTCTTTAAAAAATTCTGCGAGAAATAGTTAATTGAAACACTGTTTGACTGTCTTTTTTAATTCTCATTATTAATTTGTAGAAAATTTCAGAAAATTCTGCACGGGTTTTCTCTCTGTCGGTAGATGGCGCTCCGCCGAACAATTGCCGATCGCCAAGACATCGCGACTCCCAAGAAGGGTGTAGAAAATAGAAAGAAACAGGTTTATTTTAAGTAAATTAAAGAGAAGTTGAAAGGAATGCGGTGTGTTAGTGCCCCAAATTCGCGTCGGAGACTGTGAGGCATGCAAAGTGTGGCGTGTGAATGTGTGTTACCGAAATTATGTATCGTTTACTCGTTTGAAATAATCGCTCTCGTTTGTTGCAAGTGTCATCAACAAAACACCGATTACAGCACTCAAATCTCTTAAGTAAGTCCCAAAATAATCAGTTTGATAGGATTTTGGGCCKCAGTGTGGCTTTCTTTGTTCGCCTCGAAATAAGGTTAGCTTTGGGGGGTTGGGTCAGTGGTTGTGATGTGGGTCACTGAATTTATGCACACACGTGTTATTTTTAAAAATTCCAAGCACAGAAATAAAATCCAGGAATTGGGAGTCTGGACTGACCGGAATCTACACTTCTGGATTACATCAAGGCGGTTAAAGGTCAAATTTGGACCTAATTCGGGGCCCTGGAAGCTTTATTACAGTTTTTGGATCAAGTTGCCATGGAAAAAAACAAAAGAATTCGCTGGGAATTAAGACAGCCATGGAAAATGACAATTGACACCAAGTGTGTCAATTAATTGTGTTAATTAAACGTAATTTTAATGTTCAATCAAGACATCATGGAAAAATGACAATCTTAAACTGTCACTTTGTAATTAATTGCTTACATAACATAACACGAAAATGTCATTATTTTCACATTTTCAAGGCCTCCTCTTTTTACAAGTAACAATTATTACATTACGAGGCGGAGCCGAGTACGTAGTTCTAACAGATATTTTTTCACCATTACATCAATTTATATGTAATTTAAATATAATTTAGCCATAGAACGTCTGTTTTCTATAAAAAAAAAACTCGACCAGTTTTCACATCACCTGTAAATTGCAGGTGCAGTCATGAAACAGGTGGTGTTTGCGTGAAATGTGTGACCATTACACGAAATGTTTGAACATAAATCAATTATTCAAAACATGGAAACCTTTAGGGGTAGTGGAAATGTCTTTGCGAATTTATTTTACAACTGTTTTGACGGAGAGTAGAGAAAAAAATGGTTAAATTGACGTCACGTGATCAATAAACTGTCAATATTCGAATTTAATCAAGTTGGCTTGTTATTTGATGGTGTTTTATTTTTAAATAAAGTGATTTGTTGGCAATAAAAAATAAATAAAAATATGTTACAAGTAAATTCTATTTTTTATTAGTGCATTAAAGACAGTAAAAATAAATCAGAAACAGCAATGAAATCGTTTTATTTTTGTTTCATGATACAGATTATTGAAAATTTTTAAACGACCGTGACATTCGGAAAGTTGGCTGTGAAAAAATGACATTTGATTTGACGAGTTGTCATTAAAAAATTTTAACATGGACATAATGCGATCAGTTGGCACTGAAACAAAAAAATTGCCAATTCTTTATTCAAATAGTTGTAATTTGGCAGATCGGTAATTAAAAAAATTGGCAATGATGCAAATATATTCACGTTGGCAATGAAACAGGTAAATTGAAAATAAAAAAATTGATATTTAATTACATAGAGTTGGCTTTGAAATAGATTTTTGTCAATTCTGAAGCATTTAAAAAATGTGAAAAAAGTTATTAAGTAAAAAAAAACACTTCACATTTAATTTCTAAACCCACTTTTAACATTTTTTATTTGTGATATTAAACTCGCCACTTGTAGCACACATTTTACCATAAAACTTTTTTGTGATTGTTACATCACTCCTCCCACTACCAACCAAACAAATTAAAAACGTTTCTAATTTGGCAAATCCATCACTGTAACCTATTGCCCTGGAATCATTTACACCCATGACACTTAAGCATCGTGTGGGTGCCGTCAGAGGCGTTTCTACTAAAACCACAGAATGTTTTGTTTTTTTATAATACAGAAAAATGATCGAGCGCCACAAACCGGGCCCCACATAGCCTCCACGATGACCTCCCGGCCCGGATCGGGCTCGAAGACCTCCACGGGACACCGAAGGGCCGAATCCGGGGGTGGCCATCACCGCCATAGTTCGTCCGGATCCGGCCATCACCGCTCCGATTCGGGACAAAGCTTCGATTCGGATTATCATCGCAAACACGGCCATCATCGTTCAAAATCGGGTGTTAACGAACGCGAACGACTAGACTCGAACGGATCGCAACGTGAGTATAATACAACTCCCGGGAATTCCCGAATTTAGTAAATTTTCAGTGTCGAACAAACTCGAATTTCGGTCAGCTCAAGGCTTGCACGATGGCCACTACCCCCGCCCCACCTCACTCTTCCCCCCGAAATCCGACGCTTTAGGCCCTGACGCCCTGCAACCCGAACGAGAACCGATCAGATTCGACGTGAATTTGGTGGGGGCACCCCCCGAAGTCGAGCAATTGGTTAATAARATTAAACAAGTCGCCGAACAGTTTCTCTACCATTGGAAGACCTTRCCCATAAGTAAGGAGTCACACTATTGGTTTTATTCGAATCTAATTAAAATAATTCTAGTCCTTCCAAGTCCTGTCTCACAGTGTGATTCTTTTCCGACTTCGAATGTTTCATCAGATGGGAGTTTGGGGAGGTGTAAGACGAAGTATCATCTACGTGATTTGTTCGTAGCGCCATCTTTTGATGAACTTGATGCCGTCGCGGTCGATGGGAAAGGTGAGCCGAGGAGGTTGACCGGAAAACAATTGGAGTATATAAGGGAGAGAGGGTAGGTCAGGGTGGTATATTTCCCCAATTACAAAGTAGGCGAATTAAAGAGGAATAAAGCCGGTATTACAGATTTCTACATTTTTGTCTCGTTTTATTCCTCTTTGCTCTGTTTCGTTGTAATTTCTCCGATTTAAATGTGGTATTGTTCTGTAAAGCTTGCACAAGGATAAGTTCGGAAAGCCAAAACGTCTAAACCTGCAACAACTTGAATCAATTAGGCGCCAGGGGTATGTTATTGTGCTGTAATAATATGTGCATCGTCTCTTCTACTACTGCCAGATATTTTTATTTAACTTACTGTCTTGTGACAATTATGCAGCTTTGATTTTCCGCTATGTTTGTTTTAATTTGTTTGTCGGCAGATAATCTAACAATGATGAAACGATTTTTCTGTTTTATTTTAGCTTATGTAATGCAGTTGTATTTCAAACAAAATGTAGAGTTTTATGTGTGATTTGAAAAAAATCTGTGCAAGTTTTACGTCATTCATTCATCGGTTTATTGAAAAGATTCCAATAAAAATAAATTGATTAAAATTGCAGCGAATTTGAGGTAGAATCATTGAATTTTCCCGGACAACAACACCGATGGAAACTCTCACAACTTCTACAGAAAGGCACCGAGAAAAGTCGCGATTCCCTCCTCAACGATCTCGCTCTAGCTCTCCGATTTATTTTTATAACGGCGAAAGGACGACTCGTCTCGCATTTCTTCAGTGTTTCGGAAGCAATCAAAGCTCTCTTAGCCGGACTTTTGCGAATTGTTGATCTCGTCTTCGGCATACCAAGTCTACAAGCTCACAATCTAGATGCCAAAATTAGGGAGGAGAGGACCAAGTATCTGGTCGCCGAATTGGTGTGTCGAGTGAGTCACTCATTAAATAATTAATGAAATAAGTAATTTTGCAATTTGTTAGCCGGAAAATGAGGAGTCTCTGGAACACCTGTGTTCCTACATTCGTAAGCAACTCCGTCGTGCCGCCACCGAGAAATTCGAAGTGACGAAAGAGTGTTCCCAGCCGCCCGTCGCCGTTCCTTACAGATTTCTTACTCCTTCAGGTTCTGAACTCGACTTGAGATTATGGGAGAGAAGTCTGATGCGACGTGCATTGCCTACTCTCGTTGCAATTTTGGAAAGGGAGACGCGAGGCTGGTTTTTACATTTTAGAGAAAGACTGATTGCCGAGTTGCGAGCTCAAAAAATGCCTGATGAAGATATTGAAAGGGTAATATTTATTGATTTTAGTCCGGGGAAGAAATAATTAATTGTTATGTTTGCAGGAAGTGAATGATGCTGTTATGAAAGAATATTTGCAGAGGGTTTATAACAGTATCCTGTCGCATCCCGATATTATAAGTTTAGGAGAAGGGATTGCTCAACTTTTAGTACAACAAGCCCAAAGTGTTGTTTTAATGCATAGGTGGGTGTTTAAATTAAATTGGCGCGATTTTATTAGTTTTAAATTCGTAGGGCTGTCGAGAATGTTCAACACCGTCTTTCAAAATCTCAGGAAGAAATCAAAAATCGCCTCTGTAGCAGCCACCCTGTTCTCTCCCGTATTGACCCTTGGCTACGTTCCCGTTTACGTTCAGCTGAAGTGAAATTCAGTCTCGAGAACCAATGGAGTGGCCATGAGGAAGCCCTCGCCTTATGCAACGCGAAACGTCTACACCAAACCGTTTATTTCCTCAACCGCGACCTCGCATTTATGAGAGAAGTCAGTTTGACCACTTGTAGTCTCAAAAAACCCTAAAACTGTCTTTTTAGCGAGAACCGGCCCTTTTACGTGAACTACGAAAAGTCAAAACTCCAACCCGATCGTTTCTATGGCCGACTCAAATCTGGCTACCCACCAATTGGATTGTACGGAGAAATTTCCAAGGCCAATCAGAAATCGTCCCTACTGTCCTCAGTAAACAAGCGACAAGCATCACAACACCTAGATCTGACCCCAGCCAGCCTGTTTTCCTCGTCGAGAAAGAGATAGTGAGGACGACGACCACCAGATGGCCTCTGTGGCGCATTTTCAATTATTTCCATCGGACGTGGTGTTGGACTTGGAACGCGATGTTTTTCTTCGGGATTGTGTTACCGTGGTGTAGTCCTGTAGGACTTCGAGCCCTCTTTTGTCTCGAGCCGTTTATGCCCGATTTAGAGTTGTCCCAAGTCAATGGGACGCTCTTTCCGCGTAAAAGCAGTCTCACTGAGACTTTGTGTTCGCGTTTGATCAGTCTCTGGCGACATATTTCCAAATCGCGGACGCATTTCGAGACTAAGCCCGATACAGGCTTCATAGGGAAAGGCTTCACGAGACATTTGAACCGGATTTGGAACTACTTTTTCAAGGGACTTTTCGGAACGATTGTTCTAGTTGTGATTTTTCCCGTCGTGTGTGTCGCTGTCATCGGGGCGAGTATTTTTGTTGCTTTGACGGCGGTTGTGTGGATGCCGGTTTTGACGTTGGCGGTCCAAGTGATCAATGCGTTGATTTATGATTTGGACTGTCCGGAACAGAAGAGGAATAGGTTTTTTGTACTGTTGGAAGCCTTGATTTGGAAAATTGGACTTCAAGGGTGTGTGCAACCCATCGTTGCACTTTTTGTTGCCGCGATTGTGTGCCCCGTTATTGCGTTGGTGATCTTAGCAGGTGAGGAAAAAATTGAAAAAGTGTCGATTAATAATAAAGAAAATTGAAATTTTCTGTATTGCAAACTTGGAAAACTAATTCCAACACAAAATTGATATTTATTGATTTCTAAAAGTCCGAATTCTGAGAAGATATAATTTCATAATTTCTAACAAAATTAATATCATTTGACTTCAGAATTTCGAAAATTGAATTTTCGTCTGTATCAGAAGAGGAGTGAATTTCATGCAGGACCAAAAACAGTACAACAGCAAAGTCATTCTAAAGACATTAAATGTAAAACGGCCCTTAGATAGTAACCTTACTTCAATTTAATGTCATTAATATTCATGTGATTTTGAAGTTTTGGAAATTTTGGAAAGTCAAATTTCACATTAAAGCCTGCTTTACAGTGAATTTTCCGAGGCACCCTTAACTTGAAAAAAAAAATGAAAAAAAACAACAATTCCAAATTAATTCCGATGGTTTTAAGAAATTCAACTTAATTTTCAAAAGAATAAGTTATCTCCAATTATTGCAAAAACATTCTAGTAATTTTAGAAAAAAATTAGTAATTTACAAATAATTCAATTCCAGTAATTCGATTATTTCATCGTAATTCTATTGTTTTTACATTAATTCGTACAATTTTAAATTAATTTCTATAAATAGAACTTAATAATTTTAGTAATTTACTAATAATTCCTATAAGTAATTAAAAAAAATTCCACCGAAATTCAGTTTAAATAATTCCATTGATTAATATTGGATTCATCGTAATTCCATTGTTTTCGGAATAATTTCTATAATTCTAGATCAATTCTTGTATCTAAAACTTAATTCCAACATACAGGGTGCGTCAGAACTCGCCCCCCAAAAAAATTTCAAGTAAGATAAGATACCAGGAACATGGAAAAAATGTTTAAAAAATTCTATCTGTCAAAAAATGTTGACATTTATTTTTTGACATTTGACATTTTTTATGTCTATTTAATGATGCTGATGATCTTGTATGTATATGTTTTTTCATAATTATTTAGTAAAGATACAAAAATTTTGTCAATAAAAGCCACAAATAATATTAAATAGAGTTACAATTTACGATACAGCTTCCTTATTTCCTCTTATAATAGCCTGTAGCAAAAAAACTTGAAAAATTATCTTTCCAACAGAAAAAAAAATAGACTCAAAGTGCTAAATTTAAACTCTCATAACTTAGAAATTTTTATAGATAATGTTTTTTTAACATTTTTTCCATGTTCCTGGTATCTTACCTTATATGGCATTTTTCTCTGGGGCGCGAGTTCTGGTGCACCCTGAATAATTTCCTTAATTCCAAATTAATTACTTTATTTCTAAGGTATTCAACGTAATTTTGTAATTTACAAGTAATTCCGGTTATTCTATTAATCCATCGTAGTTCTATTGTTTTTAGATTAATTTAATTTCTAAAATTCTAAATTAATTCATGTAATCCAACTTAATTCCGTAATTTTGTAGTTTTAAAATAATTCTGAATTAATTCCAATAGTTCCAAGAAATTCAGCGTACTTTTCAAAAGAAATTATTTCCGATAATTTCAAAAAATTCCTGTAATTTCAGAAAAATTTCACCGAAATTCAGTTTCAGCAATTAACCAATTAATCGATTGTTTTCAGATTAATTCTTACAATTCCAAATTAATTGCTGTAAATCCAACTTAATTTTCGTAATTCTAAAATAATTCCTGTAATTTAAAATTAATTATAAGAAGTTCAACACAATTTTCAAAAGAAATTTGCTCCGAACTTTCTAAAAAAATGCGACAATTTCAGTAATTAAAATTATGGTGATTCCCGAGACAATCTAAAAATAATTTTAATAATTCCAAGTAAGTACGATTAAAGTCAAAAAATTTGTACTACTACTATTTCAGAATTAACGGCCTCTCGGAATTTTCAAGACGTGTCAAGAATGGTGTCTTTTTTTTTTGACCGGTATAGTTCCAGAAATTCCAATTTTTTTTCATTCAAACTTTTTAGTAGAAATATGCAAAAAATTACACCCTTTTTCTTTCGTCAAAACAGTTTTAAAAAATGTCTAATTCAAGAAAAAAAATTAAATTCTGATAGTTTAATTTGTCAAATTTTTTTTTTAGCAAAACTAGATATTGTTAATTTTGTTAGTTTTGTTTCTTTAAACGTCAGAATAGCGAGAAATTAATAAGTTTTATTTCTTTTTTTAAGGTGGCATTGCTCGTTATTGGTTGCGCCTGTTCTGGGACACCACAATCTTCCACTTGATAATCAAAAAACGTGGCCGAATCCCCGCCAGCGACAGCTTTGTGGTGAAACGAATCGCAGGTCCGGGCTTAGCCTCCGACTACTACTTCCAAATCAGTCCTGAACAGGCCCTTGCCGCTTTCGAAGCGAAAATGGAGTGGGACGAGCTCGCCGCATACCAAACAGTGGTGGAAAACACAATCACCCAACCCCAACGTGACTTTAGCCACTTTGTTGAAGCTTGTTTTGGTAGTTTTTCGGCCCAATTGGCCAAAAACGGTCCTTATAAAAACCTAGAAAAGGAAGCCCAAGACCTGATGACGGTCCTGCACGAGAAACTCGAACGGAGACGTCGAGACCTTCAAACTGGTCTCAGTGTCACTGTTAAATCTAAAATCAAATTGGAAACGTCGGAATTGAAAATAGCCATTCAACAGGGGGCGCTGATGCTCGAGAGGTTTTACCCGAGTCACATTTTACCGAAATTGGGGTGCAATGAGGACCAGTTTTGGGATAATAGGGCTTTGAGTCCGGGGGATTGGGCGGGGTTGGCAGGACTGTTATATTCGGAACTTTTCAGTTTGGATATTTTAACGCCCTTGGATCACACTGATACGAGTTTTCGGTTGGATCCACACCCCCAGGCTGACTTATCGAGGTATACGGAGATGGTGCAGTGTGCGCAGTTGGGGGCCCGGGGGCCCGATCTCCTAGGAAATGTGTACACTCCGAGGGGGAATATTCAGGTGCATTCACCGTATTTGGAAGTCTCGGCGTTCAATCCCAGATCGAAGTTGGCCACAACGGTGAAAAAGTGTGAAAAGAAGGCGTAAGTTTGAGGATTTTGAGGGTGCAAAAGGTTAATTGAGGTGTTTCAGGGAGTCTACAACGATGTTAGGGTCGATTAAAAGTGGCACTGGGACGGTTTGGACTCCTTGGAAGAAGCACACTAGACCGTTTTCGCCCGATAAAATGGTGATTCCGTTACCGGTTCCACATCCGGCGCAAATCGCCGTCACGATTTTCAATCGGGATTCGGATGATCCAATCCCGTTGGAGTCAGAACTCTGTCAAAGTATTTTGAGGGGGATTGAGGAGAGTCATATTTCGCTAGAGGAGTCTGGTATAAATCGTTATAAAGGTGGGGGCGACTCGTTTGAGACGAGTTCGAGTTCTGAGACTCTCGAGAGCCCCCATAACGGTGTTGAATCGAACCGTAACTCCACCGACGGTGTCTACCAGTGGACTTTAAACAACTGGGGTCAGCGTAAACGTAACAATTCAGGTAGTGTTAAGGTCGACTTAGCCAGTCCCGAGGACGTCACTTTAGACAGCGACAGTACTCGGGTTGTTTTCAGTACGTACGGTACGACCGTTTGAGTCATTTCATTGTGATTTTCCAATTTGATTGGTTGAGTAATTTTAAGTTTCCGTGTGATATTTTTTATGTTACGACAAGCATCACTGGCATTTCTCATATCAATAATGATCGAGTGTAGTACAAGGGCGCAAAGTCTATTTTTTCTACAAAATTTCGTTCGTTTGAAATTTACTCTTGATTTGGTGGCGCTTTGTGTGAATAATAAATAAATCTAGGATAAGAGCAAATATTTAGCTAGTAATGCACGTAGTCATTAAATTTTTTATTTGAGAAATTGTCCATTGCACTAGGATTTGTATAGACGGATCGAATTAGAGGCAAAATTAGGAGTTTCGAAACAGCATAGCAATAACTTGCTAATAATTTCATGTTTTTATTCAATTACTTTTAGAAACACTTGTCCATATTTCACAAAATGGTAGCTTATGACGTTCAAACGAATTTTCCACTTAGTATAGTAGAGCGGAACCGTTTTTAACTCGACAATTTTTTTATTTAATATTTTATTTATCGTGTACCTGTCAATTACACAAACACTATATTACGTAACTCTCTCTAAGCGATATTTTATTTTTATGACGTTTTCCTATGTGCATAAATTTGTATTTTTTCCCATGTCTAATTGTACTTTTATTGCTTGCTTGTGTTAATTGTACTATATTTGTAAAGCTGACATTTTGCTACGTTTGTGTTTACTCAGAAATATAAAGCTTTAAGACTGGATTGGCTCTATTTTTATTAACCCTCGTCGCCCCTTTTAAGCGGACAGTCAGGTAATTACCACCACATCAAGAAAATAATTAACAGAAAATAGTAGATTATCATCAGGAGTAGAATTGAGGACGTGCGAAGCGAGGCTAACAGCTGGGCAAAGCACATTCACGTACTAAGTATACTATTTTATCTTCAAGCGGATAACAAAGGAACGGAAATTTAGACTACTTTTATTTTAAAGTTAAACGGCCATCTTGCTATTTTTGATTTTGACATATATCATCCATGCACATAGGCGATTCGTGTTARACCACCAAGGTAAGATACCAGGACATAGAAAAAATGTTAAAAAAATTTTATCTATAAAAATTTTGAAGTTATGAAAGTTTCAACTTTGCATTTTGACTGTTGGAAAAATAATTTTCTAAGTTTTTATGCTACAGGCTATTATAAGAGGAAACAAGGAAGCTCTATCCTAAATTGTAACTTTGTTCAATGTTATTTGTCGCTTTTATTGGCAAAATTTTGGTACCTTTACTAAATATCTATAAAAAAACGTAATTATACAAAATCATCAGTAACTTCAAATACACATAAAAAACGACAAAAATTTTTAAACATTTTTTTCATGTTTCTGGTATCTTATCTTAAAAAAAAATTCTCTGGGGCGCCAGTTCTGAAACACCTGTATGTGAATTGTAAATTACATAATTAGGGTTCAAAAAATACTTTTTGTTGTTTATCTTAATATTTTGCTTCTTATACAAGATGCGCCAGAACTCGCGCCCCAGAGAAAAATGGAAAAAGTTTAAAAATTCTATCTATACCAATTTTGAAGTTATGAGAGTTAAAATTTTGCACTTGACTTTGAATACCTTAGAAATAAAGTAATTAATTTGGAATTAAGGAATATATACAGGGTGCGCCAGAACTCGCGCCCCAGAGAAAAATGCCATATAAAGTAAGATACTAGGAACATGGAAAAATTGTTAAAAAAAAATTATCTATAAAAATTTCGAAGTTATGAGGGTTTAAAGTTTGCACTTTGACTCTATTTATTTCTGTTTAAAAAATAATTTTTCAAGTTTTTTTGCTGTAGGCTATTAAAAGAGGAAACAAGGAAGCTGTATCCTAAATTGTAACTCTGTTCAATGTTATTTGTGGCTTTTATTGACAAAATTTTTGTTCCTTTACTAAATAATTGTAAAAAAACATATACAAGATCATCAGTATCATTAAATGGATATAAAAAAATGTCAAATGTCAAAAAATATATGTCAAAATTTTTTGACAGATCGAATTTTTTAAACATTTTTTTCATGTTCCTGGTATCTTATTTTACTTAAAATTTTTCTCTGGGGCGCGAGTTCTGGCGCACTCTGTATGTATATTGTACTCTTCGCTGAAAAAAAATAACTTTTATTAATCCCCCTATTATTGTGTAACTATTTAATTTAATACCAGATATTGGAAAGTTTACGTTTTTAGAGACAATTTATTAATTTACTTATTAAATGCAAAAATAAAAAATGCGGTTTCAATGAAACTTTTCAAATTATTAACCTTTTAACAAACTTCTTATTTGTTTTAATTTAAAATGTTATAGGACTTAAGTTTGTACTTTTTTTTCCAAGATGTAATTTTTTTATTACTCAATTTTTAAGTTTGTTTTCGTCTAAGAAATCAAAATATTTCAAAAACTAAGCAAAATCGACTAAAAGTTTAGTTTAAAACCATCCCAATTAAAAACTACATCTAATAATGCAAAAAAATTGGTTGTTTCATTAAAAAAAACATAAGTTTGTAGTGTAATTTATTTTTGAATCACTTTGTATATTTGAATTTTAAATAGTGTAGGAAGTTTATGAATTTTGTATGCACATTTATAAATAATTAAATATTTAAAGGTCGATAATTGACAATTGACATTACTAACTTACTGGGACACCTTGTATTGCAATTAGTAGATCATAATTAAAAGCTAATTGACAATTTTAATGATAAAGAATATAATACTTGTTGAGATAGGTAATTATCCTTATTGAGGTATTAACCTTCATAATCCAACCATGACCGGTAATAGTGAAGCAATAAATAATAAAATAACGCTATTTAAACACTAAAAACACGTATTTTTTGCAATTTCCGAGGGGGCGTGCCCTGTCGCGTATGTCCCCCTTTACCCGTGCACGGTCACCTTTAACCATCCTCAAAATCAACGCTAAACTCCCTATAAATGACCCATACTCAGCCACCCAGCACCCATGGTTCCTCCCCTGGTCCCAAAATCAGGTGCTTTCCAATTGACCAAAACACAAATGTCCTTGAAGTTGGTAAAATTCTTCAATCAGTCTTCGCACGTGACCTAAATCGTGCATCGCCATTGGTCGGTTATGAGCGTGCCCTGCGCGAAACCACCGCGCATCTCAGTGATTACAAAATGCCGTCAGAGTCTAAACCTTTGTTGACAGCTCAGACGGAAAAGCCAAATCATTACTCGTAAGTGTATTTTTAGTGTTGTGTGTGGCGTCGCGACGCGCCCGACGGCGCTCCACCTCCGATTTTTCCACATTTCCGTCATCAAATCGTCGCTTTTTTCCAGATATTTGAAAGAGTTTCGCGTCGAGCAATGCCCGCTCTTCTTGCAACACAAATGTACACAGCATCGTCCATTCACCTGTTTTCACTGGCATTTCATGAACCAGCGGCGTAGACGGCCGGTGAGACGCAGGGACGGCACCTTCAACTACTCCGCCGACAACTATTGCACCAAATACGACGAAACGACGGGGATTTGCCCCGATGGCGACGAGTGAGTACACCTTTTTTGGTTAGCTCGGCTGTCATTGTGGGTGTGACAGGAGCGCACTTGATCAAAACAATAACAACACTTGCAGGTGCCCCTTTTTGCACCGGACAGCCGGGGACACCGAACGACGCTACCATTTGCGGTATTACAAGACATGCATGTGTGTGCACGACACCGATTCGAGGGGGTATTGTGTCAAAAATGGGCTGCATTGCGCCTTTGCACACGGGAGTCACGACCACAGACCCCCGGTTTATGATATTAAGGAGATTCAGGCCTTGGAAGCCGCCGAAGCCGAGGGCAGCGGCTCCGCCAACGGCCCCAATGCGCTAGACAAAGAACGGAATTTAATGAATGAGGATCCCAAATGGCAAGGTAACGGCTTAAGTGATAATTGACTAGGACAACAAGAGTTTGTTTGTGGGGTTTATAGTGACGTGATTACGCAAATTACAACGAGATCATTTGCCAAATGTATTATTACATCATTTACATGTGGTTTATAGCTGTTTTTTCTCTCTGTGTTGGCTCAAGTAATTGTGTTTACAGGAATCGAGTCAATTTATTGAAGGTAATAATTAGATTAGAGGTCTGTTGAGATAATTTTTATCTCGAGGATTTATTTCTACGAGAGATAAATACGTGAACTTTATTATTTCTTGGCGATCGAAAGGTCAGATTATTAAATGGTAAAGAGGTGATTTTCTATTGTATTCAAATCAGATCGAGATTACGAATTAAAAATGCATTTTTTCCATAATTACGCACGGAAAACAGTACTTGCGTGACTCATTTTGGCGGCAAAAGATTGAATTAGAGGAAGAAATTAATTAATTCAAAAATAAAGCGAATGAAACCACATATGCATACCTATCATATAAAAAAATACACATTTAGTGGAATGTAGGCTAATGTATTCATTTTTTCTATTGTATATTTTACTTAATTAGTTACAAGAAAATTTTGAAATAGAATGAAAAAATCAGAAGAGACCAACTGTTCTGATTTAGCCAGGACATGTTTAGGTTTTTATCGTCTTGTCTTGTTTTACGTTTATGTCCTGTACCGTCCCGATTTAAGGAGATTTTCATTTGCAGCAAAAACAAACTGTTTTTAAAGTTAAAAAGTTTCTTGTATATTAATTAAATGTCGATATATCAAATGTGGTCATTGTGTTTGGCCCCCTGAAAAAACTCAACGGAAAGTAGAAACACTCAAAATTCAATTAAAATTACTAAATTAAATATTAATTTGGCTTGAATGTTTTTTTTTTTAATGCTTGTAGAGAATGAATAGCTTTTCAAAGCAATTCATACAGAAAAGAAAACATTGAAATTAACACAAAACAATAAACTAATTAATAAATAATAAGTTAATAAATTAGACAAGGTGTTTCAGAATTCGCACCCCATGCCATGTAGAGTAAGATACCAGGATTCTATCTTTCAAAATTATGAGAGTTTAAATTTTGCACTTTGGCTCTTATTTATTTCTCTTGGAAAAATAGTTTTCTAAGTTTTTTTGCTACAGGCTATTAGAATAGGAAACGAGGAAGCTGTATCCTAAATTGTAACTATGTTTAACGTTATTTGTGACTTTTATTGGCAAAATTTTTGTACCTTTACTAAATAATTATAAAAATTATACAAAATCATCAGTAACTTCAAATTGACATAAACAATGACGAAATTTTTTAAACATTTTTTTCATGTTCCTGGTATCTTATCTTACCTAAAAAAATTCTCTGGGGCGCCAGTTCTGAAACACCTGTATGTGAATTGTAAATTACATAATTAGGGTTCAAAAAATAGTTTTTGTTGTTTATCTTAATATTTTGCTTCTTATACAAGATGCGCCAGAACTCGCGCTCCAGAGAAAAATGGAAAAAAATGTTTTAAAAATTCTATCTATACAAATTTCGAAGTTATGAGAGTTTAAATTTTGCACTAGACTTTATTTATTTCTGTTGGAAAAATGATTTTCTAAGTTTTTTTGCTACAGTCTATTAAAAGGGGAAACAAGAAACCTGTATCCTAAATTGTAACTCTGTTTAATATTATTTGTGGCTTTTATGGTCAAAAACATAAATAAAAACAAGATCATCTCATTAGTATCATTAAATAGACATAAAAAAATTTCAAATATCAAAATTTTTTAAACATTTTTTCCATGTTCCTGGTATCTTATTTTACTTGAAATTTTTGTTTGAGGCGCGAATTCTGACACTCTGTATACTTATATTTAAATATTTATACAATTACACAGGCAATACTTGATTTATTTTTTACTTTATCTTCTGGAATAAAGCTATTACAGTTATTTTTATTAATGTCTTGTATTTCATATTTCTTAAATTGGTCAACTTACGTAAAACACATTTTTAATTTCATGATTTATCCAACTTTTGTTTTTTGTTCCAAAATAAATATTTCATAATAATAGTAAATATAACAACAGTAGCTGCGGTTGTTTATATCCATTAGAAAAATATTATCAGCACATTTAAATGCCGTTGCAATGTCAAGGTTAGAAATGTTATTAGCGAAATAAAGCAACAAAAGAATGTTTTTCTTTCGTTAATTGAGGTTGTTGTAATCGAAAATTGTGATATAAATTTGCGCCGTCCATACAGGTCGCTTTTTTCTAGATACAAATTACGTTTTATCAAATTACAAAACGGAGCCTTGCAAAAGACCCCCTCGTTTATGTAGACAAGGATACGCCTGTCCTCAATATCACAATAGCAAAGACAAGCGAAGAAGTCCTCGGAAATTTAAATATCGGTAAGTGATAATTTCTGTACAAATTTTTAAACAACTCAATTCGAATTCCCAGATCAACACCATGTCCCAATGTAAAACACGGTGAGGAATGGGGTGAACCTGGTAATTGTGACGCCGGTGATTTGTGTTCCTACTGTCACACACGAACAGAACAACAATTTCATCCGGAAATTTACAAAAGCACCAAATGTAATGATGTACAACAATCGGGGTATTGTCCTAGGGGGGTGTTTTGTGCGTTTGCTCACGTTGAACGTAAGTAAAGTATGAAAATTGGGGATTTTGAGGAATTTTGACATTTTGTAGAGGAAATGGGGGTGTCGAGGGATACAGGAGAAAGTGGTACAAATTTTGCCGAGATATTATCAAATGCTCTTCCTCCTAGTTTAGATAAGAAAGAAAAAAGCAGCGATAGCTCAGTAAGTTCTTGATTTTTTAGTTTTATCTAAACTTTAAATAATATTTTTTTTATTAGAATGGTAGCAGTGAAGTTAGCGAGTCAGCATCGACGTCATCTTTAGGTTCAAATAGTTCACATAGTAAAGCTCCCGGATCACAATTAGCCCACAAATCGATACCATTTAATAGGTCTCTACCTCTGGGAGTAGAATTAAATAACAAATTATTAGCAATTGAAAAAGACCCAAGTTTGGACGTTTTAGAACGAGAAAAAATGAAACAATCGCTACGATTCCCCTTTGGTGGTGGTTTCTTTGGCTCGACTAATGACACCGTTGGCAGCGTAGTCGGTAAGTCAGTACTCTGTAATTATTTTAAATCCCTATTGGGCCCATTCAAGGCAACGCATTGGACGAATTGACACTCGACGATTCGTTAAATCTCTCCGGTCTCGACCGCGACTTAGAATCTGAATCACCGACAGTAACAAATTCAATATCAGTCGGTCTAGCATCGTCGGGTCTTTTGGGCAGTTCCGCCCCTGTTAACATTCCAGGATCGGCTCGTACCGGCTTGGGGGGTTTTAGCCCGACTAGTAACAGTCCCCTGCAACTCCACGGTGGTTTTCTATCGGCTCGTTTCTCCCAATCCGAACATATGGACTTTTTAAATCATTCACAAATTCAGCTCAGTAGTAGTGCATCAAAAATCAATTCCTATCAGAATTTTTTCGATTTTCCTCAAAGTATTTCGCCAACGTCGCGCAATCATAATAATTTTAGTATGTCGCCAAGTGTTAATAGCAACATGGAGGTGGCCCTCCTCAGAGAGGAGTTAAATTCGGCAAAAATGCAATTGAGTAGTTGGGAGGAGAGGCTACAACAGGCCCGGACTGCGTGTGATTTATGGAAACAAGCCTCCGAAGAGGCGAATAGGAAGACTCAATTAACTGAAACGAAACTAAACGAGACGGTAACACAATTGAATGAGACTGTAACACAATTGAATAGTTTGAAACAAGAGTTTGAGAAGTTGCAAGGGGGGCCGCATATTAGGAGTATAACCAATGTGGCCGAGTTGAGTAAATTGTCGTTAAGTGTGTTGAAAAATTTGCATGCGCAACTCAGACAGGACTTGGAGGAGATTGAAAAGGTTTTGTATCGCGAGACTGCGTCGAAATGTATGGTTTGTGAAGAGCGCAACAGGACTGTAACATTAAATTGCAATCATTTTGTTTTGTGTAGTACATGTGCCCTGACACAGAGTGAATGTCCCTATTGTCAAACACCTTTCAATTTGAGTAATAACATGTGAAATAGAGATGCTTAGGTGTGCGTGCAATTTTACCGAGTCTCGAGTTAAGTTACTCGGTGTGGTTGCACGCATTTAACAAATTTCTAATCTAAGATTATGATTTATTTTATTAGGCGCGATTTTGCAAAATTACCGAATTTGATTCGCAATTTTGGAGAATCGCTAAGTATTCAATTGAATTGTCCGTGTTTAAACTGGTCTGAATACTGCTGTGGAAACAATAAATTGTAAAATATTGAAAATTCTACCGAGGCATGGTTTTTTTCGTGCATTTATTTGGGCTGTGCACTGCATTTCTCTCAGATTTCTTTGACGGTTTCAATACGGACTCTTGTTAAATTTTAGTTAGGTAGGACTTTTCAAATTGAATTTAATTAAGTTTTTAAATGCTGCACTATTTAGAAACATATCAAGATTTATTTATTTCAAAGAAAAGTGTGAAAAGATTGTATTTTTATATGCGGAAATATTGTGATTATTTATGCGTTTACGAAAAATAGGCTTGTGCAGCAAAACAATTTTTCTTTATTTTTTTTTTTTATAAATGACTGATGCAATCGTATTTATTTGTAATGTAGATTTCCCCCTTTACATAACAGGTATGACCAATGTATTTTTCGTAACTAAAGCCGTTTGTAATAAGAGATGTTTTTATTTTTATCCCAGTGTTGATAATGTGCCACTAAAATTTGTTTTCATGCTGTTATGTAAATTGTTTTTCGAGTTATTGGAATTATTGCAAACAGCTTTAATGACTTTACATAAAATGTTTGTCATGGAATTCTATTTACAAAAAACATATACTTATACTTAGGTAGGTAGTTTTAATAAATAAATTATAAAATAAAAAGTAGTGGGCCTATAGTTATTACAACTACACACTTAGCAGTTAGGTATTTTCGTAGGTCAAAAAAACTGATTTTGTACAAGAGAATTAATTTTTTAATTGTATATATATATTAGAACGTACCGAGCGACTCAAAGTGAATTTTTACACGAAAAAATGTACAGACTAGAAGTATGCAATAATTGATCAAAATCTGTATTAAAAAGAGTTTTTTTGGCTTACATCATCCAGTTAGACTATATTTGAAAAAGTGAAAACATTGTCTTAAATAATATCTATTTGTCCATTGCATAAAATTTAGGCATTCGTTGTATTTTTAATAGTTGTTTAAAATTTCATTTATATAATTCAATGTAATGATTGTGTATTTTTAAAAAATATTAAATTAGAATTTCAAATTTATTTTTTCTATTTTATTTTTCAAATGTTAAGTTTTTATTTATTGAAATTTACTATTTTTGTTGAAGGCTGATCAAGACGTAACCAGTACAAACTATTAAATAAATACAATCTTCCTATGGAACCCGCGTATTAAAAAATGTTTCTAAATAATTATTGTAAGGTTTGATATTTTGGTTCTACACGGGGTTTTTAAACGGGCACGGTTATTGTTTGTTTGTTAACAACGAAGTCTTTCGCGTTTTTGCAAAAGTGTGTTTAAAGATCTGTATAGAACCATATTTTTCTAATGAGTACAAAATACGGATGGATTTTTCTGATAAAGTAGTTATTTTGGCAATATGTGTGTGTGGTGTAGTGTATAAAAAAACATATTTTTGAAATACACGGTTAGTGTCAAGTACTGTAAGGATTAATGTCGTTGGATTAGATTTAATCAAATTATGTATTGCTTTTATAAGTTATTATTTGTCCCTAAAATAAAAATGTGAATTTTAACAATTCTTATTAAAACTCTCCACAAAATCATTTAAATCCGGCGCTGTCCTAAAAACGCGCATGCGCAGTGTGTCATCTGTAACAACTAGGTTATGTTCAAAAAATTTCAAACTAAAAATGTAACAATTTTTCACGATTTATGAGCCCCAAAACTACAAGATGAGTAAAGACAAGACATTTCAAGAACGCCTAAAGAACATCTTTAAGAAAAAACCCGATTTAGGTATCCATCCCCTTTTTTCTCTCACTTTTTACCCAATTTTTTTTTCTAGTCAATGTACCCCCAAACCGCGAATTTATCTTAACCGATGAGATCCTCCGCGACCTTGGCAAGGACGCCCCAACCAACACCCGAGTCAAAGCAATGAAAGAACTAACCCCACATTTGGCCAAACTGGAACCTGTAATTCGGCCCCCCGATTTACAAAACAAAACTAATCGCTGGTTTTAGAATGGGGTTGAGAAGTTGTGGAGTTGCATCCAAGACATGTTCCTGCGCGAGTACCCTAACGACGTGCGCCACGCCACTTTTACCTTCCTTCAAAGTGTGATCCGCAGCCAGTTTGACAGGATTGATGTGATGAGGGCGCAATTTTTTCGCTTTATCAAACACCACGATAACCCCCAGGATGTGGCCTCCAGAGTGGACCTCTTAGCCGCTTTGACAAACGATGGGAAGGAAGTAGAGCACTTTGAGGAGGAAATCGGGCCGTTTTTGCTCAACTGGATCACAGATGTCACTCGCGTGGGGAAATTACACGAATTTTTGAAAATTCTAGACAACGTGATTAAATTTAATTCGCCACATTTGGACGAATACACAATGACTGGTTACGTCAAGTGAGACTTGCAAAGAAATTAAAATTTTTACTCATTTTCCGATTTTTAGACACATTTGCGTCTTGTGCTGCAACACGAATCAATTCCCGATTGTTATTCTATGTTTACAAATACTGGGGACTGTCGTGGCGTACAGTATTTTGCCCCCAGAGTCATTATCACAGTTTGTGGGTACTCTGTGTCGGACAGTAAACATCAAATGTTACTGTCCCGCCAGTTGGAAGGTTACAAACCCCCCAAAATCACCACCACATTTAATGAAATCATTTTCAGACCATGAAAAACCTACTAGGGACCCATTTGGGGCACTCAACTCTATTCACAATGTGCCGTTTTTTGCAAGAACCGAATTTAAAACACGACGCGGGGCTCATGAGGGGCTGTGTCTTCTACATACACATGGCATTGTGGGACATTAACTCGATGCAAAATCTTTGTTGCCCCCCTAGTTCCGTCTTGCCATCGGTTTTACAAGTATAGAAAAAAATCAATCCGGCTGTGAGATTATCTGTCATTTTTTAGGCGGTTCGATGTAACCACCCGTCAGTGGCGTACGAGGTTATTTTAGGGATTCAAAAATTGATAAATAAACAAGGATTGGATTTATTGGAGCCCACATGGGATATAATTCTTGAAATTATTTTACATATAGTTAAACAAGTCGAATTGGCCCCAAATGAAGTTCCTAATAATTCAACAGCTACGACATTGCATGAAATTTTGAACACAATTGAGAATTTGATCGAAGTTGGGAGTTACAAAGGGTCAATGAATCAATTTTTTGCTGTCATTCATGAATGTTCAAGTGATCGACCGGAAACGAGCGTTTTAAAATTAATTAAATATCAATCTAAAAGTATCAGACCGACCGAAAGTGCCTGGTTACAAAATTTATTCAATTTGCTTAGTAATTATTTCAAGCCGGAAGTTAGAACTAACATCCGGTTGAAAGTTTTGAACGTGCTTGAGGACACGATACGACTTTACGGGTATACGAATATTTTTCGCTAAAAAGTTGGCTAAACTGTTCATTTTAGACTCTATGAAGACGAACTTATCAACCATATTGTCATACCACATATGCAAAATATCGCTCAAGATGACAATGTTGTGGTCAGGTCTGAAGTAGCGAAGCTTTTAGTCGACTTATGCAAAAATTACACTAGCAACATTTGCACCGAACTACTAGAAATCCTCGAAAAGGTGAGTTGTAATCTGACACGGACCGCAGACTAAACACTTGCCGTAGCTACTACAACGCCCACCGAATCTAAACAACGAAAGCGATTTTTTGGACATTGGTGTTTTAGTCCCCGGATTGGTCCAAGTTTTCGCGCGGAAAATCCATAAACTACCATCAACCCACGCCGTCTTGATTTACAAAATTTTCGTTAATTTCCTCGAACGGAACTTACTTAAACCGGCATTTAAGGAATTTAATCAAAGTCGGCTCCTGGTAAAACCGTGTTTTGTTACCACCACGAATTTTACATTTTTTTCCTGTAGATTTTTGATTGTTTGTTGAGTATGCGGGCCGATAACTATTGTCGCGTGGGGTTCCCCGACCCAGAAACGAAACAAATGAAATATAGTCCGTATCTGTGTGTTAGTTACAAACCCATGGAACCGATTGTAACATCACCGCCTACTACGTCTCCAAGCCAAACACCGATTTGTAAAGTGACGTATCTGGCGATCGAGAGTGCCTTTAAATTGTTTTTGAATTATTTGGAGAATGAGAAAGGTTGGTAAGTGTTTTGTTATGCTTGTTTGTAAACATAAAATCTCCAGATTGGGAAGTTTTGAAACTCGTTATGGAAAAATTGCCAAAAATGTTGGGCAATAAAGCTATAATTTTAACGAAAAATGGAAATCCGGATCTGAACAACCTTGTTGAAGTCTTGTGTTCCATGGTAAGAAAAAAAATTGATGGTTAGTTTATAATAAATGAGGTAATTTTTCAGTTGCAACACAGATCACTAAATTTAAGTGAAGTGAAAGTGACTCGTTTGGAGTTTCAAACCGCTGTGGTGTCAGTCATGGTGGCGCTGTCGTCGTATGGGAATAACCTAGACCAGTACCACCAACAGTTACTAATAAATACCCTAACCCGGAGCACCGGAACCGACCCACGTTGTTCCCGTCAATCAATAAACTCCCTAACAATTTGTATGGTCGACATGCGAGAAACAATGATGAAATTACTACCCGATGTTCTCCTTCGACTGTCAAAAATTTCCGCTACCAAATATATCGCAATGCCAGTATTGGAATTTCTATCAAGTGAGCTTGGTTCAAATGTCACACTCGAGTGTTTTCATTGGTTGAATTTTAGCCCTATCGCAGTTACCCAACGTCTATGCGAATTTCGTTGGTGACCAATACATGGCCGTCTTTGCTATAGCCCTTCCATACACCAACCCTTTCAAATATGACAATTATATAGTGTCATTGGCTTATCACGTGATCTCAGTTTGGTTCCTAAAATGTCGTTTACCGTTTAGACGCGACTTTGTCAAATTTATAGTGAGCGTAAGTCATTTGTTTAATTTTTTTGTGTAAAATTTTTGACAGTTTTCTTTAACAGGGTTTGCAAACTAACGTTATGGTCCCCTTTCAAGAGTTGAGTCAGTTTAAACTGAGCTTGAGTAGTATGAATCAGGACAGTTCCGACCGTAAACGCAGTTCCAGTCTCACCGAGCAGGGCTCCCGACGTCGTGTCAAGCCCGACCCTAGCAAAAAGAGCCCCTTTATACAGAAAACCCCCCGCGATAAGACCGTTTTAACGTTTTACGAGGAGTTAAATGAGACTTGTATCGATTTGATGGCTCGTTACACTTATTCACCGTGCAGTGCTCTACCCTCGAGACTCCCAACCGCCGAGTTTTTACTCAATGGGGGCATCTCCAAGTCGTGGATGTTGGGGAATAAACTAATAACGATCACGACGAGTGGTTGTACCGAACGAGTATTGAAACATGGCGTTTGCGATAAGTGTTGGTCGTTGTGCAGTTCGCATAATAATAGCAAAATAGCGAGGTATGCGAGAAGTAATAGCGGGAATGAGGAGAAAGAGTCGTTTTTGCCAAGGCAGGGCTCGACGGATAAGGGGGAGGAGGCGAAGAGGTACGATTCGGCCAATTTGCCCAAGTTGATTGGGGGAGACGAGAGAAAGGAGGCGCCAGTGTGTGCGTGCTGGTGTCAAGGGTGGGCCGAGGTGCTGATCAGGAGGCCAACAGGTAAAAAAATAAGCAAAGACCTTTATGCGAAAAAAATACATAACCATTAATATCAAAAGAGTAATGAAAAAATTAAGAAAAAGTACAGTTGACTCGTTATAAGTTGGCGAGAAATTCAACAAAAAAAATAAATAAAAAAATCCAAATGCACTCAGCCTACGGTATCTTCTTCTGCTAAAATTATTATTAAAGTAAATTTGAACTCGTCTTCTACAAATTTTGAAATAGAATTTGAGAAATAAAACATTTCATCTAGAACATAACTAATTTCTATTCATAATTTAATAAATACTTACTATTACTACACTCAAAAATCACAAATTCACACACTTTACTTGGCGATAAACAAAATAAAAAATAAAATAAATAAATGCACTAACCTTTATGGCATCTTCTTCTGCTACCCTTTGTAGCAATTCGCCTCTGCTTCTTAAACGGACCTACTGAAAATAAAGAAACACAAAATCAATTAAATGTGTTATTCAATCAGTTCAATTAAATATTAAATAAAATTTCAATGTGATTTTTCTAAAAAAACAAAGGTATTGTTGACTTACCCTTTAATCCGGATCCTTGTAGCACGATTGTCTTCTCCATTTCCCTCATTGGCATTCACAAATCACTCAAAATTTTAAAAATTGCGCACTACTAAATGCCTATTAGATACTTTATTTTATTAGATTAGAAAACACCCAACAACCATTTCTACACAATTCCGCACTGAACCACGAAATAAGTAATAAGTATTACAATTCAAGTGACTCGTTCGGGAGCTTCGCTAAGACTGACTCGTTATTGAAATAATTCCCAAAAACGGCACAAAAACCCATTTCGTAACAGTTCCGGTGTTTAAGGCTGCGTAATCCAGCCCATTCGCCGCGTCACAAAGTAATTCGAATATTACCCAATCTCATGTCACAATTTTTTGCGCCCTTTATACCGTGCGATCAAATAAAAAATAAATTAGAGTAGACGTCGATTAAATTCTACAGTTGGTAACACATTGGCTGGGAATCTGAGCTGAAAATTTTCCACACAAACTGAAAGTGAAAATGACCATCCACCGTTTTCCTCTTGTACAGCAATAAAAAAAAATTCTGCTTTAAAGTGAACATTATTTCACTCAAAAGGAATAAAACGCAAACTTGTCAAAGTTTCCGCTGACATTTGATGTCAAAAATCAGGATTGCCATCTGAAGGACTTTAATTACCGCCTACTCTAATTTATTTATTTTTTTGATTGCACGGTACTTATTGTTTACACAACAAACCGATTTTAAGTCGAACAACCCCCTAATCCGTCAGATATGACGTCAAAATGTTCGCATCTGATTGGCTACGGGATAGCGTCTTGATGGTCCAAATATGAACTTTTACCAAAAATTTACTTTTGTTTGTTTAAAGGTGACAATCAAATTTTTACTTGCCATTAATCGATTTATAAAAGACGAAATAAAATTTAATTCAGGACTAAACATATCTGAATTAAGTTGTCAGTTTCTTTACTTTTTCAAACATCAAATTATTCACAAATTAAAATTTCATTGCAATTAAGAATGCTCTATTAATAATTTTTTAAAAGGAAAATGTGAAATTTGTTTAAAATAAAAATGTGTCTAAGGCTACGCCATTGTTTCTCGCAACTCGAACCGAGGTTTGCCGATTTACTCCCTCGGCAAGCTCCGGACTTCGCCAACTGTATTAGTTTGCGATTCAGAAATCAAGGAAATCAAAAGAAAATTCAATATTGACAGATGGTGTTGTCAAATAACAAAAATGTCAGAAAATGGGTTAAAATTTCAAATTGTTAATTTATGATATTAGTCAAAATGGACCTCAAAAGTTTGTCTAGATATACTATCACTTATTTACATTGTTTTAAAAATAAATAGTTTTCATATTTTTGAATCTTTTTTCTGTTTTCCAAATCTAGTTGCTTAGTGGTAAATGAGGTTATATTTACCGATTATAGAGAACGCTGGCACACTTGTAGTTTATTAATTCTTCTTAATTATAAAACACAAATTGTTTGTTTTAATATAAATTAGCACAAAAACGCAAAAACCACAAACGCTGTCAAAAAAATTATTGAATTGCTGCCAACACGAAAACTACAACCTATCAGGGGTACCAAAATAAGTAGAATTTTGTAATTTTGATTTTTTAAAAATAATAAAGTGAATAATAAGAGGAATATATTTTAGATGTAGACATAAAATGAGGTCTGAGTTTTAATTTATATTGTCTTATAAAAAATCAGTCAATGATTTTTATCGAAAATTGTCAAGCCAACTAGATTTCAAAAAACAAAAATGGTTTTTGTGAAAGTTTTCACATGGCGTTGCACGTTTTTTACTTCCTAATTCAACAATAAAGCACTTGGAGGACATGTTTGTGTTTCCAAAAAGCAAATTTAATGCAAATTGTCTCAAAAATAAATATTTGTATTTAAAAAAATCTAAAGAAGCAGACTAAATTTTATTTGAAGTGAATTTCTTCACTTCCTCGCAATTTTTAATAACGTTTTTGTGCCTTTATTTGACACACAAACGACTCATTTTGTATACAGGATGTTCTTGCTACTTGACCCAATTATTTCAAAAATTTTCAATTTAGGCAACGTGTCTTGGGTCATGAAGGTGCAAAACCAGGTGTCCTTCAAGCAGCATATTTTCGAGTTTCCCCTCAACGAAATGTCGACTTTGTACATGCCTGACCTGTTCTTCGAACCGAGTTCAGCCATTTCGATCGAAGAACAAGAAGAAACGGAAGATTTTGAAGAAGTTGCACCATCTTCAAGCAGTCGTCCGGTCAGCGTTCCAGGTTTGATTCATTTATTGTGTTACTAATCGCATGCTTGAATGTTTTGCCGTTTAATTGGATTTTTGATCGAATCGAGATTGATTTTTTTAACTCAAATTCAAGGCTCACCCACCAAACAGTCTCTATCTAGGCAAAGTTCGCGCGACAGCGCCGACGACGAACTAGAATTCGTTTACGATGACGGAACGAAATCGCGAAATCCGGTGCGTCGTTCGAATTCTAGTCCGGAAATGGCGAACTGGAAGAATCCATTCGTCCATCAAAAAATCGAAAACGAATCGGAAATTCCCAAAAAGGACGTCAGAGTGAGCTGTGAGGCGATCCCGGAGGAGATTCTCGGAATGGGTGAGTGGAAAAAATCGTCGATGTGACTCGGGTTTATTGGACTCTTGTAGGAACAAGTCCACCGACTGGAGAGCCCCCGAAACCGCAAGAACAGCCCCAACACCCTTCCCTTCTCACTTGTTACAGTTATCCGGGGTCGTCGCCCCCCGGTGAAAGTGGTATAGCCCCCAAACCGTACAAGACAGTCCCGGCGTCCCCGAATCAGATCAATTCCCAGTCACAACCGACTTTCCCACAGGATTCTAACGTCCTTGATCGTCCTAATAATCTACCAAATTTGGCCAGTTTAACTCCTTTGACTACTAAACCGCCCCAAAGCCCCACTCAGACCTCGCCAAGACTGCAGAGACACTCAGAGAGAGAAAAAGAGGGTAATTTGGGCAGAATTAATTTTTATTTTATTTTTTGGGTTAGTTGGGATTTGGGTACTAACAAATATCGATTCTTTGACAATTTAAAATTTTCGTTTCATTTTTTTTTTTTTCGTCACAGGAACCTCGATTCAAAAAAGCTCGTCTTCGTCCAAGATCGAGAAAAATCGGGCAAAAACCGTAGACGCGAGTTTAGCAGAAAAGCGCGATCGGTTGCATACGATTTCGGTCATGAGCACATCGACCCGAAAGCCGACGCCACCGAAAAAAGTCCCGAAGGAAATACTCAAAAGTGGGTTAAACCCAAGTTTTGTGTTTCTCCAATTGTACCACACTGCATGTTTTGGGAGTACCACCGAGGTGCCACTTTACGTCCCCTCGTGTACTGTTATCGACCGAGCGATCGGTATTTTAGACCGGATGTACCCATACGAGGTGCACAAAATCGGGGTTTTGTACATTAATGAAGGTTGGTAGCACTGCTTTGTGTTAAGTTTTTGTCACGTGACTTTCAGGTCAAGTCGATAAGGAAGCTGAAATTTTGCGAAATACCTGTGGGTGTGTCCGTTATATGGAGTTTTTGCAGAATTTGGGGACTTTGATACGATTGGCTGATGTCAATCCACGTGATATTTATCTAGGGGGCGTGGATCAGGGCGGAGCCGATGGGAAATACATGTATACGCATCAGGACGATTTGGTTATGTTGGCGTTTCATGTGGCCACTTTGATGCCAAATAAAGACAGTGACCCAAATGGGAATTACAAAAAGGCTCATGTGGGAAATGATAACGTTGTCATTGTGTATAATAACAGTGGACAAGAGTTTGACATTAGTACGTTTAGGGTAGGTGGAGCGGTAGGCGTGGCTTGATTGCTGACTTTCCATTGGTTGCAGAGTCAGGTGACTCTGGCTTACATCATCGTTGAACCACTCGACTATCAGTGCAATAAAGTCGAGGTTAAGGTCAAGTCAGACTTGTTGAAAATTATTGGATCAAACGAAGTTATAGTTGTTTCGGATCAAAGTGTGTCAATTCTAGTGAGACAACTTGCCATACATGCCGATGTAAGTTTGTAGGTGTGTTAGACTTTGTTTTAATTTTTTTTACAGTTGGCAGCGACTGTTCTCAACTCGTTACGAAGTCACGCGACTGATCCCTACGCTTCTAATTGGTTGGAAAGACTGAGAAAATTGAAAAATCTAAAAGAGAAAGTTATACAGGAAAACAATAAGAGGAAGGAGGCACAAAAAGGCTTCAGCGAGGAGAAAGATATCGTCGAAGACTTTACCGACTTTACATAATATTTTTTGTTGCATTTCTATTACTAATACCCAATATATTATTAATTGTATTTTGTTTTTTTTCTCAGGGGAAGTACCCACAATTGACTTACCAAAACTTTGGCTCCTCCCTTAATATTTAAACCGGCCAATCATTACCAAACAAATTTCATAAATCTAACTTATGCTTGAGTAATTTTTATTACCCCAAATGTTGAAATTTCAATCAATAATAAATACATTGTTCGACCAATCATTTTGCTCCACATTGTCGGATTATGAGATAAAACCCCGAGTCTTCCCAATTTTGAGGTTATGTAAAGTTCTTTGAGCCGAGTCAGACGCGATGTATTTACCTCAAATTTGCCTAATTTTCACACTTTGCGTCCTTTCTAGCGTCCTTGCAGTCACAGAAGAGGATGAGGGCGTAAAATACGCCAACAGATGTGAAGGTAAATCGCGAAAACCCCCGAAATAAAGTGAGGTTAAGTAAACAAAAAAATTTCAGTTTGCAAAATATTAGCAGTAGAATTGGAAAGCCGGCTCGAGGAGACTGGTAAAACGCACGACGTGATCGAAACCGGCTACGAAGTCGATGACGTCAAACCGAAAAAAAAGAAAGACTACAAGAAATCAGAGTTGAGACTAGTGGAGTCTTTGGAGGGTGTCTGCGAACGGATTTTGGAGTACAACATCCATAAAGAGCGTGAGGATAGTACCAGATTTGCGAAAGGGATGAGTCAGACATTTCAGACCCTTCATGGGTTGGTCGACAAGGGGGTTAAAGTCGAATTGGGGATCCCCTACGAGCTTTGGGACAAGCCCAGTGTCGAGGTCACAAACATGAAGACGCAATGCGAGACTCTGCTAGAGCAGAACGAGGGGGATATCGAAGAGTGGTATTTCAACCACCAAGGGAAGCAAAGTCTCAAAAAATATTTATGTGAAGACAGGGCGTTGAGAAATGAAGACACTTCGTGTCTGAATGAAGTCTTCAAGGGTGATAAAGGGGACCGAAAGTCGAAAAAAGATGAATTGTGATAATATACCTAATTATGCTCTCTTTAGTTTTTAATAAAACACTCGAATGAGTTTGTCTCGAATTTATTGCAACGTTTTTGATAACAAAAACCTCCAAAAAATACACTAAATATGCAATTACGTTAAGTACACAACATATAAAAATACAAATATTGCTAATACATAAATATGATTACAATTACAGTCATATAACAGGTATCTTTCCGATATCGGGGCCCGAAATCAAAATAAATACGTCTCTGACTAATAAAAAATGCAACAATGGCAATTATTACATCAATTAAACACAACTATTTACAAAAAATGACCGTGATTAGTTGATGTGGGGGCAGGGCGGCACGAATACTGCTACCTGATTGGTCAAGGTGTCAAGGCAGTCTTTTGATTGGTCCCGACTAGTCGAAAAATTAAATTTAGTTACTCCGTTGGCCATGTCAACCTGCCCTCCCGGCCTGCTGCAATTACCTAACGACTTATTTATTTACAACACTCATTCWTTTGTTTTGTTCGCAATGATGGCCAAAAAATGTCGAAATTTAATACTATTTTGTAGAAAATGGAAGACACGTCAATTGCGTCGTTGTCCTTCAGTAATTATACGGTCCATAAGCTGATCCTGTTGTGTAATACGGTCCTGCGTAGGCTTGAGGCGCAGGAACCGGATATCCGGCATATGCATATTGTTGTTTTTGCGGATACACTGTAAATTTTAATGGTGTTAAGTTGGCAGAAATGGAGCGATTGATGATACAAATAAATGATTATCTTACAGTGACTTTGGTTATTATATTTAATTAGATACAATCATGCGTCATGATCAAAATGATTTGTCATTGCCATCTGGGGAAACAAATCAGTTTGAGCATAAGAGAAGTGAAAGAATTTTGGTCAAGCTTAGAAAAGCGGAAAATTATCAKAATGACTTGACATGGAACAGGGTTGTTGTTACAATTGAACCCTGCTGTTATTGGGATTAAATCAACAAGAGATGAAAAAATCGGCCATTTTGTGTTGCAAAAATGTCGGATTTTTTCGATGAGAATGACCCCCGAAAGTTACCAGGCATTAAATACTGCATGTTGATAGCTTCTTCCCGTTCCCTTTCGCCCCGAAGACACATGGCGGCTCCAGAAAACAGGATGGCAGCAACCAACGACCATCCCACCCCAACCCATGCGATCATGTAACTCCAATCATAGTTGACTCTGGTATTGTCACGTAGGACCTACGAAAATACAAAACACAGATTACACACCTGGCATTATGTACTGTACGTTGTTCAATTGCTCCTTTTCTTTCTCGGTACTGAGGCAACACGAACCAAAGAAAAACATGAATGAGGCACCCAATGCGCTGAAAACGCCAAGCCAGCCCAGGACGAAGCTCCAGTCGTACATGAATTCGGTGTTCTCTTGCAGGATCTAGATTTGGGAGCGAGGGTTGATGAATTTTTATCGATATGTCCATATTTTGCTTATTTCAAGACTACAAATCAAATATCGTTCACTGCTCTTACTGCAGCTTCGTAACTCAAAAACATAGTCAGGTCAAGTCTAGAAGACCATTTTCTTTTTATATTTCTTATATTGTTGTTCTTATAGCCATTTTATACAAGGTGTCCCAGAGCTCCATATTTCTTCGATTACTCACTCTTACAGTAAAGAAGATAACGAAATGCGGTTTCTTTTGGACGATAGACATTCATTTTTTCTATAGTCCAAAAAACTTTCGTCATTAATTTCTATACAGGGTGTTTACAGTCTTGGAGTTGAAAATTGACCTAGTAATAGAAGAGTACAGAAATACTGTAACCGAGAAAAAAACTCACACAATTGTTATTATCAAGAATGTTATTTAACTCCAAAATATTGGTACACGGTTTGAGGGTCACTGGAATTATTTCCTTGTTCAGATAAAATTGTATTGTTGCAACAGATAAAAAAATCGTATCCATGACAATGAAAGAGAAAAGTCACTTCATAATTTTAACACTGTCATCATTTGATTTGCTTTTGCGTTAGTTTTTATCAAAATTCGAAGATCTTCTGTTTAACCTCTTTCAGCGAATGGTTTCCAATAGGTTTGATTCGTTTMWTTTTWATTTTTCTRCWAATTTATGAACATGTATGGCAAAATATTAAAATAATTAATTGGTTGTCGTGATTATGATTTACGGTGAAACACAAGGTAATGATACTAATGGCCATTGTTGCAGCCGAAGCAGCAGTTCTTAAASAAATAGTGTAAAATTAATAATTTCCTTTAACAACGTGAATTTTTGTATTATATAGCGTATTAGTTTTCTTCTACCGTAAATATCCTCTCATTTAAATTTCAACCTCAAGACCGTAAACACCCTGTATAGGGTGGTGCAACAAGGTTATAATTTTTCTAGGTTTATAAAAGTGTACAATAAAACAGGTAAGGTTTAGACCTCCAAACCCTAGTTTTTTTAGAAAGCTTATTAAAAGCTCTACACGATAAAGTAATAATATACAGGGTGTTTCATTTGAAAAAATCAAGTTACTTGATATTTTGCGAATGTCAACACTCTGCAGTAGTTGCAAAAGATCATAATAATTTAGAACCAGACTCAGTAAAAATGGTTGCAATTGTATTTATTCACTTTTTCTTTCTAACAAAATCGTTGTGATTTTTAAAAATGGTATTTTTTTTCATAAAATGGCCCATAAATGATAAACGGTCCATAAAACCTAATATGGATATTCTTAGAATTAAAAACTCTTTCAAATAAGCGCATAATATACCGGGTGTACCATAAAAAATATAACTTGTTGCGCCATCCTATATAGGAATTACCTATAATGACGAAAATATTTTTGGACCATAGAAAAAATGAATGTCTATCGTCCAAAAGAAACCGCATTTCGTTATCTTCTTTACTGTCAAAATAATCGAAGAAATACGGATCTCTGGGACAACCTGTTTATTTTATTTTTGTAGAATGCAGGCCATTTTGTCTTATTTTAGAGTTTTTGATTCTTCTTATTTTTTTTAGTCTATTACTCCAGAAGTATCAGTATAAAAATCAGTCTTTGTGATGGTGTATATTACCTACGTTTTTTCTGAAATCGCATTTGTTTAAATTAGTTAAATTTTAAATTAAATGTCACAAAAAAAATGATATATTAGGCAACCAACATTACAAAGGTGCATACTTCATAAACTATTCCGTTGATTTTTTAAAAGATTTCAATTTTTCAATTAATGATTTATATGAGTCCGAAAAAGTACTTCTTTACGGAATTTCTTGGATTACATTACAAACTATTTTGTCCACTTAATGGACAATCTCTGATAAAAAAAAAAACATAAAAATTATGAGGTCGGTGGGCGGGTTTTGATAAAGAATTAAACCTACGTCATTTTGCAGATTTTTAAACACTGCTTAGTGATTACAAATACTTGTGGTTTTTCACTACAATTCAGGCCGTCATTACGGCTTAAAAAATCAAAAAATGATTTTTCAAAATTGCGTTTTATCGCGAAAACTGTAAGAGCCACGGAAAGGGCAAAAAAACTGTCGAAATCTACTTAAAATTATCAATTGATGTTATAGTTTCGGCTAAAGACACGCTTAAAATTTTTGGATTTTTTTGATAAAAAACTTATAACTGGAATATCGTAGGTTCAAAATGGTTTTAAAAGGCAAATCCCCGGACGATTTCACATGAAAATTCATCGATTCCGGGGTGACTCCGAGTGATTTTCAGGCATTAGAAAAACTATGTATTTCATCCTGTGACTTTGAAATTAAGTTGGTAACATAAATTACCAAATACAAACGTCACACTTTTATGGCATAGCCGTCATCTGTGACATAATAATCTGTGGTACGATATCACCCACAATTCGGTGTTGCCAACTCACTATAATATGATTTTTTTTGAAAGCATGGCATTATTTCAAGGACATTTTGACATTTCATTGAGAGGTTTAGGAAGTTTAAATAAATAAAAAAAAAACAAAAAAAATCGTTGATTCATTTGTAATTTTAATGAATTTTCTCGGATAATTTTTTAAATAAACTTGTCAAAGAAAATAAATCCAGTTGCAAACTCGCTAACAATTAAAAATCTGGGGAATTTCTTAAACCCCAGATAGGGAATAACTGCAAAAACTACTCGTCACAAAGCATTTTAAACGTCTAAAGAACAACATTATTTCGAATGTTGCTCGACCATTTTAACGATTTTTTAATCACTTTTATGGACCTAAATTTGGATGATATTTTTGTAGTTTTTGAAAACATTGCATAAAACATTTCGATAAAGCGGTCAACCGTCGCCAATCTCGACTTACGTTACTCCATTGTTGGTAAAATTCCTCCCCGACAACTTTTTCCTTCTCATAATATTCCACTCCGTGCCACAGACCCATTCCTCCAGCACTCAACAAGCCTGCAATAAATCGATTTTTCGGTCAATACATCACATCGAAATGAAAAGGATTCTTCATAATTGGCAGCATTGTTACGTTTCTGCGAAATGACGTGTCATCTGCTTTGCAAACACACAATAGGAGCAGCAATAATGGGATTGTGGACGCTTTCAGACAATACTCGAAGCTGTTAAACGGAAATGAAAAGACACTTATTGACACGAGAACATCAAGTGTCGCTTCAACGGTATTTTAGTGAAAATCAATTTGGGAAAAGTGACCCACGACCTGGCCCCGATTGCCATACGTGGTTTCACACAATTTGAGAATTATTCAGGAATTAGCAAAAAGAAAGAAAGTGAAGAGAAAATTGCACGCGAAATAACTGAAATTATGCGAATGAAATAAAAATTCGATTAAAATATAGTATCGGCCAGCAGCTGGTTTCCTTTCAAGTTCCTAGTTTCTTAACTGCATTTCCTTCATATAATCAATCTAATAAATGCACTTTTACAAAGACTCCTTAAGCGCACTTCCGTTAGACACCTAATCGCGGCTGCAGTAATAAGTTTTACACTTTTACACCAGCCAAATTGCAGGGTAATCAGTGTCCTTGGAATGGAAAATTAGCGCCGAAATCAAAGAAGTTTTATTCTTGGAGCAGAAAAAACAATGCATTTTTAAATTTAAAAAAATCCAGGTTTGAGCCCGGATCAAAACAACTTTTTTTGCAATTCAGTAACAGCGTTAAAAATTATATTTGACACAAGGAAGAAAAACTAGAATAAAAGCAGGTAGAAATATACAAAAAACAGTTATTATCACTTTCTGATGAGCATCTTTCTTACATTTTGTTAGAAATTTTTTTTTGTTCAAGTTAATAGTAATTACATTATTTTAACTAACACAAGCATACATAAAGAAATTAAAACCTAATACAATTTTAAAAACAATGATAATAAAAGACCAACGTCCAAAATTTTGACACGTCTACTTAAATTATTTTTTACTTTAAATCCAAAGCCGATACAAAAATTTTACAAGATACAAAAATTGTTAAAAAATAATATACCTTTCAAATAAAAGAAGAATTACGCCCACTCAGATTACGTATAACAAAAGTATGGTTCAAAATGTGCTTTACAATAATAATAAAAGAAAAGAAATAGCACCAAAACATGTGGTTTTAATATCAAATCAACTGTTCCAAATTTGATAAAAATCGATTACTGCATTAGAAAAAACGAAAATAATTTTTAAACTTTGGCGCCGTCTAACTTGATATAAAGGCAAGTGGGGTAAACTTCAGGTAAGTCTTTGTCCCCATCTTTTTGTTACACCTGTATATAAATTTAAAACAATAAAAACATTAAAACGTAGAAACCAAACAATACATTTTGTTAATAGATGATGAGTTAACAGTGATGCAAACTTAGAACCGAGATCATACTCAAAAAACGCGAGTTCGATTCCGGGTTAGGTCACTTTCTTTTTAGATAAAAAAATATCTGAAATAGATAGAATAATGGCGGTGATCGTAATAATAACACAAGAATTAATAAAATGAAAGTAATAAAGGTAAAAATCAATAAAACTCAAAAAAATGAAGGCGAAGCTATTAAAAAAATAAATTTGAATCAAAAACTAATAAATATCTCTTCACATCTCTCGTATTTTTAATTGGTTCATGAAAGAAAGTAAAAACAACGCAACGTAATTTACAATTTTCCCAAAAAACAATTTATTATTGATTTCTTAAGTTTTTTGTCATTTTTTGATAATATAAAGTAATTATTTCTAAAATTAGATATCCGCGAGGAGCCGATAACTTAAAAAAAATGTGTATAACTAATTCCAATTCTAAAAAAATCCATCGAAATTCTAGTAATCCAAAATAATTCTATTGTTTTCAGATTAATTCCTATAATTCTAAATTAATTCCTGATATTCCAACTTTTACGTAAGTTCTACCGAAATTCCAGATCACAATTCCATTGTTTTCGGATTAATTTTTATAATTCCAACTTAATTTCCGTAATTCCTTAATTACATAATTCCTATAATTCTAAATTAGAAATTAGACGTAATTTTCAAAAAAATTATCTCCGATAATTTCAAAAAGAAATCCAGTACCTAATAATTCTACCGAAATTACAATTATTTATCGTAATTTCATTATTGTGATATTGTGTACAAATTAACGTTTATAATTCTAAATTAATTCCGAGAGTTCTAAAAAATTCAACGTAATTTTTCCAAAGATATAATCTCCGATAATTTCCATACCATTCAAAGATTGTTTTTAAATTTTAATCTTTTTTTTAAATTTGTACACAAAAACTATTTTGACCAATAGAGAATGAATTCTTGATTTTCAAACAACGATGAGCATTGTTAAACAAAATTTATTGTTAAACAACAAACAAAAACACAATTTTGAACTAATAGGCATTAAATTTTTGTTTAAAATAAACAAAACCATCTTCTATTTTTTTCTTTTTCAATAATAATTATTATTTCAAATTATGTTTGTATTTCCCTTGTAAAAACAATTACAAATAATAACAATAAAAAATTGTATATGTATGTTAAGGTTTACCTATAGTGTAAAATGTTGAACGTCTATTTGAATTTCCCGCGCTACCGTTTCACTTCTTAATCAATTCTGACCAAAATAGCAACAGATTACATTTAGGAAACTCTTTTTTCGTCATTTTGTGGGAGGAACTAAGCTTATTTTTAAAATTGTAGGCGGAGTTACCAAAGGAAAATTCGTTATTTCTATAAAAATCCGTGCATAACTTTTTATAGCAATGTTTTCCCCTAGTGGGCGGAGCTTAGTTACCCTTTTAGACTCCACCTTGGAAGTAGTTTATACGTTTGGGTGATAACAAATAATTTAAACTTTAAATAAAATAGAACAAAATCAGCCTCTATTGAAGATTTCATTACTTAATTATGTTATTTAAATGTTTTTTTTTTTGTGATAATTTGTGGATATTATTTTCAAGTGAAACTCAGCCCACAATCCGTAAACATTCCCTCGAAAGTCTTCAGTGAATGTCTTCACTTACAATGCACAATCGAGCATTCCACACGGCAGGCATACAAATTATCACAATCTTTATTAACGCAGCGCTTCGATTATCAGAATAGTTAATGCCTCGTCAAATGAAGCGTTTAAAGGTCGTCGACTCGGACAATTTTTAAATTTCCTTACATGCAAGCAGCATCAGAATCGCCGTGGCCGTGATATTGCTTGGGGACCTCCTCCAGCATCCGGTGACTCCGGTACATAAGGCGGCGAACACCGCTACGAAGGCCAAACTGAAAAGCGCGATCATGGAACGTCCCATATCTACAAAAAAAAAAAGAAAAACAAAAAAAAATGTTCGTCCTAGTTGGCCACGCTTTGTACTCCATTTGAGCGTTATTACCGCTAAGACTAATGGATTTAATATGTTTATTGTGCTAAGTAACGGATGTTTCAGTTGAAACGATTTTCCAATCCAAGTGCTGAAATGTCCATTATTAAAGTACCCGTTTGCACCCTAACAGTGTTGCCACGTTTGGGGAAATTTCACCAGATCTGGTGATTTTCGTGTTAGTCTAGTGATTTGGTAAACATTTTTGTAAAAATCTCTAGTGATTTTTTGAAAATGAAAAAAACTGCTTTTCCAGTATTTTCCAAGTTTTCCACCAGAAACTTGATTATTTCGTCAATATTTTTAGTTTTGTTTGTTTTTTTTTACAAGGTTTTACTAAACAYGACTGAAAATAACAATTTAGTTTTGTCTTTTTCGAATACTTTTTCAGCTAGAAACGCAATTATTACGCAAAATTTCGTTAAAAACAATACAAAAATTCAAAAAATTCGACCAAAAACGGCGTTATTTTTGCCTTTTTTAAGTGTTTGAGCACGTTTTTGAGATAAAAACAAAAAAAATTCTAAAAATGTTGTTGAAACAAGCAAAAAAATTACAAAATTAAATCGAAATTGGTATTATTTTTAGCCTCGAGCCTCGTTTTTGAATGAGAGGCTCATTTATTTTGCAAAATCTTGTCCAAACACGCTTAAAAGTCACAAAAACAATTGTGTTGATGTTTCACTCGATTTAACTGGTTTTTGAGCAAAATAAGACAAAAATACGATGGGAAACCACAAAATTTGTCCAAAAATGCTTTTAAGTGCGTTTTTGGACTAAAATCTCAAGTTTTTCACTAGATTTTGCTAAAACAAACTAAAAAATAACAAAATTAAGTCTAAAATTACATTATATTTTTGCATTTTTCGAGCATTTTACACATTTTTCAGCTAGAAACGCAAAATTTTGTTAAAAACAAGCCAAGAAATCACGGAATTAAGCCGAAATGCATGTCATTTTTGTTTTTTTCAAGAGTAAATTTTTAAGCTTAAAACTGTTGTAAAAATTCTAATATCTGGTAATTTTTGAAAACGAAAAAAACTGTTTTTCTAGTATTTTCTACGTTTTCAGCCAGAAACTTAATTATTTCGTCAATTTTTTTCAAAAAAGTCGAAAAGCCACCAAACTGGTTAAAAATAGTTCTTTTTTTTTACAAAATTTTAATAAACAGGATCGAAAATGACAATTTAGTTTTGTCTTTTTCGAATACTTTTTCAGCTAGAAACGCAATTATTACGCAAAATTTCGTTAAAAACAATCCAAACATTCGGCCAAAAACGGAGTTATTTTTGCCTTTTTAAGTGTTTAAGCACGTTTTCGAGATAAAAACAAAAAAACTCTAAAAAGTTTGTTGAAACAAGCAAAAAGATTACAAAATTAAATCGAAATTGATATTATTTTTAGCCCGACTTACTTCGTTTTTGAACGAGAGCAAAATCTTTTGTAAAAATTCTAATATCTGGTAATTTTTTGAAAACGAAAAAAACAGTTTTTCTAGTATTTTCTACGTTTTTAACCAGAAACTTGATTATTTCTTCAATTTTTTTCAAAAAAGTCGAAAAAGCACCAAATTGGTTAAAAATAGTTCTGTTTGTTTTTTAACAATATTTTACTAAATAGGATCGAAAGTGACAATTTATTTTTATCTTTTTCAAATTTCAGCTAGAAACACAATTATTTCGCGAAATTTCGTTAAAAACAATCCAAAAATTCAACAAATTCGACCAAAAACGGCGTTATTTTTGCCTTTTTCAAGTGTTTAAGCACGTTTTTGAGATAAAAACAAAAAAACTCAAAAAAAATTGTTAAAGCAGGCAAAAAAATATAAAATTAAATCGAAATTTATATTATTTTTAGCTTGTTCCGCTCAACTTTCTTCGTTTTTGACCCAGAGGCTCATTTATTTTGCAAAAAAAAAATCTGAAGTTTTTCATTAGATTTCGCTAAAACAAACTAAAAAATCAAGAAATTAAGTCCAGAATTACATTATTTTTGCATTTCTCATGCATTTTAGCACGTTTTTCACCTAGAAACGCGATTATTTTCCAAAGTTTTGTTGAAAAATCACAGAATTAAGCCGAAATTCATGTCATTTTTGTTTTTTTTTTCAAGAGTTTAAATGGATTTTTAAGCCAAAAACTGTGTTTTTTTCGTGAGAAATAGCCATACAAATCGTAATCTCTGGTGAAAATTTGGCGAATTTTTCAACTCGGATATGGTGAATTTTATGTTTTTGAACTGGCAACACTGACCCTAACCTCAATTTTCGCACTTACGTAATCTAGCCCAAGCGTCGTCGGTGAAGTCCCTAGTCTCGTTGTTGTCATCGGAAAGATAGTAGTTGATGTTGTTGCAGTGGGTCTCAACGGGGCTCAGGTACGTTTTCACTGCAACACACAAACACACCAAATTGGAAAATAGTTGTACGCAATCCGAGCATTTAATTGCTCTCCATTGTTTGTGTAACTATTTGCGAAATTATTGCCTAGACCGGATACGTAGTAAAAGTCGACTTTTTCGACCGACTATGTAAATAATGGTAGATTTTTGGCGGTTTTGCATGTGGTCGAGAGAAGACGTGACTGAGAGTGAATCACAATTTGCTCGAAACGTGACCGAACAATGCTTCACGGATGGGTTGAGAAGCAAAATTTTAAGCCCGAGAGCGAAAATGGCGTTTTTCTCGTGGTATAATGACTTTTTTGCTCCACGGTCGAAATTATTCAACTCATTTACATAAAAAGTAGTAAGGTTTGGGGTTATTGTTGCAATTGAGCATAAAATGGCGGAATTGAGCAATTAGAAAGGTTTAATTAATCAAAATTGAGATTTGATTAGAAGAAAAATACAAAACTTATGTCTCTGATTGCAACTCGGTTTTAATTTTTCAAAGTTGGTAGTGGCGTCAATGACCGGTAAGTGTCAAGTAAGAGATAATTCCCCCTTTTCCTTACACAATTTTTTATTAGAAAAAAAATATTTTTCTATTGATTTTGTGCAATATCTTGTTTTGGTCACAAAAATCAAAGTATTTCAAAAATTAAACAAAATCGACCAATGAAAAATTAAAAAACTTAAAATTTTATACATATTTTCTTCAATTTAACAAAATGTTTGATTTTGTTGTGTTTTTGTGTAATATATTATTTTTTTTTTAATAGTGTGTTAAATAACTAAATTATTTAGACACTTAACATCACCAAAATAAACAATATTTTATAAGAAAAATTGAGAAAAAAACTGTTTATATTATGTAACCCATTTCTGACACAGGGTGTATTTGTTTTTGAATAAAATAAGTGTTTCTTTTTTCAAATTTCCAATTTGCTTTACAAGTTTGTCCATCACAGGAAAAAGAGAAAATTTCAAAATTTTAATGATAAATTAGAAATATCGATAAAATTTCAAGGGTCAATTTGTGGTCAAAGAATTTAATTAGAATAAAATAGAGAGTTAAGAGAATTTAGAATATCAAAAAATTGACACAATTTCATGGAAGACAGTTCTTAAAATTTCCCCCAAAAAAAAACATTACCTAATTGTAATTTTGTAATTGTGTTTTATCATTTCTGATATACAGCTTGTTTTGTTCTTAAAATAAGTTTTTTTATTTTTATTTTCACCGCCTACCTATCAGAATTGCTGTAAAATCTAACTGATCCTACTAATATACCAAAAAATAAAATAAAAAAATGTTTGAAGTTTGTACTTTCTGCCTCAATTTAAAACAGTTTATAGCATTGTAACTCATTTCCAACACAGGGTGTATAATGTATTTGTTATACAGGGTGTTTTCTTAATATTGCGAAAAATTGCAACTACATATTCTACATCGAAAAATAACACTAATTTGTCAAATAAACAATAGCCCTATAACGCTTCGTTACGGATATACAGGGTGATAAAGTTTCAGGATAAAAATTAAAATCCATTATAGTTCCTCTAAAACCACTTGAACTATTTTCATGAAATCTTACAGGCTTTGTGAGCAATTGAAAGCGCTTATTATACAAATTTACACAGGTCTCTTCCCTGTGTGAATTTGGATATTGTGTATATCCGACTTTAAACACCCAATTGTTTTTAAAGGGCCATCTATCAAAAATGACAATTCTCAAAAAGTCGGGTTACTTACTTCACACATAAAATCTATTGACACAATTTAGTTACTTCTGCTGCCAACATAGACACAACCCACACACTAGAGGTGGCGGGCTAGGGCTGCCAACTTTGCAATAAATGAATTGACCGATGAAATTTGAAAGGTCAAAGTATTTAATTAGAAAGTTAAGATCTAAAATATCAAATATTGAGTTTGAAATTTCCGAAAAATAATWAGTTGGAATTTTGCAAATTGCCCACTTGGGAGGTGACTTTTCCATTCATAAAAGTGAAACAAGCGTCCATCTGCTTTGGAAAGTTTATCAGTTTCATATTTAACTCTTCACATTAACAAAATCCGCAGCCAGCGTCCCAAATCTGGCTCCGAGAGAAAGTTTTAATTGTTGGATGTATTCGATCGGGTTTGTACCCACCTGTCGGAGGCCTTTCTTTCGGATAACATATCCTGAAGAGTCCTTTCGTCCTCGTGTAGTAGTAATATTTTGAAGTGAGACTCTCCAATTGAGCTTGGCTTTGAGCGTCCGAATGTTTACTCAAATAGTTCTGTAACAAAGAGGTAATTAGCAATTCTAGTTGCAAGTGAATTTGAGGTATTTGAGAGTAGGCGAGCCAAGGACGGTCGCGCATTCCAATCTCTTAAGACAACCAAAGATGATTTTTCCAACAGGTCGTGTTTTATCATGACAAAAAAAGGAAAACACAAGAATTGGGAACTGTTTATTTTGCCCCAAGCGGGTCATTTCCTGAAATACGTGGTATTTTGATAAGAATGTGAAACTCTTATCAGCATATTATAGTGGTCACACTGTTACCTGTTTCAGTTATCTCAAACAAATATTTGTTATTTCGAAAATTGGTCATTTTTATGAGAAAAATTCTGACAAATTCTCGACAACCCGGAATCTTCCGATTTTCAGGCCAAAACAGAGTTTTTTTTCGAACATTATACATATAATATTGACGTATCAACAAGAAATTACAGCCTAAGATTTAGGGATATTCGTGAATAGGTTGCCATAAATTTGGTTAGGTTGGTTTTTGGTGACAAACAAAAAATATCGTAACCAGTGTCAAAATTTAGATTAAGACACCTATTATCGTATCAACAATAAATTACTCCCTAGGATTTAGGGATATTCGTGAATAGGTTGCCATAGATTTGGTTAGGTTGGTTTTTAATGACAAACAAAAGATATTATAACTAGTGTCAAAAATTTAGGTTAAGTCACCATCTACAAGTCACCTGTCAGTTTGTATAGACAACTCAATTGATAGTTGACAGCAGGTTGACAGAAAACGTCAACTGTCAACAACAAGGGGTAACCAACACTAGGCATTACTTCTGAAAATTCTAGTTACAAACAACATGAAAAACGTAATTTTCCTAAAAYTTCAAATCCTAGGTGGTAATTTCTTGTTGACAAATCTTTATCAGCTTGTATGGATAATTCAATTGATAGTTGACAGCAGGTTGACAGAAAACGTCAACCGTCAACAACAAGGGGTAACCAACCCTAAGTATTCAAAATCACTTCTGAAAATTCTAGTTACAAACATGAAAAACGTAAGTTCAAATTTCTTGTTGACAAATCTGTATATATGCGTTTTCTAGGCGTCGCAGCCAGACACCACGTGAGCAATTTTCAAAAATTGAAATTTCATTGTTGAGGAGCGTTTTTTACACATATTGTAGATCGTGTTTTAAACTTCAATTCGATTCAAAATTTGAAAACTGTTCTTTGAAATTGAAAATTTTGGAGTTGCCAACGGAGCCCACAAAAAGTCCCTAAAAATCGGCGCTGCCAACTCAATTGTGCTAACATTATGCACGGCCAGCTGTCATTAAAGTGAAACGTGCCATTAGTAGAATGAGTCGTTAACAAAACGTCTTGGGAAAATCAGTGCGATTTATCATTTCAATGCACTTTCTTTGGGGTTTCTGAACCTGACGCAATAAAACCAAACATGCTGTATATGTTTCAGGAAGCGATCTATATACAGCGACCTCCATCATTAGAAAGCATTGTGATACAAAATACAACTCTGGGAATCCACGAACTCTCCCATAACTTGTGTTTGACACTCCACTTAACAGCTTTTTAGTAGTGATTTATGCTTTTTATTAGAAAAACAAAACATAGAATTTCTATGCGTAAATGTGTGCCAATTCCGGAAAAACAACAATAATGGTGAAATGATATATCGATAAATAAGGTCAACGATTTGCTTGAACAAATTCAAAAGTGACCGAGTGAAATTTAAAAACGATGATTTTCGCGCCATGAAGCGTGGAAGAATCGTCAATTCGATACTCGAAAAGACGAAATTGTTGCGGTTTGCTTCACTTTCATTCATGATTTTGTGCATTCGGAGGACATGGGAAAGTTTCACTGGAGGAAATCGACTGTGATGCGATTTTGGTGGCAACACTGGACATTGCTGCCAACTCAGTTTCCAGACCACTTTGATACACATGAAAAAAATTAATAACACTGCTCAAACCTCTCATTACGCATTGCCAAATGGGAAAAAATCGGCCAGTTCCATGGCAGGTGAGGCCTCCGAACCGTTATAAATGCCTGAATCACGTTTCGATATCATCCTTTGGGTCATCGAGCCGATAAAAATGTTAGAAAGTTTTGTCCTTATATTGAAAAAAATTGCATTTTGAAGTGTTGATATTTTATGTGGGGCGACTAATTATATGCATTCCATTATTAATCATCTGAAACACAACGGACAAGACGAGAATGCAGCTTGGTCTACTTTTGCCATTTATGTGTGTTCCGTAATATTCAACTTTGAAATGGTTTGAGATTTTGACGTGGTTAGCATAACGAATTGAACGATTTTAATTACAGTTACAGAAATTTTGATTTTTATAAAGCAAAAAGTAAGGAAAATGAGCACAAACGTGAGGTCAAATTGAGAATTGCACCATTAATTACAAGTTTTATTATCATCAATCTTCAAAAGTTGCACATCTTGAGATTTAGTGCCGTCATGTTGGCATAAACCAAGAACGATTTTTTCACCTTAATTATTATAGTACTAACGGCAAAAAACTAAATTAAAATCTGCTTATTTCTGACGTTACTAATTATCAATTTTCGCATTTTGATTTAGTTGACGTTAATGACACGTATTATAACAAAAAAATCTGTTGGCTATACTGAATTATTCTTTCTTCAAAAACGAGAATAATTTAGTCGGGTAATTATTTAATGAAATGCACGATCTTTGCATATTCCATAATTACTAAATCATTACCTAACTCGCAATTCATAAATAAATTACAATTTTCAATGCATTAACCTTCAAAACACAGTTGTCACAACTTTATCCACGTGGTAGGACATTATAAAAAAGCGCCACTTTTAAAAAAATAAATTTAGTTCGCAATAAAAAAACGAGAGCAAAAGTGCGGATTGGCCCGGCCCGGACTTGTTCCTAGTGTCACACTGAACGGTTCCATTCCTTAATTAGCCGAAATAATGTCACTAATAATTAATTACAGTTAGAATTCGCGCTATTTGCTCACACAAGGAAAGGAATGCAAAATGCGTTCGAAATAATTGTCCGAATTGCATAACAACAAATACAGGTACCTGTATTGCGGATGTAAAGTGGGTGGGTCAAGGACCCAAAAATTGCCTGAAGATGATCACAACGACTGAAACACGTGTCTGAAAATTTCACAAAAGGGGTCATTATTAATGTGACCCCGATTTAGAGAAGCATCAATGAATTAATGCGTAAGTTATGGCGTAGTGACAGCTGTGATGAATAAAAACAATCAAAAAGGCCGCTTGTAGAATTGCAAATTGTGGTACACTTTGTTTTCTCTACTACTCATCTCACAAGCAATAAAATTAACCTTGCAATCAACTGTATAGAAAGTGGAAATTCTTTCAATATGCGATTTTTGCAATTTGCATAAATTGTAATTTGCCACCATTTTGATTTTTTTGCCGTTTGCGTGATGAAAAATACCAACACACTTCGTAATTATTATTTATTTTTACATACAATTCTCATTACGTAATTATGCAAGGTGTACGCCCATTTCGGATAAGTTTCGTTTTGTGTGGGTGGTAATTAAATTATTTCAAGTATTACACTTATGTAAGGTGATGAAGATGCAAGAACAACTTTCGAGAGCGATTAGATTTTTTACTGAATGTAGATGAACTAATTTACATAATGTGACACCAAAAAAATGGCGAATTTTACATAACCTTAAATGCCACAAAGCGCAAATCACACTGGAACAATACTTATATTTCAAAATAACCTCACACCAAACTTAATGACTTGGAGAAATTCTCCAAAAAAACGTAATTTCTTCATAAACTCCTCTAACTTTCATCTGAAGAGTAAAAAAGAAAAGTTGATGCCCTCACTGATAATAATATACGTATAGCGTGCGTGATAAAAGACACAAAAATAAAAGTAAAAGCTTCATTGGACTACAGTTTTTACACTCTAAAATTGGGATTTTTATTTTGTCACGTTGGCACAAGTCAAGTTTAAACAATGTAAAATTTGGCATTTGGAAAATTTCAAAAATAGTGTTTTAAAACTGTAAGATTTGGCCTATATTCTGATCTGGAATTTGCTAAGTCAACGTTAGATACTTCTTACACTTCCAAGTTTCTGACATTTCTATTCTCTCTATTCATCATTGTCTCGTTTTGTAGGTTTTGTGAAAAGAAAATCCATGACGTTTCTTATTTATGCCAACTGGGGTTACAAATTTAAAATTTCGTGCTAATAAACAATTTAAATAAATACAAAAACAAAGGCATTTTAAATGTAATTTAATCCTAATTGCAGATGTTTGTTAAATATTATTAACTGTAAGTAAAGCCATTAAATATAATGAATCTGCTTTCTCGCTTGACCCATTGTTCATGCAACCATTTAATTAAAATGTTCAAAAACGTAAATTTAATATTCCTTATTTGATTTGAATGTTTGTGGTGCAAGTACCACCTTGAAAATTTTTCGTAAATTTTTGAACCTTGAAGGTCGCACCAAAGGGTGCATTACGGAAGAATCGCCGGAACTTAAAAAAAAAATTGATTAGCTACAGGTGTGTGTAAAACAATTCAAGGTCTCGGCCCTCACACACTTAATTCGATTTGACAAATTAAAAACCAATTAATAATGAATTGTTTACGAAGTTTGTGGCCTAGTCATGGAGTCATAAGTTTATGTCATAGCCCAATTAAGAAATCATGTAAACGCAAAAACCACTCAAACTTCGCATTTTAAATCGGAATGTTGGAATTTAGTGGTCCTTTGCTAAATTATGCACTGCTCAAACAATAACAGTAACGTAACGGTATCCGCAAACATATGCGAACGTCTTTTGTTTTCGCATTACTTGCGTCGCACACTGTACCCGCGTTTTTTCGAATGAAATTTTAAGGAATTCGCCTCACCTGAATATTTGTGCGCTTAACATCGATATAAAGCCAGTTGTCTGTGGCAAAGGCGATGAACAATAAGGCAACAGCGATGATCGAAGTGATTGTTGCTAAACTTAGAGTAACAGCAGAGCACGGCATTTTGCAGAAATTTTCAAAAATAACACAAAAACACTAAACTATTTCAACTCCGGAACATGTTAACTAAGACCACGACCGACCGAAACCTACAACAAACTCGGAAAGTGGTCCTCTACCTGCTTGAGGAAACGCCAAGAACCTGTTTCATACCTGCGCAAGAAGTGGGTGAAAGTCCGCGRGGCCCCCATACCACCCTATGCAACCAACAATAACAAATATTCATCAACAAGAATAGAACGAAATTGAGTCACCTTGTATATTATTGGTGTATAGTTGGTTGCCTAATCACAATGTATTGTTAGCTGTCTATATTAATTTAAATTAATATTATTAGAAAAAATGTAAACAATGCTAATAAATTCTCAATTTTCCTGTTGTTTTCTTTGTTGATTAATTTTGGGGTTTAAAGAAGCGCCATAAGTTTCAATTTGGTGACGTCACAAGGACGCCTTTATTGATTTTTCATAGGTTATGTTTAGGGGGTGTTTTGAGCCCCCGACGCTCTGAAAATGTGTTCCTCCCGCAAAAAACGGTGAAGCGTCGGCTTTGAAGCCAAAATGGGAGAGTTCCAAGCCTCGCAAAACACCCCCGAAACTGTTGAACCTCCCGATTCAAAAAAATCAGTTTTTGCAAGTTCCTTGAATGAAAACATTCAAATTAAAACCGAAACTGCGTATAATTCTAGTCTGGAAGTCGAGTCTGATGAGGAGTTCGAGTTGAAACTCATTAAAAGTGAACATTTTGAGCAGAATGAAGATGTTTTGGACAACGAAACAACTCGATATAAATGCAATATCTGTTTGGAGGATTTTAAAGTATTGGTGGATTACAGAACGCATAGGAAGGGGCATTTTATCGAAAAAAGGACATGTAAGGTGTGCCACARAGTGTGCCAAAGTCTTAGCAAATTGGAGATTCATATGAACACGCATTTGGGGCTAAAGCCTTACAAGTGCACAGTCTGTGACAAAAATTTTGTCTCGAGTAATCAACTAAAACTGCATGGGAGGTGCCATTCGGACGAAAAACGCTATTCTTGTAAAAAATGCACCAAGGCGTTTCGGCATTTGGGGTCCCTGAGGAGCCACATGGTCACACATGACGACATCAAGGAGTTTCAGTGTAAGGTACGATCATTTTTCATGATGCAGACCGCAGACTAAACAAGAAAGGTCAACGCGGACCGCAGACTAAACAACACTCTGTTCCAGCAATGTGGGGAAAACTCGCGCAATGTGGAGGCATACCGCAAACACCTGGAGTCCCACGGCCAAAAAATCGAGATAAAGTGCGAGCTTTGCAACAAGAARTTCTCAACGGAGCGCCATCTACAAACCCACTTGAAGTCCCACAGCGAGTTGCAGTACCCCTGCGAGTACTGCGGCCGCATTTACCCGTCTTTGTACCGCCTGAAGCGCCACATTAAGCGTGCCCACATTCCGAGCGTTTGCGARGAGTGCAATGCCATTTTCTACGACAGAGCTATGTTCACACGGCACAAAAAGCAGCACAATGAGGGTAAACCCGTCTCGTGCTCCTTCTGTGGCAAAAACTTCGACAAGCAGAAGAATCTCAGCGAACATGTGCGTCTCCAGCACAAGGAGGACGGAAACATCCACAAATGCGACTTGTGCGAGAAAGTCTTCATTAACGCGTCGCTGCTTAAAAACCATATCAAAACGCACGATAAGTGCTTCAAGTGCACATTTTGTGCGAAGTTGTTCAGCTCGAGGTACAACCTCGAAACGCATTCGGTGACACACACCGGGGAGAGGAACCACAAGTGCGACATCTGTGGGAATGTTTACTCGACGAAAACCAGCCTTAAGAACCACCAAGCGACGCACAGCGAAGCGAGGAYTTTCAAYTGTGACCAATGCCCGAAATTGTTCAAGACTAATCGGAGGCTGTATGTGCATAAATTCTCGCACGCCACTGAGGAGAAATTCGAGTGTGGAGTTTGCAATGCGAGGTTTAAAGTCAAACAATACTTGAAGTATCACATGATCAAACATTCGACCAATAAGCCGTTTGAGTGTAAAGTCTGTAAAAAGAAATTTAAGCACAAGAAATCGTGGGAGAAACATTCCAATCACGATAAACATTTGAGAAATGTCAAAATGGAGGCACAAATTTGCGGGGTTTGTGCACACGAGTGTGACACTAAAACCGATCTTCTGGAACATAGTAGGCTCTGTCATGGGGAATCCCCGATCGTAGAAAAAATAAGTATAAAAAAAGAGAGTTGTTAGTCATCAGTTAGGCTTTAATTTCGTTCCTTTTGTGTTGTGATATTTATTTATTTTTGGCGTGTGATAATAAATCCCTGTACTTAAAATTGAGTTTTACTGAAAATCGACCTGATGAATACAAGAAATCCTTTATTAAATTAAAATATTTCCTACATTTTACACTAAAAAAACTTAAGACTTAAGACAAAACCTTAAGATACCTTACTTTCTATTGAACATTTATCCATTACTGCGAACAAAACTAATCCACATACTTTGAACACTTTTTTAATTGATTAATTACGATAACTACACATTTAAATGTCAAATCTAAAGCCGTCAAATGAATCCTCTCCACGAGGGGCAGTATATAATGGATAAAAACTGATAGAAATTTTCAGCTACTGTATGATTTTTTTAAACACTCACCGCTACGTCAAAACTCCAAATCTTAGTCTTGACGTCCGATTTTTTTGAACAAATGAAAAACACAACTACATGAAGAAACGAAATATAATCAAAGGAAGAAAAGAAAAACGAACAATGTAACCTACACTGATTATATAAATATTTCGAAGAGATTTATGCACGTTCTCCACGAATTCGGCGGGCCAACTGTATGTCTTTGGGCATAATGGTCACCCGCTTGGCGTGGATAGCGCACAAGTTTGTGTCTTCGAACAGACCGACGAGGTATGCCTCGCTGGCTTCCTGAAATTAAAAAAAAAAAAAATTATGCAAACTAAAAACAATGACAAACTTGATTCATATTAAAATACAAAATATTGTGATATCCGAGGTGCCATTTTAATTTCAAAGCCTCCCATTGATCCACATTATTAATTATTTATTCATCAACAAAAGGGAAAGTAATTGTTATAAGTTGCAATTTATTCAAATTAAGACTAATTATTACAAATAATTAAATAAACAAGCCAAATGTGACGCCATTAAATTTCCATGGCCACCACAATTTTTTACAAGTGATAAATATTTCTTATTGGCAAAAACACACTCATGTATTAACTGATCATTAAAAAAAACTCAAAAATTAACCCACTCGGTACGTGCAATTTTTTTAAACTTTTTTAAATTTTTTAAAATTATTATTGCCTTGTTTCATTTCATGTTTTTTATATTCTTTTAGAATATAAAATACAAAAATATAAAAAAGTGAATACATTCACTTTAAAATATAAATATAATA